GGCCAGGATGAGCATGCTGGAATTTGAGGGGATTAACTTTTTTAATCAAAATTAAGTTTATTTTTAAAATTTTACGCCGCGCGCGCATCAAGGGGGATAAAAAACACATATAAACACATAAAAACGAAAAAAATTGAAAAACCCGTACCGCGGTACGAAATACCCCTAGAGCTCGAAGAAAAAAAACAAAAAAATTGTTTTTCTCTAACCTGCTCGTTTTTGTATTTTAACGCTTTTCCATTTTCACATTTCGTGTCGAAACTTTTTATTTTGGCATACTGTATTTATTATTTTTTATTTTAAATAACTATACTATTTCTTTCTTCTTTGTCTCTCTGCCAATTTTACGTTAAAATTTTCCAAGCGGAAACACACGTTTTTATTTTGTTGGAAATTTTTGCTTGTTTTTAACTGTTTTATTGTTCTTTTTTATTTTAGATTGTTTATTCTTTAATTCTTCGCCGTTTGACACTTTATTTTTAATCAGAACATGTCTTCAGATTTTGGCAATCCTTTGAACAAATTCAAGCTCTTATGTATTTCTTGGAGAACAAAGCGGTTTATTTTTTTTATTCTGGGTTTAGTTGTCCTCCCTTAGTTTTAATATTTGCCCAATTTTTCTGTAGACTTTTTTGAGGGTTTTTAAATGAATATAGGCTGTACCAATGCTTGGATTTTCGCCTTTCCCTAAAATCAGATCCAGGGGTTTTGGTTTATCTATACATCGGGATTTTTGTTCATTCGACTTTTCCAGCTCCCAGATATTATTTAGGACAACCTGGCCAAAAAATTTGAGACACCGCCGGACAGGAGCGTTTTCGATCTCTTATTCCTTCCTATATTCGTGATTCTACAGGTTTTTTCTTTGCTTTTCTGAATTTTTTAATAATTTTTTAAATTTAGTTGCTGTTGTTGTTTATGATATTACAAGTTTGTTATCAATTTTTAAAACTTATTTTTAAAAATCTGGGGAAATCTTGGATAAAATAACATCGGTATTTTTGCAAGTTCTTTGAAAAATCGAGACTGGAAAATGCTGTCTCGGGATTTAGGCAATGATTTGGACGGTTCAATACATGCGTAAATAGATGATCATGCGAAAACCCAGGTTTATGGTTCCCCTTCTTTAACACGTCGATACAGATTTCAGAGCCATTTTGCGGGCTTCCCCAGAAATACCCCCTCGATCTTTAAAAATGGCTCAGAAATTTGGCCTGCAAAATGGCTCAGAAATAGCCCCTCGATCACTTTCGAAAAAAGTGCGGATCGTCTTTCGCCTTTTTTGTTGTTTCGTCTTTTCTTTCTAAAATCAGTTTCAGCACACTCCTGATCCATACTAAATTTTTCCTTCGTATTCATATTCAGTTTTCCTCGTTTTTTGGGCCTAATTTTATTATCCTACTTGCTTTGTAAAAAATATTTTTTTTTAATTTCAGACGCCAACTCTTTCCATCAAACTTCCAAATGGATTGACGATGTTCGCACTGAACGCGGAAGTGACGTTATTATTATGCTTGTTGGAAATAAGACTGATTTGACTGAAAAACGGTTTTTTATTTCTCTAAAGTCTAATCTAGAAATAATTTTTTAGCCATACTCCTCTTAAGGAAATTTCCATGACATCTCCAACAACGCTATTTTTATTCGGATAAAATATCACGTCTAAAACAGGATGCCAAAAATTTAAATTTAAAGAACCAGCACATTCAATTGAATTTTAGCCAATTTTTTATTTAGAATTGAAATCTTTCGTATCGATGCCAGTTGAAATCCATAAAATTGTTTTTATTTTTAAATACCCTTTTATTTTTCCGTCCTTCTCACTCTTACTTTTAAACCTTTCTTCATATAAGCCTTATTCAAACAAATAGAAAAGCAAAGCACATGATGCGCGATTTTGCAATCAATCGTCGGATCTCATAATCGGCATCGAGAATCGAGAAAGCTTGGCAACAATGTGGAAGAATGACAAAAGGCAACCAAAGAAAAATATGGTAGTGAAAATATGGGTTCTCCGCCAACTGCAAGATTAGCAGTAAAGCGAGCGCATTTTGGCCTTTTTGTGAATGTTTGTCGCCGCTGATCGGCGATACTGCAAACAAGGACATGTCATCATCGCTATTTTATGGCCACATTTATCGAATAAGGAGAACCCAATGGAACAAAAAGGGATAAAAGAGGACATAACCATGGATCCGGAGCTGGGGCAAGAATTTATGTTATTTAAAAATGTCTGAAGTAATAAAAATATTGAACTTTTTTACTTTAAATTGTATTTATTGGCCTTTTTTAACCTACTTAATTCTTAATAATCTTGACATCAACATTTTCATTCAATGCTATTATAATCCACAGCTTAACCACTCATGACTGCTTAGAAATACATATAAACACAAAATGAAGAGGATTAGAAAATTGGCGATAAATTAGCGATTGGGGAAATTGATAAGCGAGCATTTCTGATTTCAACACAGATGTGTTTGTTTAAGTGTTATTAAACATTCTTAATCCGATAAAATTTCTTATTGTTTATTTTTGCATAAACATATCTGAAAATGAGAAAATGATTTTCAAAAAATAACTATTATGAATATTTTGCTCTTTATTACCCACATTATATATCAATTGCGCCTCTTCTTTCAATTTAAAGTGAATGAATGCCTTTGTGGTCCAAGTGCCAAAAATAATATCCGCCAAAGGCAAGAAAGAAAGTTGTTTTAGGGCATTAGACAGGTTTCTTTTCCAAATTTTTTGCAATTTGCCGATGGAAGGAACCACCAAAAATGGAAGATGAGAAAACAAATTTGGGAAGTAATCATAAAATCCAGAGAAAAGACTAGTTAAATTAATTCTAAATAAATCACATGCAAATTATAAGGCAGTGGGAAAAGATAATGTCAAAAGATGAAAGTGTTAAAATAGTGTCTAAAAATAATTAAATTTATGGTTTTCCTTTTTGTGTGGGCCGTTTTGTGTAATAAATAATCACATTTTTTATTGGAGACCTTTAGCTTTGGGCCAATTTTTTCTAATTTGCCGTTCGCGCTTTTTAAGTGTATAGGTCATCGGGATCGTAAAATCTGAATAACGATGATTATAGAGGGAAATTTAAGAGTTGAAGGTGTTTTTGTCAAAATAAAAGAAAAACTAAGGAATATTTCTCAATGGTTCGATGAAAAATAGATAAAGTCAGAGATGTGATAAGATTGCAAATTAGATATTTAAAATGATAAAACAAAAATCTAAAGTGATATTAGACGATTAGAAAGTTTTCCCAAAATCCAGGTTCTATAAATTGTGAGCATGTATACAAAAACTTTCTTTGAACATGCATGGACTAAATTTCATCAAAAGTGTGCTTACAACCAATCAGAGGCAACCAACTACCGAACCGCACGCCCATCGCACAGACACCGTTGAATAGTACAAGTTCTACTCCCGTTTGACTAGCACACACATCCACTTTTCTTCTTTCATCGCTTCCACAAACTAGTGTATGCTCATCACTCGCTGTTTGCTCCCGCAACTAAAAAACTCCGCCCAACCACTTTTTTTAACCACCATCTTCACAAAGCTATAAAAGCTACCTCTACATTTTCCCAACTTTTTATTGTTAAGAAAAAAAACGGAAAAAAGAATCATCTATATTTATATCAGCATGACAAATAACACAAGCGTTGGCTCCCGGTAAACCTCTTTTGTTACGATCGCTTGCGAGAACTGTTAGCAAACTCCTTAAACATAGTAAAAATTCTCGTATTTTAAAGTGAATTATTCATATATTAATGTAGCTTTAATTCATTCTGTCACGCTTAATTATCTTTGTATCCCTTCATAAATTTTTCTTTTTTCGTTTCACTAATTAATTATCGCAGTAATAATTATCGCACTAATCATTTTGTTGAACTCTACAGTTGAGTCAACAATATAAGTGAGAATGGACCTAATTATCACTTCCATTTCCTTGTTATGATAAGAGTTTTTAACATCAAAAGATGCCGCCAAACCACTTCCAGTCATTTTATTTTTATTTTTAAAGTTTTTATGGCCCTCCGCTTTTTTACTTTTCCTTAAAAATTGGCCAAGAAATCCTTTAAAAGCATGTAGAAAATTTAATACCCGAAATATGCTCAAGATGTTCAGATCAACTAGTCTATTAAAAAATGTTCAGATTGAAAGGCATTTAGTAAAAGCACCTTTAGACCTCAAATAGGACATTTTGCACTTTCACAGCTGGGCAGTTATTTTACAACCTCAAAGCTAAAAAATTACAAATAGATCCTTTCAAAATCGCAATATAATATTCTTTTTCTCGTTTTCTGATTTTTTGCCAATTCATAAAAAGCCGCCGCCTGATTATGCGCAGAAGCGGCGCGCATTGACTCTAATTTTAGGCCGAGCCGGAAATTGGCTAACAGGATGGGAAAGATGGTCAATAGAAAAGAATAAAATGAGCAAGAGCAAAGGAAGAAAAAAACTGAAAAAATGGCTGGCAATTAATATATGCAGCTGAAAATTCTATAGGAATTGGAAGAAGGAAACCGGATTAGATTTTTAGAATATATTGTTTAAAAAATACCATAATTAACACTTAATTTTCATTCAAATATTTTCAGATGTTTTATTCTCCTGACCAGCCTCATCAACATAAACAAAATCGCAAAAGACACAATGATAATACGCCTCAGACTACTATTCCAAATGGGGCATTTCCTTACGATATTAATTCAATCTACCCACTATTCACAACGACAAATACGATGCCACCAAATTTGTCATTCGGGATTTTCCCATCACCGCGCTTTCATTCTCCAGCCTTACTTCCATTATTAGCTTTACAAAATATGGCAACACAAATTGTCAATTATTCTGTGAATTCACCAACTAACCAGACTACAAATAGTAGTATTTTTCCACAATTGCCAAGTATACAACAGAAACAACAAAAATTACTTGAATGGATTCAGGCCATGCAACAACAACGACCAATCGCAGAATCGATGGTACATCAGTATTTAACGCCAAAAATGCACGAAAATACTAACTCAATTTCAAACAGTATTCTTAAAAATGAAGCAAACGTCGTAAAGAAATTCGACTTTTCAGACATTTCTTCATGTGTTAACAATGAACAAAGATACATCAGAGGTATTTTTGCCTTTTATTTTTTTATTTTCAATATTCAAATTAAGAGATAAAGACAGAAACAGAAGGTTTAGAAGCAAAAGATTCTGCCTTTACTAAAACGCACGTCTCCCCTGAAGCCTCCTCTGCTTCACTTTTTGAAGCAGCGATTGTAATTGCAGCGGCCGCAGCTTCCGCTGCAGCTGAACAAAAAACTACTGATACATTCATACAAGTGAATATTCACCAAAACAATAATAATCAATCCCACACGTAAATTTATAATTATTCAAAGTTTAAATAATTTTTAAATTAAGCAAGACTGTGAACAAAAATACACAATCCGCTGGTAAAGTTAAGTCAGAAAGAGGGATACCCCCTTCGTATCCCCCTCGATCAGTAAGAAGTCGGCGACAGCGCAAGCAATTTATTTGTCGCTATTGCGGACGCCAATTCACAAAATCTTATAACCTCCTGTAAGTTTTACCTATAAACACATCCAAAAAATTAAAAATATTTGGCAGTATCCACGAACGCATACATACTAACGAGCGACCATTTCCATGTGATGAATGTTCGAAATCGTTCCGCCGCCAAGATCATCTACGCGATCATAAGTTTGTTTTTTGCATATCATTTCAATTTATAAACTCTATACTTCTTCAGGTTCACACACGCCAAAGAGAAACCTTTTAAATGTAGCGAATGTTCACGTGGTTTTTGTCAGCAACGTACATTGTTGATTCACCGGCAACGAGACCATGGTGCCAATGTCGTTTTGCCTCCACGCAAAAATGCTAGTAAATTGAAGATTCTTAAAGAAAAAGTACAATAGATATAAAAATTTTTAAAGAAATTGTGACACTTTTTAATTTTACTTGATTGATAAACAAGTTTATAATACTGTATTATGTGGCCCTCAATCACAAGACTCAATTTCCCATATTCATGGGACTCAAGCGACACGAGAATTTTTCAGAAAAGCCTTTTTTTGGGCGTCATTTACTTTTTTCCCTTGCTTTAGATTAATTTTCTTTTTTTTAATTTAGAAATTTGATCTTATAATGTAAATCTTCAAAATAAATTAGAAAGATGTTGGGAATTCCATTTCTTTCCACTTACATTCAACGTATTGTTAAGGTTCAGGCTGTAGCTGATTCAGTGGACTGGCTTAATTATTATTGTACTTCTGTGCTTCTAGCCTTTTTTGCATTGGCAATTTCAGCTAAACAATATTTTGGTTCACCTATTCAGTGCTGGACGCCTAATGGTTTTGTATTACCTTATTAATAGTATCGAATTGTTTTTTAGAGTTCAAAGGAGGTTGGGACAAGTATGCAGAGAATTACTGTTTTGTGTCGAATGCTTATTATGTACCTTTTGATGAAGAAATACCGAGAGATTTGTCACACCGCCAGGATCAGATTAGTTACTATCGGTATATTTTTTGCTTAAAGAAACGATTGTTTCCTTAAATTTAAAGTTGGGTCCCCGTCGTATTAGCTGTGCAGGCTCTACTCTTCTGGTTGCCCAATTGGATTTGGAATATTCTACATAAACAAACAGCTATAAATCCACGTTGTCTCCTCAACGAAGCGCAGAAAAGTCGAAAATTGCATGGAGCTGACCGTGATAAAGAAATTGGTGAAATTGCGTCTTTTGTCTCTGACACAGTTTGTTTTTTCCTTTTTTCAAATTTTACAATTTTAATCTATCAATTTCCAATGTAAGCTTTCCAACTTTTCACCTGACGAAAAATTTGGTTATCGATCCCGACATCCTTCAGGGTTAAATGCTACTTTTCTTTACCTTGCGCTCAAACTTCTTTATATAATAAACTGTTTTGGTCAATTAATAGTTTTGAATCGTTTTCTTGGTGGCGAATTCCATAGCTGGGCTTGGCAGGTATAACAAATTGTAGAAATCTTAACTTAAATTTAAATTCAGGCCGTTTTTGACTTGTTCAAAGGTGTGGATTGGGGGGAATCTAAATTATTTCCTCGTGTTATCATGTGTGATTTTTCAATCCGACGTTTGGCCAATCCTCAACGACACACAGGTTGATTGTTATTGATAAATATGGTCATTTTTTTCAGTTCAATGCGTAATTATGTTAAACATGATTAATGAAAAGTAAGTTTTTTATCGTTTAACTTGTTTATTTTTTATTTATTAAAAGGCTCTACTTTTTCCTTCATTTTTGGTTTTTGTTTGTTGGTATTGTAACACTCGTTAACTTTTTCTACTATTTTGCTATGCTCATGATACCAAGGATGCGTACAAATTTTGTCAGACAAAATATTAACAAGCATCAACAGAAGGTAAAATTTTGCGATTGTCTAGAATTTTTCCTGAATTTACTCTAAATTTTTAAGCTACGTGGTTTTGGGCGTCGTGAACTTCATCGATTTGTCCAATGTCGATTACGCCCCGACGGAGTTCTTCTATTTCATTTTATTCGGCAACATGTTGGTGGTCGGTTTACTTACGAATTGCTCAATGAGTTGCTGCGTCTACATTGGCTGGCACAGACTAGTGGGGCAACACATCATAGTAGACTTGGCAATATTAATATGGTTAAAGGAAGTTCTAACACTGCAACAACAGCACATTTTATGGGCAATGGCTCAGATGGAGTTGAAAGCACCACTAACTCACCAGGTCGTGGAGATATTCTAACTATTGGACATCAAGATGAAAACAGCTTTTCTCGCCAAAACACTTATAAAGTAACTTTCTTGTTTTTTTTTTTAATTTTATTTTCTAAATTTAAAAGCCTACCGCTTATGGGCATGCACTTGGATATGCAAACATGTCTATGGGAATTAATAAATCATCTGATGTACCAGTTGCACTATACGAAACACAAAATTTTCCCATCATGCATCAGAATGCCTTTAATTCTGCCTCTCTTCTGCGTGCTATCAGCGGGACAGCTTCTCCAACCAATGCTTTTGGATCACCAAAACTGGCAGAAAATCAGTATAGTGCCCCACCAACTTTACAATTTGTTGATGGAGGTGATGAGAAAAATCAATCAAAGCTACATAATCAGTCTATGAATACAACTCCGTTAATGCAACCTCGACGTTCAAAATCTCCATTGGTTTAATTATTATTTTAATGATCTAATTAACTTCTTTCTAAAAGGTGACTGGTCTTGGCAAGCGTCTTTTGCAATCTCCACAAACGTTGAATAATATGGATTCTCAAACAAACAAGGAAGATGTTTCATCGAATGATGAAAATAACACCAATTCTAATTCTGATGTTTGATTAAAAATAATACAATTTTTGAAAGGTTTGATCAATATTTTCTATCTAATTTATATATTTTGGCTTTTTAATTTTCTAAATTATTTTTGAATCTCCTAACTTATTATATTTTTTACTGCCATTAATTCTTATTTTTAATTATACTCTGGGATTCTAATTCAAGTATTTCACTTTAAACACCAATGTTGCTTTAACATTCCATTTATTCTTGCATTTATGAGGATTCTACCTAATTTTATACTTTAACCTTAATATTTTTCTTAATTTATACTTTTTGCAACGCTGATATTTTGTAACGAATAAATATTTCAGTTCTGCCATTTCTTTCTTTTAACGGAATTCCTTAAGTTTACTTTATTGAATAGAAAGCTGATCATGATTATGAAACTATAAATTTAATAAAATTTTAACAGATTGACTGTCAAAAATAACTAAAGTTGTAACTTGTTAACTTGTGATGGAGGTTGAAAAAGGCGTAGTGCGTCGTTGTGTTTGTTCAATTGTTAAGCAGGTATGAATTTTGAACGTTTGGCTTTTGTTTATGATTTTAGTTTATTCCTCCGGGTTAGGTGTACTGCGTTTAAATTTTTTATCACTTATTAACACCCTAGTTCTAAATTTAAAATCAAAATTTAAGTTTGACTACAAAACAAAACAAATAAATGCAAAAGCGCTCAAAGAACTTGTAGGAACCGTCCGAAGAATGGAAAGTATAATTCCCTCATTTGTTGATATTTTGTTTGAGCAACTCCGTCAAACTGATTGTGATGTACGACTTTGTGTTCTGCACGTTTCCGGGTATTTCTTTCAACGTTCTCACCGGTTTCGTATTGAGTTGATCAATGGAATTCAGGTTTATTATTTTTATTATAAAAGAAAATAAAATTTAAGGATTTCCTTGTCTACACTTTGGAGACTGACCCTCTTCATTACCCATTGCCTGGACCGCCTGAGGCAGCTTGTTTACTCAAAAAGGAAACAATTACAATGCTTCGTTGTTGGATCGACAAATTTGGACTGGGTTATCAAAAATTGAGATCACTTGGAAATTACTTGAATAAATCAAAAAGTCTGGATTGGGAAAATTCCAATAGTACTTCACAAGTATTTTGTTATAAAATGAAATAGCTTTAAATTTTTTAATTAGATTGAACGTGAGCGTGCCGCGAATGAGGCTTTCAAACAAGAAGTGAATGCTCGAAAAGTTGTCGAGAAGATTACCAAACTTTTTGATGAGTCACGACCCGATATTGAAAGGATTCAGGTTGAAGCATTCCAGGTTAGATGGCTTTTTCTAAGCAATTGCCTAAAGGTTTTAGTTATCAGAGCTTTTACTTCCAAATTTTTGTTCTCTTGATAACAAAAAAGAAATTGGTGGTTCTTCAGAAGAAAACGAAAAATCATTTTTGGTAATTTTTGTCACATAACCTTTTAAAACCTGATAATTTTAGACAAATTCCGCCGATTCTCATGAAGCGTTCTTGCCCAGCACTGATGTTACAATATACCTTAAACCACAAGTTGAAGTTGAAAAAAGCGCTGACAATGTTGATCTAATCCATCAATTGTACGAAACCACTAAGCAGCTTGAAAAATGGACTAACAACGTTAACAATTGGTATTGCAAATCTTTATTGAATTAAAAATGTTTTAAGGCTTAAAAAACTGTCTCAAATTGGAAGTAATACTCAAACTTCGACAACTGCCATCACAAAAAGGTTAATTGATACAAAAAGAGGATTAATGGAAGAACTGGAAAAATGCAAAGAATTTAAAATTAAAGCAAAAACCGATGGAGATACTGATGGATCAAGTTCCATTGATTCTGAAGATGATGAATTTTTGGATGTTGAGGAAAAAGAAGGTATTTGATTTTGAATAAAAAATTGTTAAAAAAATTATTTCCTCAAGGCTATGAAGCAGAACTAATATATCCAGTGGAAAATTCAAATAAAAGAGAGGATCCTTTCATCTGTTCTACAATTCCAGGTCCAAGTAATCAATATGTACAACACAAATCTTCTCAACAATTTGACCAAGCATCGTTAATTAGAAAAGATCAGAAAAATGAAAAGAACAATTTAAATAAGCCAAAACGTTTGGCAATGGGTTTGGATTTATGCTATTGGGGTGAAGATTCAGGACGTATAAATCCTGAAGCACAGAGGTTAAATAATCAAGTAGCTGATGATTGTTGGTGGAGAAAACATTCTGAAGATGATAAGTGAGTTGTGTTTTATTAGATTTTTAAAATGATCTGTTAGATACTAAAAATATTTTATTTCTTTTCTGAAATTTTAGTTGCAATAATGAAGCGCGTGACAATTGTGACGAAAAATCCTATGTTCCTAGACAGATAACATTTGTTGGTGAACTGCCAATTTTACAGAAAATGTGCCGGTATTGTCTTAACAAAACTAGACTTTTCTTAAAATATCACATCTGTAGTGCACCATTGCCCAGTGGTAAACTCTGCCCACGAATGGAATACGATCGTTGTGCGTTACACGGGCCGATCATTGACCGAGATGAACAAGGATTCCCAATGGAAGAGCAAATTGAGTAAGTAATTTGTACGACAAAATTCTCATAAATAAAAAATAGGGCTGGGAGTGCTGACAACAAGAAAGCTGACAAGAAAAAAGCTGAAGACGAGGAAGCCTATATGCGAGACATCGAAGATGCCACCGGTATGAAATTAGCAGGAACGTCTTCGAACTCGCTCAATTCCAAAAAGTGCAATAAAACTGCAAGGCAACGACCAAAACCAGAAGGTTTATTGGGACGAGAACGCCTACAGGTGGGTAGTAACTAATGAGTATCGTTTGGATTTTTATTTAGACAAAATTGTTCGACAAGCGAGCACTCAAAAGGGTTTCCGAGACATTAGGGCAAATACAAAAGGCTAAGGCTGAAAGAAATTTTTTGCATCAATTTAACTATGCCATGACTAGACGATAAGTAACTGGTTTTAATTTTTAAAAATTTTCTAGTTTGTATTTTTCCCCGGTTTAAAATTTTTTTATTCAGTAATTTATAAATTCTTAAAAACCTAAAAATCATCATCTGAATCAAATACATCTCCGCTTCCAGAATTTTGTTGTTGCTCCTTTTCTATTTGTTTTAGTTTCGGCAAAAGCTCACCACTAACTTTTTGTATATAAGTGAAGAATTTCTTCTAAAACATTTGAAAAATTATAACTGAGGCCAGTTAAAGCCAAACTTGTAGCCTTTCGCTGTCTTCTGCACTAAAGTTCTGTGATGCCTGTTCACATACAAGTTCGCAAATTTGACCAATTCGAATCTGAATTTTTTCCAGTTTAAATATTTCTGCAGCGTTTTTTTCTCCCATTGCGCCAAAGTCAGCATCCATTAGCTTTGCAAGGGAATCACGAAGAAAATTTGAAGATCTTGGTTCTAAAATTTTGAGGTTTATTGACATTTTCTCCCAATATACCGCCTATTGTTTTGTCCAATCCATATTTTATAGCAGCTAGGGCAATCTGGGACGGAGGATATAACAACATCACATCACCATATAAGCACAACTAATTGTAAAATTTTGTTATATTCTTCAGTCAAAAAGCTTACCCTAAAAAACTCTGTAGAGAATGGCCTTATTGCCTCAATATCAAATTTGAGTGATGAAAGCTGCAATCCCATTCTTGTTTTTACTTCGATCATATGCCCTTCAAAGGGGCGAAAAGGTGAATGCACAGCTAAGTAATAGTCCAGCTTAAGCATAATTTCAGGTTCTAAATTCAGCACCGTTTCGATGTTTGATTCGCGCGTGCCACTGCTTAAAATAAAATATTAAGTACGCTGATTTTATTAAGATTTGCAAACCTTAGATTGTCAACAAAATTGTCGATGGTAACGTTGAATTCATCTACCTTTAAATTGGTTTAAAAATAACTTTAAAAACATCAACCTTTGCTGCAAGATAATAACAAGAAACCATAACATTCTTGGGCGAATACTCCATTACAGAATGTCTCAAGTAGAACCGTTTGAAGTATGCAAATGCAGTCCATCTAACTGAAGGCCACATCTCAGGGCGGAATTCGTCTCCAAAACTAAATAATTGTTTAAAATAAGGAAAATAAACATTTACCGAATTCCAGTTTCAGTCACTATTCGACAGAAAACTGCTTCTTCATCAGCAGTAAGAAAGTCTTCCTCACTTGCTACATGGGGATATTCCACCAGTATTGTCTTAAATCTTTAATATTTGAGTTTGATTAATTAACAAAAAATTTATTACCTGTCAATGTGTGCTGTGTTAACAGCCTTTCGCATTTCTGATAGTTCATTTTTGTTCCCAAAAATCCAAAAACGTTTTTGTGTACTTGTTGGAAACATTTCTAACAAACATTATTAAAAGACTTATTCCAACCAATTAAAAAAAAAGAAAAATTCCTTTAATATGGACAATATTTTTTTAAAGTAATTAATAAAAAACCATTTATTATCAAAATATATACTGAATAAAAACTGTAAACTTTTCTAAATAATATTTTAAGTTGTCAATTGAATCAATTTTCTTATTAATTTCCCATAAAATATACTTATATAAATTGTGTCTTTACAAATACGAATGATCTCGATTATTTGAATCTGTAGGAAGAGTTGTATTGCAATTATTGCCATCGTCACCTTCAACACTTTCTCCCGTCTCCCCTCCTCCCTTTACAACTTGATTGCGCTGAATTGATTCATCGCCTTCTTGAAGTTTTTGTTGTGACGATTTGTCCTCCTTTTCTTGCTCTGATTCTTGTTTCTTTATCTCCAATTCCTTTGAATGAGTAACAGAAACAGACTTTTTCGGCGAAGAAAGGATCGCGGAACGAACTGGTTTCTTCTTTGGCGATGGATGCGGGCTAGAATATTTGTATTGAAAATAGTTTCAAAATAAAATATACCTTGAAACATACCCTGGAAGTACTGGTCCCAAAATATTTCGTTCACTAAATAAATTAAATTTTCCACTTTGTCAGAACATAAGATGGTACTTACATTTTTGGATCTGGATAATACGGTCTTGGATTTGTCCAACTAACAATCTAAAAATAATTCGTATTAATAAATATATAATTAAAAATTACTTTTCCAGTTGAATACATTATACGGCCAGGATTATAAGGATCAACCAGCTGCGTGAGCATATCAGCCTTTTCCTTATCCATACACGGAACGTCTGCTCCCGGTGCAACTTAATAAGAAAACTCACAATCAATAAAATAATTTTAAGTCACTTAAACTCACCAAATTCATCAGGTGCCAAATTTAATTTCTCACAATATCTAAGTTAAGTTTATTTATTGTTAACCTTTAAATTTCTTTTACCTATACATTAAATGAACACGCATATCAGAGCAGAAGAATGCACCAGCATCACAAAGCGAACAACGAACACGAATAACTCTAATATGCGAAACCATATGACGACGCCCATCCTTAAAATTTAAATTATTGTTTGAATAAAATTTTAAATATTATACCTTAATATTTTTACGAACATCACCACATTCTCCACATTGACATAATCCATCCGAACTGACATTCTTATTGAAAAGCGGTTTCAATGGCTTAAAGAAAAGATCACGCTGCGTTTCCGTTAAATAAACTGGAATTTGAGCAAGATCCTTAAAAAAAGAAAATATTTAATCAAATCATTTTTTAAACTTTAGGTTTTGGCGGTGGTAACGGACGATTTCCAGATGTATTGGATACTGATGGAGAAAATTTAGTTATCTTTTCTTTCGCATTACTAGTTCCAAGGACTGAAAGTTCTCCATCCGCTTCTTCATTGGCTAATTCGTTTAAATTTTGTTTTCGATGAGAAGATGATTTGTCTTAAAATTACTTTTTAATGTTAATTTACCCTTGTGTAAAAAATATACCAGAAGTGGTCGAAGTTTTAGTCTTCGTCTCTTTAAGCACTTTAGCCCGTGGAGTGTATAGTACCAGTTCTTCTTTGTACCGATCAGTAATAACAGAGGGGAATTGTTGCTTCTCCTTTGTTAAAACTGGTGGAGTTTCAGATTGCTCCTCATTCGCAGAGTTTGAGTCAGTTCCACAAATTTCGTCCAACATACTACTTGTTAATTAAAAAATGTGTTTTGTTTAGAATTTTTAATGATTTAAATAAAAACACAAAAAGGTTTTAACAAAAATTTATTAAATAATCTTTTCAGTTATACCGATCAATTTGTTGTTTAGTTGTTGCCGCAACGCTTCCTCCTCTAGCACCATTTGAAAATTCTGTCGGTGTTTCACTTCCAGATTTATCAGTCTTTATTGAATCGGGAAGAACAAAATCTCGAAATTCGCGGAGAGCTGCTGCTGCAGTTGTCGGTACAGTTACTGCTTGAGGCGCCTTCTTTACTTTAGTAAGATCAACGTTTTCTTGGTGAACAGCTTCTGCACTCGATGTAACAATTGGGATTTTTTGACGCTTCTGTCTCATTCTGCGTTCAGCGGTTCCGTGAGACAAAATTCTTCGTTTACCAGCAGAAAACACTTTCATTGGTGTTCTTTTCGCAGTTTTTTCCGGACTTTTTGGTTCTTGTTTTGTTGGTGTTTTTTCGGACTTTTGCTTTGGTGCTAAATAAAACGATTTTATAAAAAGAAAATGTTTCAAAAATACTTCCTGATCGTTGCTTCCGTCCTCCCTTCTCACCACTGCCAACAATTCCAACATTTTCATAAATATCGTATCTCGTATTCGGACGACGCTATTAAAGTTAGAAAAGTTCATTAATACCTATTTAACAAGAAATTACCGAACGGTGTGGACGATTTATCAACAAAAGGTCACTAGTTGCCGGAGATGGAGTGCTAGTATTGCTCCGATCAGCCGAAGCTTCACTTGCATGACCATTTTCTTCTTCTTCTTCTGGAGCTTTTGAATTTAGCAGCTAAAATTGTATGTTATTTAACTTCGTGATTTTTAAGAAACTGTTTCTTCTGGTTTCGTTTTATTTAAAATTTATAAGATTACCATATCAATTTTACGTGCTTCATCTTCATCAATGAGTCCAATTTGCGTTGAATCACTCCCAGTTTCAACATCATTTAAGACGTCTTTTGAACACGTAGGTTTGTCGTCCAAATTAATGTCTAATGATGGATTAACTCCTTCACTTCCTTCCATATCATTACTCGAATTCGTCGTTTCATCGATGTTCCCAACCCAATCCTTTCGTTTTTTCGCTTCAATAAGTGCATAAGTAGCAGAAAGTTGCTAAAAATAAAGATTTATAATTTCCCCTATTATTTAAAACTCTTACTTGTTTAATCTCCTCCTGTTGAGTTAACCTAGCCTTTGATGTTGGCCTTGTGTATCTGCTTCTTTTCGTTCTTGTGTTAGTAAACCCTCTCTTCCTTGAAGGTTTAACGATAATTTTCTTTTCTTCAGACTTTTCTTCTTCAAAGTTTTTAACAAAAAATGGACTGAGACTTCGTGCGCGATAAGTCGAGACTTCTTTATCCTGAGCAATAGGAGAAAAATTTAAGTCAGATACACTCATTTTTATCAGTTTTCTTTAACTAAAAGTGATAGTAGTAACCGTCTCATTGAACTTATTTTTTGAATTTTTATCTCTCTCACATCATTAGCCTTTCAAGTTGAATTTTATCGAGAAAAATGTTTCAAGTCTATCCCGTTTTTGCTCAAAACTTTTAGAGACTCAAAACGCCTAATTCAACGACTATTAAACTCACTAAACGAAAAAGATGAATTAAACAAAAAAAAATTTAAAAAAAGTTGTTCAATGAGGTGGAAATAAAGCTGAAAACAATTAGAAAATTTAATCAAATCAAGAATTGAGCTCGGAATCGGCTTCAAACTTTTTGTTTAATTAAGGACATTTCGCCAGACTCAATGTAAATTAAATAATTTTAAATTTTGTGACTTACTCGACGCCTACTAGAGTCTGAGCTAAACTTTTCAAAACGAGCTTTGATGTGTTGTTCACGAACAGAGGTGTGAACAGTATTGAAATGTTTTTGAAGATCTTCGAGTCTGGAAAAATGAAATTATAAAATGAAAAATTTTAAAAATGAAGAAATTTTAAACTTTTTAAACGCAGGTTCATCACACAAAAAGCATTTAATGTGTGGTGCCGGGTTTTTCAACAATGCTTCTTCAGTATATTCAGTTTGATGTTGAATTGCAAGATGATGAGCGAGAGCAGCTAACATAGTAAATGAACTCTGGCCATTTGTTGTGCATCTAAAATGGTTTATTTTTTTAATTTTTTTGGTAAATTTTCCTGAAAAGTTGGTCAATTTTTACCTTTCATCTTCACAACGTAAATGAACAAAATCAACAGGTATTGCAGATGGTATGCGTTCCAATATGGCAATCTATTTGGAAAATATAATTATAAATTTATCGTTTAAACTTGTTCCAATGTCAATTCATGAAGTTCCGCGTCTCCATTTCCACTGTTTCCACCTCCATCCCCGCCATTAGCCAATTTCTTCAATTGTATAGATCGTCGACGCCTTAACTGCATTTCGCCGCAACGTGTGCTGTTCTCACGTGGGATAACTAACGCTACGCGGTTTTCCGGTATTTGTTCCTTTATTGTCATTCCAACGGGAAGCTGTTCAATAACCTAAATAAAATTTTGTAGAAATTCAGAAAAAAATTTTTTTAATCGTAGAAAAATTACTTGTTTTCCATCAATAATTGTAGTTTTTGCTACTTGACGAATAACTTTTGGTAAAGTTTGTATCTCAATATTGGACTAGAAAAAAATTTTTTAAACAGTTAAAAACTTGAAAATTCTTAAATTATTTACATTAGCCTTTTCAAGATGAACATTCACTGGACGAATATGCTTTGCAATATTCCCTACTGGATTAAATCGACGCAGTGCTCGAACATTTTTTACATTTCGTTTTGCAACAAGGTTATTGTTTCCATTATTTCCTCCACCATTAGCACCAATTTCTTCGTTTTCTGGTTGTTGATCACTAGTTAGGCCTTAAAAATTTATTTTTCCTGTTTCTTATTAACTTAAAAATTACCTTCTTTGGCGTTTTTGATCACCTCAGAAAGTTGTTCTGCTTGTATATGTGATTGTAAAGAACGGCAAATCGTACGCTTGTGAGCGATAAAGTTGATAATTGAACGAAAAAGAGCACGACAATAGCTAGAATTGAAAATTTAAAAATATGTTAACTGAAGATTTGGCATCTTTTAGATCAATATTTAATATTAAGGCTGTGAAACGGACTGTGAATAATTTCTAGGCATATTTTGTTCCTAGTGGATTTTATATTTATAAGAGATATTAATTATCCGAAATCTCTTAAAATTCCAATATAAAGCAAAATTAATGTTTGAGTATTACCTGCACTCATAAATCACACAGCATTCGTTCTTCAACAAATTCTTCACTTCCTCGGTACCATTTTGGTAATAGCGAACAATTGAATCGACACCAGAACTGCCAGTAGAAAGTGTTGGCACTTGAGAAGCTGGATCTTTTATATAATTTAATGACATTAATATTCAAAACTGAAAATTAAAAAATATGGATGTGTTAAAATTTGGAAAAAATAAGAGTAAGAATGATTTTGTGGACAGTGGTGCCTCGATAATTGAAACACCAAATTTCTTAAAAATGTATAAAGTTTGTAAAGTTTAAGCGTTCATTAAAAATAAAAAATCGTTTGATTTCAATTTATGAGGCAGTGGCACTGCTCATTGTTAAATTACATAGGATAAGGAAAAGAACCTTTACATTTGTTATAAATTTGAATGAATTTAAATTGCACATTTCTTTATTTATGTGCAAAACTGTTAAAAACCCTTGGATATCAGTGCCATAAATCTAAGATGTTTGTATTGGTGGCTTTCTCAACTGCATGGCTTATTAAACTGCACATGGTTTCTTTATCAATATTTAGGTACAAACTGTTAAAAACTCTTGGATATCAATGCTATAAATCTATGATATATGGGTCAGTAGTTTTCCTAACTGCATGGCTTAGAAGACGTTTACAACACAAAAGCAGATGCCTACGATCTTAAATCTAAATCTACAAATGCTTGAATACTCTTTCTTAGAATGCGCAAAGTTGAATGAAAATTAATCACCTATACCGATTTACTGATCGCAAGCGGATTTAATGGTATTTAATCAAAACGATTAAACTTAAGCAATGTTTATGTCAAAGGGGACTTTATTCTATAGATCTATTCTATAAATCCTTTTAAAACTTGAGTAAAACCAAAAAATTGTTAGCGCATAAAACAGTCAAGTGTTTATTTTTTGAATACCATTTGGATAGCGTTTTATTACAAGACAAACTTGATTTTGTCCAACATCGCAAAAAACTTCGCAGTCATATAAACTATTTGAATGTGCAAAGGTATGATTCTACGTGTGATTTTAATCAAGCAACTTGATTTGCGTTGGTTAGCACTTTCTGTATTGTAACATACAAAAGAATCATTATTAACCGTTAAAAGTCCGTTTGTTATGGGCTTCGAATCTTATTATACATTTGTACTTAGAATAAATTTTATCAGTTAAAAAGTTATTTGGAAGAAATCATAAAAACAGTGAAGACGTGTAAACCTTGTTTTAGACTTTTTGCATTCTTAGCGTTGCAAGGGCTAAAAACTTTTGCTTATTTTATGAGGAATCACCCATTGATGTTTTATATCTTCCCGCGTTTTGGCACATTCTACTGTAGTGACGTTCTGCCAAATTACTGTATAATACTGTAGAAACCCTTTGAGAGACCCCTACATGTTCGTCTAGTTCGATATCTGAGATTCAATTGTCGAATTTATAAGTAGTGAAGGATGCGAAACAAATAGACGGTGCGTAATTCACATCATTGGGTATTTAGACAGGATTTCAAATGATCGTGAGAATGACAAGTCTACAAGAGTGAAGAGCAAAATTGCAGAAGTTTAAATCTGGAGGCGACTTTTCAAAGAGAACAAATATCAGGAGCTAAGTTATGACTCTCATCTTAATCGAGATCTCTCGTGCAATACTTGCTGTGCGGAGTGACAAAGGATGAAGGGAATGGATGAAGGGATTCTTCCTTCATGGTAATCATCCTATGAAGGTAATGTATAAATATCAATAAGTTTATTTAAAAAACATGTATTTTTAACCAAAAACTAATTCAAAAATGAAAAACAAAATTTAAATTAAATCACTACTTTTTGACATTCTTCTTTGCAATTTTATCCGGTCTTCGCCATCTGTTCGCCTTTTTGTTTCTATTTTGTTTCAAAAATTGTTTGCCAACTTGTTTCTTTTTTTGATTCTCTTCCAAGTCTTTTAAATCAAATTCTGGATTAACAACATTATCCTCATTTAATTTTTTTGTCTGCTGACTGAAAAAAGATTTTTTTTAGAAGTTTTTTAAGTTTTTATTTCTAACCTTAAACATTGATATTCCTCAGGAAACGGATCTTTCGAGATCAAAATAAACATTTCTGGAGTTATTAAATTTCTTTCTTTATCATTCTCGCTTGATTTATTGTTGCTCTGAGTTTTTCTTAATACATTCCATTGAAAAATAGGTTGTTTAATTTTTTGTTTAAAAACTTCAGCAAAACAAATACATTTTTCACAACCACTGCCTGTTCCTTGAAAAATAAGTTTTCTAATATTTTCGTCCTTTGAAAAAAATTTTTTTTGAAAATTTGAAGAAAATTAAAAAACCGAAAAATCCTTTTCTGCTCTAGCTATAATTCTTTCAAATTTTGTATGTTTTTTTAAAACAAAGATTGAAACATTTTTTATTAGGTCTTCAGGGAAAGGCGAATTTGTTGATAAAATGGTGTTGTTACGTTCACTGCAACTGCTATCATCAGAAATTTCCATTCCTAGAAAGTTTTTGCTTTTAATTAAAATGAGAGAAATTGGGTACACCCAACCCAAATCACCGAGTTATAACTTCGTTCAAAATTATCGAATCCGGGATGCCTTCGTATGGTTCGATGCACCTCGACCGGCTGAATCGAACCATAACAGGGTGTCCCGGATCCGATCATTTTGAATGAGGATATAGCTCGGCGGTACATTGGCCTGCTCCCAGAGAAATTCTAGTGAAATTTATAGAATTGCAAACTTTTATTTTTTATTTTTTTTATTCAGTTTAATTTTAATTTTTGAAGAGTTTGCACCAAAGTGTCCAATTTAAATTTGTTTAACAATTTATTTTTTTAGAATAATTTATTTTTAAATTTCTTTTTAGGATAAAAAATGTATTCGAGAAATGCTTTCCTTCATCGATTTATTTATTCATGCAAAATCAACTACAGAAATATTCATAATGATCAACTCCTTTCAAGTTCAGAACAATTCGAAAATTTTGTACCAAGACAACGATTCGAACTTCCTGTGAAATTTGATCGGAAAGATTGGTCTGTTTTATTTTTAATTTATTTTACCCTTTTTTAATTTTAATTAAAAATTACTGTTGTGGTGTAGTGGTTAGTGTCTCCGACTTGAATTTGACAAAACGACCCGGGTTCGATGCCTGATAGTGGATTAAGTGTGTGTTTGACTTGTTTATGGCAGTTAGCCTGCCCGGTATTAGGATTATGTTAGGCACAGTTCGGTACTACCCCTGTACTACCTTCAGTATCGGTGCCGGTATTGTTCGGTACTCCCGGAACCGTACCGATGAAATTTTGTAAATTTCGGTACTCATCGGTACCGGCACATTTCGGTACTCCCGGTACCGGTACCAAAAAATTCATTATCCCAACACTGGTTTAGGATATCAAGGGTGTTATGCTTTTAAATTGATCCATTTTTTAAAAAGTACTTCATTGGTTAATAATAAAAAAATTATTTTAGGTATCCAAAACATATGCATATTCAAATGAAAGTAATGGAAGGGAAGCTTCGAACAGTTGACTTGATCTTGGAAGTTCATGACTGTAAAAACATTTTTTTAATGTTGATATTTTTCTAATTTCAGCACGAGTGGCTCTCTCAGGAAGGAACTCAAATTTTGCTCAAAAATTGTTTTCAGTAAGACCACATATTTTAGTAATGAATAAAAAGGATTTAATCGATCAGGAAAGATACAGGTTTTCTTGAAATTTTTTTGAAATTCTTAGAGCTTGTTAAAAAAATTTTTTTAGAGAACAAATAGAGAAACATTACAATTATCAAGGTGTTGAAAACATTTTTTGGACAGATTGCACAAAGCGTGTGGATTCACAATGGGATGCTTTAAGAGAAAAAATGTTGGAATTATTACAAAAAGAACTTCGATTTAATAGAACGGTTAAAACAGAATATCAAGTAATGGTTATTGGAATTCCAAATGTTTGTTTTTGTTTTTTATAAATGGAAAAGTTTCGTTTTAGGTTGGTAAATCTTCTCTAATTAATGCTTTTAGGAAAAATAATTTGGGATATGAAAAGGCCCATGCTGAAGGTCCTTTTCCTGGTGTCACTACAAGAGTTCAAAATCGTGTTAGGATATGGCAAGTTTTGATATTTTTTTAAATAAATTTTTACTATTTTTTATAGGGATCGACCAGCAATTTATATTTTGGATACTCCTGGTGTATTAAATCCATGGTTAGTTTTTTTCAAACCTGATAAAGAAATGTTAAATTTGGTGATTCCTTGATGGAATGCTCAAAGTTGATCATTTTGATTGATGATATTCTGGGCATATTTTTACATTTTCGTATAACTTGAGATCAACCCAGAAGGCCACAACCCAGAAAGTCAACACCCAGGAGGTCAAATGCCCAAAAGGTCAAGGATTCATTGTGATAAGGTGGAAGAAAGGACACAAAACGGAACTGTCTGATGAGGCAAATGGAAATAGGCAAACGTATTTTTGATCTTTATTCAGCTTTATCCGCTCAAATATTTAGATTTGACCTCCTGATTTTGACTTTCTGGGATAGACAAGATTAATTTAATTAAAAAACATTTTAGGGTTCATACAGTTGATGAAGCAATGAAATTATCAATATGTAATTTAATTCTAGAAAGTCATACAAGTCCCTATTATGTTGCTGATTATTTGCTTTATTATATGAATAAGTAAGATAAATTTAAAATAATTTTTTTAATTTTTTAGGCACAAAGATTTTTCTTATTTAAATCAATTAAAAATGGAAGAGCCAATTGATGATATTAGACAAGCATTAATTCAGTGTTGCAAAGCATTCAATTTACGAGTAAAATCGAGTGTATTCCAAACAACTGAAACAAATAAAGATCTTTGGGATGTTTTTGGAGCTAGCACACATTTTTTAAAACTTTTTAGAAATGGGCATTTTAGTGATAATTTTCTGGATAGAGATTTACTGTAAGTTAGAGATTTTTAGAAATTAATTTTTGGTTAATTTAAGCGGCTTCCATGATTCACGTACTTGTTTATCTTCGTTCAGAAATACAAAGAAAATGAAAAAAATGTGATTAATGCTTTTTAGGTTTTAAATTATACATTTAAATTTTAATATATTTTTTGTTTTGTTGTTATTTTGTGTTCATCTTGGATTAATTCCAGAAAATTCTTTTGATTTTGCATTATTTTATTTTAATTTTTATAAAAATTTTTTGGTTTGACACTAAATGCCGCCCATTTTGTTTTGTCACAGCGTTTCTCGCGTTGGCACATTTATTGGCAAACAAACCTCAATAAAGTCAACATGTAAATTTTCAAATGTGGGAGCTGATACGTTTAAACTTCAGGAATTTGCTGGAAAATACCTCGGGAATAAAAAGGTTTGCTATGGAGAAGAGGAGATTTTTTAATTTTGTCGAGGTTTTTTGTTCTTAAAGGTTCTGTTCACAGAAAGACTTGAATTTAGAACGCCGAAAGATTGCGATGCAATGCCGATTTATCGATGCGTGGACTCGAACGGAAATTTTTTAGATGAAAATGAAGAACCCGAATTTACAAAGGTTTTTTTTTTATCTCGAAAGAGAGAATTTTTGTTTGGTTTAGGAGGTTGCTCAAAAAATTTATATGGAGATGACCAAGTTGAATACTATGGATAAGATACTTTATGAATCACAACGCCAAGGCCGTATTTCGTTTTATATGACTAGCTATGGAGAAGAGGTTAACGACTAGAAAGTTAAGGAGAGAGAATTTTTTATTTTGCAGGCAAGTCATCTTGGCTCAGCAGCAGCATTAGAGCCCAGTGATCTAATATATGGACAATACAGGGAGACAGGCGTTCTTCTCTGGCGGGGATTTAGTCTGGATCAATGCATGAACCAATGCTACGGAAACAAACTTGATCCAGGTTTGTTTTATTTTTTATTGAATTATTTATTTTTAAAGGCAAGGGAAAACAAATGCCCGTTCATTATGGCGATGCTGGACTAAACTTTGTTACCATAAGTTCACCTCTAACAACACAATTACCGCAGGCTGTTGGATGTATTTTTAAGATTAAATTTTAATAATTATCGACTTCCTTTAGCTGCGTATTCCTTTAAATTGTCAAATCCCACCAAGTCTTCAGATCAGCAACGTATAGTTTGTGTGTATTTTGGAGAAGGAGCGGCCTCTGAGGGTATGACGAAATTGGCGATGAATCGTCCTTATTTTTATTAAGGTGATGCACATGCTGCGTTTAATTTTGCTGCAACATTGGTATAGTTTAAATTTTTTGGGGAAAAATTGAAACCTTTTTGTCATTAGAATTGTCCAGTGATATTTTTCTGTCGGAACAATGGTTATGCAATAAGTACGCCTACATCAGAACAATATTCTGGCGATGGGTAAATTTTAATTTTCAAATTGAAATTTGTTTTATAATTCAGAATTGCCGGCAAAGGTATTGGATACGGAATACACACAATTAGGTATACTTGATCTTTTCAAAAATATTTTAAATTTTAATTTTGCCGCGTAGGGTTGATGGTAATGATGTATTTGCTGTATATAATGCAACAAAAGCAGCGCGTGAATTGGCATTAACAAATTGTCCAGTTCTCATTGAAGCAATGACCTATCGGCTTGGACATCATTCAACTTCAGATGATTCTTCTGCTTATCGGTTTTTATTTGATAAAATTTTACTCAATTTTTCTTTTAGTTCCGCTGACGAGGTGAAAGAATGGACCGAACTGGATTTACCAATTTTACGCTATAGAAAATTTTTGGAAAGTAAAGGATGGTGGAATATGGAGATGGACAAGCAATGGCTTGGCAAAGTTTTTTTGTTTTAAATTTTTATGTTTATAAATAAAATTTTTTAGATAAAATCTGAAGTATTGGAATCGTTTAACAAAGCAGAAAAAGTCAAAAAATTGCCACCTGATGAACTCTTTAATGATGTTTATGCCGAAATACCAGAAGCTCTTAAAGTAATTTTCAATAAATTTAAATCTTTTAATTTCACACCTTAAGAAACAAAAAACGGAACTTTTGAATCATTTGGAAAATTTTGGAGAAAAATATCCTGAATTGGAAAATTTTGAAAAATGACTTTATTGTATATATTTTTAGCCTCTGTGATAGTATGCCTTGCACATTTTTATTATTAGTCTGTATTTAAAAATCTGATTTTCGTGCAGTATTTCTTAAAATTAGTGCGTTTTAATGGGACGAAACAGGGTAGGACGAAGTAAGTTAGGCCGAATCGGGGATATTTCTTCAGTGGGACGAATTAAGGCTTTTTGTTCAGAGGGACGAATCGTGGATGTGACGGGTTGTAGGCGCGCTTCTAGTCTGTTTGAATGAGATTTTAGTTGCTTTCAATTTGCGTTTTGTATAAATGGGACATTATATCCATTTTTCTTTATTTCTCAGATTATTTTCCGGCTCCCATACAAAATACCGAATTCTTAAAATATGGAATCTCAAAATCGCGAATCGGCTAAAAAAGCTCAAAATATGGAATCTCAAAATATCGAATCTCAAAATATGGAATAGGCAAAAAAAGCTCAAAATATCGAAAAATATCGACAATGCGGCAAAGGCCAGTTGAGTCTGAACAAAGTTGTGACCAACTTCTTCGTAAAAAAATTTTAAAAATAAGAGAAAGTATTTTTCTAAGGTAAAAAAATGTGCTGATTACGAATCTCAGCTCGGATTTTGAAAAAGTCGAATCCCGGACCCGAACCGAATTTCGAATCCCGAACCGAATTTCGAGTTTCCGAATGATAGCTCATCTGAAAGAGCACGTCGAGCTGCATCGAATGATACCAAAATCAATGAAATCCGACCTGATTGGACTGAGTTACAGATCCCTGAATAATCAGAAAAAGACCTGCAGCGGCACTCAAACGGCCCTTTTCGTTTTTAAAAAATTCGACATTTTTAACTACTTTTTAGCCGATTCGGTATTTTGAGCTTTTTTGGCCGATTCGCGATTTTGAGATTCGATATTTTAAGATTCCATATTTTGAGCTTTTTTGGCCGATTCCATATTTTGAGATATTTTTACCGATTCGCGATTTTGAGCTTTTTTAGCCTATTCGCGATTTTGAGAATTCGGTATTTTGTGCGGGCACGTATTTTCCTGTCTCTCAACTAAACTACATGTCTTACTTTTTTCGAGTGAGGGAATTATGTTCCTCTGATTTGTTGTTCTTGGATTTTTTTGTTATTCAATGCTGAACTGACATTGAAGAGGTGAGTTAAATTTTGATCGTTGTTTACATTATAAATTTATTTTTGATAAAGGACACACACACATATTAATCATTTTTTCTTTTCTCTTCTTGCTTTTATTTTTATTAACAACAAAATTACAACGAAAATGGAGCAAAGTAACTCAACTACTGACAATCTTTTAGTAAATGGAAAAGTTTCAGATCAACCGATTGCCTTACTTGTAGATGAGCTTTTCAAGGTTTAGAATTAATTCTTTTTTTAAAGTTTATGAATATTTGAGGTTGATTGGAATCCGTTCGTGGAACATAGGCGGTATATCACCATGGAAGGTAAAAAATAAACATTTTTCATATATTATAAAAATATATTTTTAGGCCATATGGAGGTGATTTTATTTGGTTCTTATTTTTATTATTTCCAACTTTCTTAAGATTTATAATGCTAATGAGGAAGATCCAGAACAAATTTGGAAAAGGCTATACTTTCGCACAAAAGATGGGCGTTTTCAGTGGTTTGCGGTTAGTTTAAATTATTTAAATTTATTTTTTTCTTATTAAAATTTCAATTCCTTTTTAGAGTCATTGTGCAGATGAACATCCAATTTCAGACGTGCTTCTAACTGGCACAGAGATCAAAGCTAATCGAGAGGATTGGACACTTTTGATAAAAGGAGGCAAGGAAAACGCTGATTTATTAGTTCGAGTGCCCTCAAACGTTTTTGATAAATGGCATCAGGTATTTAACTTTAGCATTTTTTTACTTTTATTTTTTACAGACGTTGTTGAGTCATTCCAGTTCTTCCCTGGTAGATGCGTATATCCAGCCAGTTTGGCCAGCAGTCCCACATCGCACAAATGTAATTTATATTTTCCTATTTTTTATAAATAATTTTTAGAGAATAATCCTGCTAGAAATTGGTGGCCATTCATTACGAGCTGGAATTCTTACTCAAAAACCCGCATTGCCCTATACTTTTATTCCACTTCTATGTGCTTTACATTCAGAAAATGATCATCTCAAATTTGTAGCTTCTGGAAAGGAGGCAATATTGGCTGGAAAACAAGAAAATTTCAATTTGGTCCAACCGATCAGGGTTTGTATTTTTTAAATTTAACTATCGTTATATTTTTTAATAGATTTCCGAAGAGGAAACATATTTGGATCGGGCAGCTATGATCTTTCTTTTGCAACGGGTTATGCAAGATATGGCAGTGCAGGCTCGTGAGATGGATATTAGTTTCAGGCCACAGAATTTTTCGGTTAATTTTTATGCATAATTTATTTAGCGATTTTCTTTGAATAGGTTCTTATGTCTATTCCTGAATATATGGACATTGAAGCTGCTTCTGATATCTTAAAAATGCTGCTGGATAAATCCTTTGGCTTTAGGGTTACTTTTAAAAATATTTATAATATTTGATCTTTTTAATTTATAGAATGTAGGAATTGTTCGACAGCCAAGTTTAGTCCTTTATTCTTATGATGTGACAACAGGTGTTGTTGTTTTTATCGGAGAACATTTCTCGATTGTTCCTATTATTGATGGTATATTTTGAACTGATTTAAATTGTATTTTATTTTTTTTAGAGTTTGTTGTTCAAGATGCTGTAAATTTAATACTTCCTTATGGAGCCAAACAAATTAGAGACAAACTACGAACTAAACTTGACTTGAAAGGATGGTTGAATGCCTTAGATTCTACTAATTCCTCTTCAGCGACAGTTGAAGAGCTTTTGTTGCGATTTCTTGTTGAAAAGGTTACTCAAAAGTTTATTTAAATAGTTTTTTTCTTTTCAGTGTTGTTTTGTCGCAGCCAATGGATATGATTCTGAGAGGCAAAAAGGTTCCAAAGAAATGGTCGTTCAATTGCCTGGAACTTCACTTTCGCTTAAAATTGATGGTGAAATTAGATTTTCCGCTCCAGAGGGTATTTTCAATCCAAGTCTGTGTGGCAAAGAATCAGCTGGACTTCATCAATTGGTTTGCTTTTTATTATCTTTTTGAATATTCTTAATATTCAGGTACACGAAGCGATCCAAAGATGCCCGATCGACAGTCGACGACCTCTCTATAGGTTAAAAATTTAATTGCTTTTAAAAAATTTTTCTTTTTTAGAGCAATTTATTTAACAGGCGGTTGTTCATTGTTGCGAGGATTGACTGAACGTCTTGAATTGGAGGTTAACTTTTTTTAATTGACATTTTCAAAAGTGTATTTAGATTTCAAAACTTGTCCCACCATCTATACCTGTACAGGTATTTTCTATACACTTTTTATTCCTTTATTATTCTCCCTATCCTCTTGTAGGTATTAAATAGTCCCTGGCGGCGGCATTCTGCATTCTTGGGTGCACATCAAATTTCTGCCGCCTCGGATGAATTTCCGGGAAAATGTTGTGTTGGAGAATCGGAGCTTGACGATTATTTGCGTCGTATGAGCACTCCCACAACAATGGAATAGAACATTTTTAAAAATCCTTTTCTGGCTTTTTTAGGTGTAAATTAACCTTTTAAACTATTCTTACTCCCAAAAAATTAATTTTTTGTGCTTTTATTACTCATTGCCAATAACCAATTAATACATTTATTTCTCACACTTGTGATTCTCTAAAACAATTAAAATTCGTGCAGCTAAAAAAAACCTTTGTAATATTTTAAGACCTCTACCAAAACTGCTCAAAATCGTTTGGTAATTCAAAACTTAATTTTGATCATTTAACTTTACTTGATATTGAGCAGTTTTCTTTTTCATTTTTATCATATCTACATATTTATAGTTACTATATGTGCTTATAACAAATATGTATGTAGCATAATCTCTTTAATTAACAACCTTACTAAAAAATAAACGAATTTTCTTAGATCATTTTATGTAACTTTCAGATTCCTATAGCGTTTTTTATCTATAAATATAGCTTTTTTTTTAATTTTTCCTATGGCCACACAACTAATAAAAATAAATTACTGCGCGGATTACAGCTTCAAATACATTCATTATGTTTCCATGCCAACGTCTGCGCAGCAGTTTTCTTAAGGATTTTTCTCATGCTATCAAAATTTTCTATTGACGAAATGTGTGACTGAAGCGCGACTTTTGGCACTCATCTTCTTTTAATTTTCTAATTAGAAAAAGTGTTTTTTTGGCATCCTTCAATCCTTTCGCGCACTCTTTTTTGCTTAATTATCTTGAAAATATTAGAGAGGAATGGCTTAAGCCGGATTGTATGAATTTTGAGAGAATTCTTTTCAGTGTCCGGAAAAGCTTGTCCCCCAGTTATTACTATTTATGTCAATATGGCAGCCACTCAACTTTATTACTTCCCAAGATTAGTTTGCGTAACCATTAAATCCCTTTATACTTTTTAGTAAACAAATACTATATTTCTTTTTCGATTAAAATTAAGTAGTCTTGGTACTAAAAAATTTGTGGATAATAATTTTAATGAAGGCATAATAGTTCTTCCTTATTATTTCTATTTGTCGTCTTTTGAGGCAGGCATTCAGAAATTCATTTTGAATTTTTTAAAATTTAATTTTTTAGATTTATTGAAAGAATTTTTAATTGCTTCTATTTTTATTTTAGCTGAGCAATTATAAATTTAGTTTTTTTTCTTCCATCCCTTTTTTATGTTTTGAAAGAGTGTGCCACAACAATGGCCGCCCGTGATGGAAGAAGCAGGCAAAACTATTTACAAGAACATTCAATTCCTCAACTTTTTGAGGTAAAAAATGCTTTCAAAAAAGGCTAAAATATTTCCATTATATAAACTTTTTCAAGGGTTTAATGACTGGACTTATATACAATCAACCAATCGATCCTATTCAATTTCTGGAAAATGCAATAGCTAAACTTCGAAAAAATCCTGATCTTCCATTAAAGTGGTTTGTTTAAAGCTGTATAAAATTTTTCTAAAAATTTTAAATTGCAGGGATACTTTTATAAGTGTTTCGCCTCAACAACAGCAACAACAGACGAGAATGAATACTGGAGAAAATGCAGTTTCTTATAAACAAAACACTCCGATTGAAGGTGATTTTGAATAATTTTTAAAATTTTTTAAGAAAAAAGTCCTATGTCCAATTTTTTAAAAGTAAAAGCACGTGTTCCCTTGCAAAATTGATTTAAAAAATATAAAATATAGTAATATTTTCCCCTTTTATTGGTCTTTCCATGCTCCTAAATTGTTTCCGGTTGGAGTCTAAGGAGTATTATATCTCATTTTTAATGCTAAAATCTTTCACAATTGGAAAATTATTTTTTTACACTTTATTATATTTTCCCCCTAAAACTATTAATATTTTTTACCAATTACTTAATTACTATATTTCTTTAAAACAACTTTCTTAATTATTTAAAATTTTTGGGGTTCAAAAAATAATTTCAAAAATTTTATTTAAAATTGAATGAGTCGCTCAAGGTGTTTATCTCGACTTAAAGTGCCTGGTTGGGAACGTGCGTGCTTAAAAATTTTTTTGAAAAATTTTTAATTTTAATAATATTTAGCTAAACCTCAAGTAACTACTGCTGCTGAAGCAGCTTCAAGTATTAGAAATTCGGGCAAAAGAAGGTATAATAATTTAACAAAATCATTCACTTTTCTCTTCAAAATCAGTCCTTCCTCAACTCGTAGCAATAAAAAGAATAGTGGACAAACTTCTGGCGTTTCAAATAGTGGTGATCAAAATCGTCGAAGACAAAGTGGAGCAACCAATTCAACAACTGAAAAAGCTTCTTCATCTTCACGTCCAAATTCTTTAGCTCAAGCAGCAAATAATGCTTTTATTGTGCCTGATGCACCTATTATTCTTTTTATGGGTGGACCTGGTGGTGGTAAAACTCGTTATGCTACTCAACTTCAAGATCAACTTAAAGAAGAAGGGCTTGTGCATATTTGTATGCCTGTAAGTAAAATGGGATATTCTTAAATTTTATATTTTTAATTAAGGATTTGGTTAGATCAGCTATTTCTCGTTATAAAGATAAGCTTCCTGAATGGAGAGCAGCTGCAGAAAAGGGTATAGACATTGATTTTAATAAACATTTTCCTGTTTTAACCTTTTCCAGATCAACGTGGAGAACTAATCCCTAATGAATTGGCTCAACAATTAGTGGTTGCTGAAATGGGAAAGCATACACAGGCGCGTGCCTTCTTCCTTGAGGGATTTCCGAGAGAGGCTCACCAAGTGGAGGAATTCGAAAAGAATGTGATTAACCTCATTAAATCTTTATTTTTTCAAATTTTTCAGGTTCGTCCAGTTGATATGGCATTAATTCTTGATTATGATGAAGATGTATTGCGTCGTCATATGCAGGCTCGAGGACTCCTTTCTGACGTTATTGACCGCAGAATAAACGAATTTAAAGAAAAAACACTTCCTACTGCCAAATATTTTGATGATCAACAATTACTTCATTTAATCCCTGGAGAACGTTCAGATTCTGTTATAATTGAAAGAATGAAGAAGTTAACATTACGGGCAATACATGCTGGTGTTGGAGGTTTAATAACTAGTAGTAATTCTGCAAGTTCTTCAGCAACAGGAGGTATATATACGAGGGACGGTATTGGAAGTAGAAATAAAGAAGGAAGTGCTAAATCTGTTTTGGGAACAGCAGTTTCTTCAGCTACATCTAAAGAAGATGTTATACCAAAAATTATAAATGGTGGTGATGGAACTGAGAATGGTAGTAAAAATATATTCTAGTGTTAACTAGGGTTGTGGAAAATTTTTACGAGTTTGTTTTATCCTGTTATATCCTCCTATTAAATCCCTAGTGGGCACAACATTCTCGATAGTCATTAAAAAATCAAAAAAATTATAGCTAATCGAATCCTCAACACTCCAAAAGTCATTTCAGCTACTCCAATAATGCCAGTACCAACTCCCATCTCAACACCTACTAATTCTATTATTCAACAACAAAAAGCTGTAAATAATTCCAATCCGTCTACACCTCAAAGACCCCCTTCTACTAGTTCAAAAGTTAATGGCTCAAGGAAATCCACTCCAGCCCCTGCTCCTCCAGGACCTCCTTCTTCCATTTCTTCTTCACCTGTAATAAAAAATTCTGATGAAATGAATGATCCTTTTCCTAAAGGTCTTCCATCAGAAGTACCTGTTATTCTTATAATTGGTATTCTTTTTAAGTAAAAAATTAAATAAAAATTGTTTTAAAGGAGCACCCGGTTCAAATAAATCAACTTTTGCTCAACGCATTGCTCGAAAATATGAAGGTTTTGTACAATTAAGTATGGGTGAATTGCTTAGGTTATTTTTCCTTTTTAAATTAATAATTAAATTTAAAAATAGACGCAAAGTCCTTGAAAATAGAGAAGATGCTCTTTGGTCCCGTGTTGGAAAGAAAATGGATGCTGGAGAAACAATTCCACTCGTTTGTTATTTTTTATTTTAGAATTGTCTTTTTTAAACAATTCATATTCTCTTAATATTAAAGAGAATTTGTCGAGAACTTCTGTATACAACACTACACGAACGTGGGAAGAATGCTTGGGGTTTTGTATTGGAAGGGTAACAATTCTGAAAATTTTTTTAAGCTTTTTTTTGTTTTTCAAAGTTATCCACGTAGTGTTGTTCAAGTGGAGGACGTTGAAGCACAGGTTTCTTGATTTGTTTTTTCTTATTTTTAAAATATTTATTTCAGCTCGGCCGCATTGATTTGGCAATTTTAATAGATTGCACTGAACCTTTTTGTAATGAATCCCTAAGACAGCGTTATCAAAGGGGAAAGGAAGAAGGTGCAGAAAGAGCAGGTTTATTACATTAATTATATACTTTTAATAATTTATTTTTCAAATGCTAGATGATGAAGAAGGAATTGTTCGTGTTCGTCTAGCGCTCTTTAAACTCAACACGTTGCCAATGTTGAAACATTTAGGTAAAAATAGATTAAATGTGGAATTTGAGAAATGTCTGATGTTGTTCCTGTGGTGTAGTTGGAGAATGTTTAGATTTTATGTAACATGTCCCAGGTTCGAGTCCTCCCCAGTGCGAGATTTACTTTTTACTAATTTAACATGGGGAAAAAATTAAAATTTCATTTTTAAACAAATAACTCATTTTTTCAGATGATCAAGGATTGCTACGAGTGGTGAGCCTGCAACTGCACGAACACGATCCAACACATTCTGAGCACCAGGTCCGCGGCCTAAAAATTTTTAGTTTTTAGAGAAAATAAGTAAATGGCCGCTGACCAGACAAATTCTATTCTTTACTTTCCTATCTTTTTTGGAATTTTTCAAAGCTTTCTAGAATATTTCCTCTTTTACACTAATTCAATTATAGAGTGAAGGTGATGCCGATGAAGAGAGAGTATTCCAAGAGATTTGTGCCATAATCGACAACACTATTTTTGTGCATGGTTTTTAATCGTTAATTATAAATCAAATTAATCCATTAAATTCAGATGATGGCAATGGGATGAGCTTAGAATCCAGCCAAAGGAATTCGACAGATAAAGTGTGAGAGAACAAGCTGGTCACACAAATAGAGAAAAGTATTCAATATTTTTATAAGCAAATAATTGTAATTATTTTTGAAAATATTTTTTAATAAAAATCATATTCTGAAACTGACTTTTTAATAATGGTCATTTATTTTAAGTTATTTTATTTTAATTTCTAAGCGAATAAATGAATAATTATTTTATAAATGGTTGCTTTTACTTTATCAAAGAAGTCCTCCGCTACTTCCTCCACCATCTTTTTTCTGCAGTACTGCAACTGCTTTTAATAGAAAATCAATAGCAGTTTTAGGATCTTCGTAGTCTAAAGCGCTTGATGCAAACTTTGTATATTTTTTGGCCTCCAAGTAATCTTCAAGTTTTAAATCAGGCGCTTAAATTTAAAAAATTGTTTTTTTAAATATCGTTACTAAAAAACCTGCAGGCTGATAACTAGGTGTCGGACTATTTTGGCCAATTCCAGGTTGTGGCGTTTGTTGGGGAGGAGGTTTTTGAAATTGTTGCTGTTGTCCACGTTGTGCAGGAGAAGGCTTTGTTGGTGGTTGTTGACCTTGCTGACCTCCCGGCAAATTATTATATGTATTGAAGTCATCTCGGGGCTGTTGGTGAAAAGGTCCAACTACTGGTTGGAGACCTGGTTTTGGTGAATAATGTTGTTGCGGGTTCCGTGACTTTTGCGCCGAGAACATTTGCGCCGCGACTATTGCGCCGCGACTTTTGCGCCGCGACTTATGCGCCGAGCGACTTTTGCGCCGGGGGACTTTTGCGCCGCGACTTTTGCGCCGGCCGACTTTTGCGCCTCAACTATTATTAAAAATATATGAATAACTACAGCTAGACCTCACTATAGTAAGGTTGTATGATAATAGAAAATCTTTGGATATCCGGATCCGACAACCCTCCACTATAGAACATCCTACTTTTATGACCCAGACCTAATTCATCAGTTACTTGACCCCCATTGTACTTCCTGAACTTTTTTCAGTTCCTGGATAATTTTTGAAACCCAAGGGGTAAGGTCCGATTGTAGTTATTATTTTATTTTTTTAAAATAATGGCGGCGCAAATGTCGCGGCGCATAAGTCGCCCGGCGCAAAAGTCCCGGCGCAATAGTCGCGGCGCAAAAGTCGCCCGGCGCAAAAGTCGCGGCGCATAAGTCGCGGCGCAAATGTTCTCGGCGCAAAAGTCGTGATACCTTGTTGCGGAGCTCCACCACCAGCATAGGGTTGAGGAGAGTGAGAAGAAAAGTCCTAAAATATTGAAAATTTTGCCCCGTGGAAAAGTTATAAAAACCGTTGGATATTTAGGAGCAGGTGGCCCACTGCTAATATTAGCTGAAGCATTGAATTCGGCACTCAAAGCGTTCAACTCGTTGGAGTCGTCTTAAATATTACGTAAAGTAGAAATGTTATTTAAAAAATAAAAAAACCTCCATCTTTTCCAGCCATTAGTTTTCCAGATATTGGTTGTTCACCTCTTTTCAAACAACCAAAAATATAGGTGGCTCTCCATTTGGAATATTTTCTTGCTGACTAAATGAAAAAATATTTGAAGAAATTTTTTAGTTTTGTTAACATGATTGATTGAAAAAAACTATGGAAACCCTAAACGGCTATTTTCATTGATGGGATTAGAACCTACAACCTAAAAACCCAAAATCAAGGCATTTCCAGCTAAACCACAGAGACCACATAGAATTGACATTTATTTTCAATTTTTGAATGCTCATTAATTAAAATCAGGCCTGTATATTCTCATCAAGTGCACCAAACATACTAAGAACATCAAACAAATACCCGCAAGTATAAAATGCTTTCATCATTTTCTGGTTGAATTGGCCAGAATCATCCTTAACATCTTTAAAATTTTAATTTAAAACCCAAAAAAACCTGAGAATTTGCATAGGTGAACAAGCGTTGAGCCTGGTCTTCAATGTGTGATTGAGCAACAACCTCGAGCCAAATAGCCTCATTATCCTTATTAGCTTTTTTGAGCTAAAAACAATATTCGAAAAACTATTTATTTTAAACCTGCTCGAGAATGTTCATAGCAACTGTCAGGAAATTTTTTGCTTCAGGTGAAGAGCTATCTGTGGCCATAGCATCTTCGACCGCCTTGAAGAGACCTAAATAAAAAATTTTTAAATAAACTCAGCATATTTTCAAAAATAACTTACACCAATAGTAGACAACAATGTCACGATCCGCATGTTCATTTGCTATTTTAACATAATGCGCAACAGAACGAATACTTTGAGGAATTGAGCCAAGTGGTATAGTTGGAGGTGCCGTCGACATTAAAATAATATATATGTATGTCTAAATTTAATTAAAAATTTTATTAAAAATATTCGGAAAAATAAAAATTGTGAAAGAATGACTAATTGCAAAAAATAAAGCGGATAAAATGTCAAAAAAACATTATGCCAATAAATTATTTTTATAAAAATTTTTAAAAAAAAGTAGAAGTGAGTCGCGAATAAGTGAGGTAAAGAGTCACTACTCCCCCCCCCATTAAGGTGAATGAGATATTCATAGATTGAAACATTTCCGGGAGCTAGAAAAGTTGGAGCCACCAGAAACTTAAATTAAGGAACCGTTTTAGTGTCGGAACCGTGAGAAACAAGCTCCAGACCCCAATAAATAAATGTGCTGATGGGACAAAAATTTATCTCTACAAAAAACAATTTTTTTCAACGGATATCTAAACAAATACCCTATTTTCTACTACCAACGATACTAAATTTGCTTAATGCAATAGAACTAGCTTTCCATCTCTTTTGACGGTCTTGTTGGTTTCCTTTATTTCCACTTCTACCCCCAGGGAAGAAAGATTTTCTTCTCTTAAACTCTTCGCCAAAGCTGAAACGACGTGAGGTTCTTCGATGGCTTAAATTTATCTATTTTTAAATGTGTTTTATTCGACTTTTCTTACCCTTGACCCCAAGACAGTTTTCGGCCGGTTTGAGAAGAATCCACTGTATCCATTGACGAGTCACGCGGATGTGAAACAACCTTAAATACATATTTTGAATTTATCATAAACTTCAAAAAATTTACCACAATCTCAGGCACACAATCGGCCAATTCCGCCATTTCTTTCTCATCATAAGTCGTTGTCTGAGCAGGAGTAACTGGTTGGCTTTGCTGTTTTCTTCTCATTGGAACAGCTTGATTAGGTGAAGGCAAAGTTTCGCTGCTACTAACTTGTTGTTGAATATACCCATCTTTTAAGAAAACGAAAATAAAAAAAATCAGAAATTTAAAACCATTTCTAGGTCCTTCTTTAGATGCTTTTTTATCTCTAAATACCATTTGTTGTTGGCTCACGCGTTCAGGTGCTGGGTAAATAGGCATTGCACGACCCATTTCAGCTGCCTGTAAAATGAAAATTAAAGAAAGATTGAATATTTTAAAAAAACTTTTGGTGAAGAGGAAGAAGTTGCCAAAGATTTTGGTGGTGCATGTACTTCTTGAACACGAGCATTTGTTTTGTATATAACAACAGCTTTGGGAGCAACTGGATTTAAACCCAAAGCAAGAGGAGCACCTCCAGTTTGACTGTCGTACAAAGCAAAACGATATTTTTGCTCTTCAATTATTTGCATTGTTCTCCTAAACCATGAAAATTTAAAATAAAATTTTCAAAAAAAATTTTTTTAACCTAAGCGCTGCATTTTTCCCTCCACTAGAGCCACGAACAAGCCATCCATTGGCATATAATGAAGAGCCAGAAGTGAGAAGTGAAACCCAATAGGCTAGAAAAATCATACAAAGGCCCATAATTATTGCTATTGGAATGAGAAAGCGGTTGAAGAACTTTGAGGAAAAATTTTATTTTTTGAAAGTTTAAAATTAAACCTACACTAGTGGTTGGATCGAACCTTTATAAAATTTAATTTTAACAAAAAAATTAAAATTTAATTAACCTTGGATATTGTTCATGACTAATTATTTGCCAGCCAAGTCCATGTGTAAGTTCACTCAATTGAGAATTGAGCATATCTTTTATTTAATAATTCAAAGATCAATTAAAAAATACCAGAGAGAACCAAACTTGGAATCATCGGTTTTTCCGGACCACCTTTTTCCACTGGGATCTTTAAAAGAAAAGAAATTTTAGCCTTCAAAAAATTAAGAATTTTACAGCATCATGCGGAAGAACAACATAAAAACGAAAATTTAATGCTCGATTCTCACGCCGTGGAAAGCCTCAAATTTAATTTATATTTATTTTTTTAATTCAAATTTAAAATTTACTATCAAGCATAACCACTTGAAATTTGTTAAAAGTAACACTAAAATGGGAAAAATAATTCAAAAAAATCGAAACTAAAAAATAAAACCTTTTTTTAATTCCACAAACTGTAGGAGTTCGACAGTGTCTGTTTAACATTCGAGCTATTGCCTCTCTAAATGGATCAACCAAGTCAATAACAGCAATTTGTTGACAATCTTTAAGAAAAAGAATTAAAATTTTTTTTTAATTTTCTTACAAGCCATTCGAACACCACTAGTCCATCCAAGGAGAGCCAATTCTTAAATTTAAAAAATTTTTTTATTAAATAAAATACGAACACACCTTGCTGTGTTCGATCTGATTGTTGTCCCCCAAGTGCAACTTGGCCATTTATACAACAAAATTTAATCAAAACAATAAGGGTGATAAGAAAAATAATTTTAAAATACATAGGGAAGGAATGGAAAAATTTTTTAAAGAGGAACTTAAGGACAGAAATAAACCTTCCCCCTAGCTCATTCTAAAAGTAAAGCAATTTCCCAAAAAATAATAACATCAAAAACATTTCTTTGCCAGTTTTATATAAACTGCAAGTGTCAGTTGTTACCTTGATGTATATAAAAAAACGCCAAAAGGAAAGGGGAAAGTTTTGCAGAAAAAGAATTATTAATTCTTCTATTACCTCCCTAAATTAAAAATCATAATTAAATTCTCCTTTTTATTTTCAAAAATAAATTTAAAAAATTAAAACAAACAAACGAGAAAGTAATTCTCAATAAATTTTCTCAATATACTTTTTAACATTCACACATATTTCGTACTTGATCCAATGTTGGCATCCAACGCAAATCTCCATAACAAACAAGAGAAGGCCGACTAATTAACATTGTATCGGCAATTCGTGCAATATCATCAATTTCGACACGGTCTAAAATAAATTTTGTAATTAGAAAAAAATAGTAAAAAACCAATTTGTTCAGCATGTTCCTCAGGTGTTCTTCGCTGCCCATATACAAGCATCTGTTTAGAAATATCTTCAAATTGAACTGGTTTCATCTCCAAATGCATTAATAATTGTGACTTTAATTGAACTTTTGCACGTGCCAAGTCTTCTTTTCGAATTATCCCTTTACTAAGAAAACGCATTTGATTAACAAGAATTGAAGTTAATTTTGTGGCCTAAAATAATGAGAGAAAATAATGAACAAAACTTAAATTTAATTTTACATATTCAGGGCTAGCACTTCCTTTAATACAAAATAATCCACAATCAGTATAAGAATGATATTGAGCAGTAGCATTATAGATCCAGTAATGCCTAAGAGTAAATTTTAATAAAATAAAATCGGTAAAACAAACTTATTCAAAACATCCATGTAAAGTTGTGAAAACATTCCTTTTCCTGGTCCACCAGCACTAAAACTTCCTCCACCACCCATTAAAGTTTGCAAAACACAAAATGGTACAAAATCCTCGTGAAGCATTCCAACGCCCTTAAAAACATCTTATGAAAATAAGTGAAAAAATAAACCTGAAAGCCAACAACTAAATGAGCCAAATTAGGAAAAGGTGTCGGGCCCAATGCAACCTGGCTTAAATCTTTTTCAACACGAACCTCACCACCAGTGTACATAAAAATGAATAAATTTGTTTAAATATTTTTAATAAAAAAGTTACTGTGCCAATGAATCATCCAACGGAGGAATATTTTTAAGTAGCCGTTCAGGCTGTTGAACCCAAGTGCTGTCTCGTGGATCAAAAAGTTCCTTAGCAGCATCAACCAACCAGTCTTGATCGATACCGATACCTTTAAGAAGGAATCTAAAGAATATTAAAAAATCTATACCGGTAACAACAATTCGATCAGGCGTATAATATTGGCTCAAATAACTCAAAACATGACTTGATGTAATTTCCCCAACTCCATCTGACGGACAATAACGGGGAAGACCAATTGTGTTTGATTGAAATGCTGCTTGATGTATCCAATCAGAAAGTAAAGGATCGGGTTCTGGTTGCCTCGCAAGTGTATCATTTTCATATCGAATTACGTCACGACAAATAGCGACCTAAAAACAAGGAAGAAAAATACCAGATATTTTGGTACTTGTGTAGTTTACGTCTCATAAGCCCTGCGTCTTTTCTTCTCTCTTCCTTTAATTATAAAGTGACATTTGGGTCAATATTTTGATTTCTATTTATTTTAGCCCTTTTCCTCTCCTTTTAAGGAAAGGGATAAAAAAAGTGAGGCTAAGGGACGTAAACTACACGAGAAAAAAATATTTTAGTCAAAAACCTCTTCTTCTAAAATTTTAGGCCTTAGAACAGCATCGGCAATCAATCGAAGAATTTCATAAGCATTGCTTATCCTACACGAAGAAGCATACAAAAATGTATCTTTGCTAGCCTGACAATCGACCAAAGCACCACATTTTTCCATAAGTTCAAGCGTTTTAGACTTGTCTTCAAAATTTTTTGTTGACTAAAATTAAAAAGTAAAAATAAACATAATTTAAATAATAACCGAAAAAGAAAGTTTTTCAACAAAATGTGAAGTTCCAGGAGGATAATAAACTTCAAATCGTGAACCAGCAGCAATAGCAACTAAAATTGTAAGATTATTCAAAAGTTGAACTATAAATTAAAATGTTTTCAATTCCCGGTAAATTTTTGGAAGACAAAAACCCTCCATAAAAACCGAACCGGTATAACTCTCCCCATAAACGCCCAATAAAAAATGTTAAAATAAAAATATGTCAAAAACCTCCAACTGTGCAAAACTGTCCATACGCAGAATGCGAAGCGACACGAAGACCAGTATCGAGAATAGAATGTACAGTTTCAATGCTGTTATTGCTCGTTCTTAATTTTAATAAGGCTAATATTTTTAGAAATTAAAAAAAACCTTTTCAAATTCTCAGCAGCTTTAACAGAATAACATCTTTTTAATTGAAAAGTTGACAATCTTCTAGATAAAGTTAACATTTCTGAAAAAATTTTGATCTAAAAATTTTGAAAAAAAAAATTTGAAAAATTTTGATTTAATAAATGCTTTTAAAGAAGAAAGGAATAAAGCGATAAAAGAATAAAATTTTAATGCGATAAATTTAGAAAAGTCAACAAAATCCTCGGATTTTCCGCTCTCAATTGCAGCACTCAATTGACAGCTTACCCTGGCCAGTTCCACACTGATCATGTTTGTGAAAAATCTTGCAAATCACTCAAAGACGATAATTCAAGCACCCGCCTTGCTAACATTATTTAAATCAGCATCTAATTGTATCTACAAAAATCTTGCTTTGGAAGAATGGATCTTCCGAAACAAAAATTTTTCTAATGAGGATATATTGTTTATATGGAGGTAGTGTTGAAACAATTTATGTGAAAATCTCCAACTCTAATAAAAACAATATTTTCAGAAATTCCCCTTCAGTTGTCATTGGAAGATATCAAAATCCCTGGGTTGAGGCAAATGTGAAATTTTGTAAAGAAAATAATATTAAATTAGTTAGAAGATACAGCGGTGGAGGGGCAGTTTACCACGACGAAGGTTGATTTTCTTGATAAATAAAAAAAATTTTTTTTCTAGGAAATTTTAATATTAGTATTTTAACTTCCCAAGACCGTCATAATCGAAAAGAAAATTTACAAAAATTGGCCAAACAATTAAATATGGATTTCAATCACTATTTTGAACCTTTTAACAAAATTTGTGTAAATTCAAGAGATGATTTAATTTTTGAACCGAAAAATTCGAAAATGTCGGGGACTGCTGCAAGGATATCTCAAGGAAAGGCTTATCATCATTTTACGTTTTTGGTAAACCCAAATATGGAAAATTTGCATTTTTCGCTTCAATCGCCGTTAAAGGTTTTTAATTTAACTTTTTTTGACCTAAAATTTTTTTAATTTATTTTCAAGGAGAAAATTGAAACAACCGCAACAAAAAGCTTTAGGGCAGCATCTGTTAGTTGTCTAGCAAATGTTTTGAGAATAAAAGGAGAGAGATTAAAGGATAATGAAATTATGGAGATGACCGAGAAAAGTATTTTTAAAGCATTTTCTGCGAATTATGACAGTTTGAATATTAAATTGGATGTTTTTCCGAATGAAGAGAATTTTCCAGGTTTTTTTTTTTATTTTTAGGAAGGACCCGATTCCTTTTTATTTTTTAAAAAAAATTATCATTTTTTCAAGGGATTAACAAAATAATTTCGTTATTAAAAAGTGAAGAATGGATATTTAATAAAACACCAAAATTTACTCTTAAACTCAACAAAGAATGTCCAATACAGGTTAACAATGGAATTATTGAAGAAAGTTTAGACAAAAATTTTCCTGTTGGTGAATGTTTTCAACAGGCATTTTTACGGGTTTTTAAGTGATTTTCTTGTTATTTTTTGTTTTGCTTTGTTGTTTAAAAATGTTCAAATTTTTAAAATTAAAAAATAACTATTTGGATGTCCACTCACCTTCTAGATGTTTATTTTTTAATCGCGCTTCCCAGGTTGATGTTTCTTTCAAAAGGAGGGGGAACACTTACCCCAGTAAAAAGAATAGACAATTTACCCAAGTGAATAAAAAACTAAAATTGAAGGGAATCAAAAAGGATCAAGATTTTGAACCAACTATAAGTTTAAGTGTAAGGATGGCGAACTTTTAAAATATTCATTCCAATATTTCCTTGGTTCCTGAATATCGGAAAATTCAATAGAAAATCATGTTATTTCTGTATATTTTATTTAATTTTTTTTTGACATTTTAGACTTTAAAAACAAAAAAAACAATTATACCTCGAGAAAAATCCTAATATTTGTCTGGCATCTGTTCATATTATAATCAAAAAATCCCGTTTCAACAATATCATAGGCATTTATTTCTTCGTTTCACTAGATGTTTCACCAGAGAATGTAGAGTATCCAAACGATCCTAACGACCCTGTTGATGAACCTTTGCATTCATGCTTAATTGTTTTAGCGTCCAAATCCCTAGTAATGGTGCATTTCCAGCTTTGGTTTTGCATTTCATGCTTACAATTGCTCCACCCCATGCCAATACCTAGAAAATTAAAATTAACATCGGGAAAATCAGAAAAATTAAAAACAAAAGCTTAAGACGTTGGATGGGAAACAACATAAATGGAAGTGATTGGGAATTTAAAAAAAGGTGTAAATTTCAGTTAGACAAAGGTCTGGATTCAGATCGAACCTTCTACCTGTAAACCCCTATACCTTTAATCTTAGCCACAATTAAATTAAAATCATTTTAAAACTAACCAATCCCAGTCCCAAGCCAAATAGGCCAGGTTTTCTTAGCTCGCGAAAAAACCAACGACACAATAGTTCCGAGAGCTGCACCACCTAAATGAGAAAAATGTTTGATCCCACAAATTGGAATTTATAAAAAGCATACTTGCAATTTTTATCGCTGAATCCGCCATGCAATAATCTAATTTGTGTCCAAAAACATCCTCCGATATTTCAACCTTTTGATCCTTTTCAGGTTGCGTAGACATTATTAAAGATTATTTTTTGAAAATACAAGCTCTGAAAATCTTTTCCTAATTAAAAAAAAAGTTATAGTTAGCAAATTCATTCCACCAGCAAAATATTGGCTTTATAACCCTAATTTTTTATAGATTAAATTTAAACCAGATTGCGTTTTTATACGTACATGAATGAATAGAATCTATAAAAAATAAATGATCAAACAGAAAAAATTGGGTTTCTAGACCAAACAGAAACTTTTGATAATCATCCAAACCCTCAAAGAAAATTCTGAGGGAATAAAATAGACATCAACTTGTGAGTGGCTAGATTACAAAATCAAAGCTTTGACGATTAACGAAGCCTTGATCAAGTTTTTTAAACAAAATTTGATTAAAGCTTAGATTTTCGTGGGTTATAATGTTTGTTTGGTCCAGTCTCAATTAAAACGAATGAGAAATAATATATGTTTTGGGAAGAAACAAAAAAATAAATATATATAAAATCAATCTCTCTCCAATTTTCAGCCAAAATTAAATTTAAAGCTATATTGTCCTCCATCATCTCCAAATGGGTTAAAACCTTCACCAAACGGAAATCCTCCTTGACCACCTGACCATTGCCATTGTTGAAAACCATGATGACCACCACCGCCGCCTTGCGGATCCATTGGGTCCTCACCAGAGTCGAATCTTTAACGAGGAATTTTGTTAAAGAAAATTGACTAGATAGGAAACTTAGGATGTCAAGAATTACCCGAAACAAGATCTGGAATTTTCCATAACCTGACCCGACATTTTTCCCTCCTAATCCCCTAAATAACCTGACCCGAGACACATCCCGAAGAAAATTTTGAAAACCCGAACCAACATTTTGTCAACCCGTGGCATCCCTGATAGGAAACAAGGATGTTTTATAGAAGAATAAATACAAAAAATTATTTTAAAAAACAAACATTCTCCTCTTCTCGGGGTCAGTAAGCACATCCTTTGCAGCAGCAATAAGAATAAATTTTTCTTGTGCACGTTTCTTTTCAGCATCGTCTTGGAAATTGTCTGGATGCCACTGTTGTGCTAATTTTCTAAAAATTAAAATTGATTCAAATTTGGTATAAAAATTAAAACCTATAAGCCTTCATAATTGTCCGTTTGTCCGCATTTCGACGTACTCCAAGAATTTTATAATAATCCCTCTTTTTAGCCTGTTTTTGCAATTTCAATGCTCTGTTTAAAGCTTCTTTTGCCTGTCTAGAGTCCTCATTTGCTTTAACAGCTTTCTGGAAGTCTTCGACCGCTAAAAGAATTTTTATAAATTTTTTCAAGAAAAATTCCAAACCGCTATCATAATCCTCATTGAGCAAATAAGCCTCTCCACGGTTTAGCAAAACTTCCAAATCATTTTCATCAACATATTTCAATACTTCAGTGCATTCTTGAATTGCCTCAGCAACGTGACCAAGCTATTAACAAAAAATATTTCTAATAAAAAAATTTTCAAAAAAACCTTAACATTGCATTTACACCTTTGTTTGTAAGTATCCAATTGGATCCGATCAACATCTTGCTCAAATTTAAGAATTGAGGTAGATTTCTCCAAACATTCTGCCCAACGTTCTTTTTGAATTGAATTGTCCAAATCTTTCCGCAATTTTAACAATTTTTTAATTTTCTTATAAAATGGGAAGCAGAGTGGATGTTCAGGATTCAAATGAAGACACTCGCGAATCTGTGTCATTGCATTTTCTGCATCTCCAGTCTGGTAAAATAAAAATTTTTATAAATAAAAATAGCTCGACAACTCACTTCATAGTAAATACGGCTAATCTCCAAATAAACTTCTGTTGAGTCCGGAACCAATTTTGCAACAGCTCGAATATCAGAAATTGCATTTTGAGTGTCACCACGTGCTAGTCGAATTTTCCCACGTTTTCTATGCAAATCGGCATCCCAATTACAATGCTAGAAAGTTTAGATTTCGTTAAAAACCGACAAAATAAAAACCAAAAAATACCTCAAGCGCGTAACTAAGCACTCGTTCAGCAGAGTCATGATCTCCATTCTCATGATAATAATTTCCTGATTTAACCCATTCTCTAATTTGATCAATCATTTTCAATTTATCCCTAACTTCAGAATTCTCAGAATCGTGCCTCAACTAAAACCAATAAACTGTATAAAAATTACAAAAGAAAAATAACCGCAAAAGTGTAATCATCAGAAGCTCTGTCCAAATTTCCTTGCTTGTAATAAATATTTCCACGTTGCAAACGTCCAGAAATAAAATCAGGTTTCAATTCCACAACTCTGTCCAAATCTGGCAGAGCTGCATTCATTCGACCACTAAAAATTTTATTTAATAAAGCTAATTTCACAACTAAAAAACCTTGCTAAATGGACGGTTGCACGCCGAAAATATATTTGGTAGTCATCAGGATCTAAAAAAATAAATTTTAAAAATATTTAATAAATTATAAAATTAACCAAGTTCAACCGCTTGATGATACTGATGAAGAGCTTCTTGCAAATTTCCTTTGGAGAGCAGAACCTTCCCTTTTTCAAGTAGACGTTCAACTTCTTTCCGCCTATTTTCTTCTACTTTACCCATCGCTAAAAATTTTTAGTTTAAAAATTAAAAAAAAATTATTTACCAAATTGATAAAGGCACAATGTGATGAGAGAATAATAGGAGAGTTGAGTGAAAGAAAATGCTGTTCCGAGTGCACCCATCGGTCTGACCCACTGTTCGTCATAAAAATATGTCATTTAATGGGAGAATAGTTTTACTGAAAAAATTTAAAAATAAAAATTTTTTAAACGTTCGCCCAAAAATTTTTTTCAGTTTTATAAACCTATTTAAAACAAAACAAATGATATTTTAGAATTTCTAGCCGATTAAAAGATTTTAATAAATTTATTGACTACTTAAAGTTAGTGTGACAGAAAAGAATTAATTTTATATAAAGATTATAGACAATGGAAGATACGTAATGAATGTACACGCGAATTAAATACTTTAACCAGTTAAAGAGGAAAACGACAAAAATTATAAAGCAAAATTTACTCGTAAGTTAACGTTGACAAAAGCATTACGCCAAAAATAAATTTGAATATAAGGACCATTTGAGTATAGAAATCTCTTGTTTAAGAAGAGAAGGTCGAGAGATGTAAAGAATGGGGAGAGTAGCCTACAGAATGAGAAAAGAAAGAACAAAAGGTGAGGGAAATAAAGATTGCTCTTTGAGTCTTATAAATAGACGTTGAATTAACGAAAAGAACATTTGGGTCTTAAAAAATAAAAACAGGACAATTGAGTCTTTAAATAGAAGATAAACGATGTCAACGGCAGAAAAATTAATTTTTCTTCTTTTTTTGTGATGATCAGTTAAGATCGGGCCAATTATGAAAAAGATGTGAATCTCGAAACCTTTCGAATGATGTGATTATTCGAATCAGGCGGAAATCAGAAAGTTAGGGCTAAATTCTGAATTGGCGATACTGAATTGTCCTTCCTAAAAACAAAAGGAACAGTTGAGTCCTTTATAGAAAAATAAAACAGGCACTTGAGTCTTTTAAATTAAAGAAAAGGACATTTGAGTCTTATAAATAGATGCTTCATAAAACAAATAGGACTCTTAACGTTTTTTTTATTTATTTATTTTCATTTTTAAAGGGAATTCTTTCTCAATATGCCGTCTGATGCAAAAAAGCAACGCGATAAAGCCAAAAAAGACAAGGAGAAAGCTGCCTCAAAACAACGTGGAGGAAAAAAGGGTGGAACAAATTCAGAACAAAATGCAGTTGAAGACGGATTGAATGACAACAAAATTGAAGAAAATGGAATTTCTCAAGCAGAAATGGATGCCGTTACGGACGTTTTACATCGTGTTGAATTAGAAAATGCTAAAGCTCGTGCAGTTGCTGGCGTTCTAACTTCACAAGAAAGAAGCATAAATTTAAAAATTGATCAACTGACAATTACTTTTCATGGACGGGAAATTGTGACGGATACAACGCTTGAAATAAATATGGGACGAAGATATGGGTTGATTGGACTTAATGGAAGTGGTAAGTATTTTAATTTTTGGGCAAAATCAGCTTGGTCCACCTACGAGTTTTGGAAATTTAGGGTCTGTATCTAGGTCTAAAGTCGTCCCAATCGAAATTTGAGTGTCATTCAACTCGACTCGATGACCTCTTTCGGATGGCACATGATTTGTCCCAATTCGAACCTTTTAGTATTCCGAGATTTTTCTAATTTCTTGGGATCTTTTGGTCCTGAGGGTTTTCTTACTATTAATCTATTTTTTCCATTTAATTTCAAAAAAAATTTTAAAAATTAGGCAAATCTTCATTAATGCAAGCAATTTTCTTACGCGAAATGCCTATCCCCGATCATATCGACATGTTTCTTGTTAGTCGAGAAATGGCGGCAGTGGATTTGCCTGCACTCCAAGCTGTTATTAATGTTGATAAAGAACGTATTGCGTTAGAAAAACAAGCGGAAGAATTGGCTGCTTATGCTGATGAAGGTTTTCTTTGTATTTTAATTTATGAAAAAAATTTTTTGAATATTTTTTAGAATCCCAAACAAAATTGTTGGATATTTATGAAAGATTGGATGAAATGGATGCAGACAAAGCCGAAGTTAAAGCTGCTGAAATTCTTCATGGACTTGGGTTTACCCGTCAGATGATGCAAAAACGTTGCAAAGATTTTTCTGGTGGATGGAGAATGAGAAGTTTTTTTCTTTTAAAATTTTTTTTACAAAATTCTTTAAAGTTGCATTGGCACGCGCTTTATATTTAAAACCTTCATTGCTTTTACTGGATGAACCTACTAATCATTTGGATTTGGATGCTTGTGTATGGTTAGAATCTGAACTTTCAAAGTAAACAATTAAAAATTTTAAACAAAATTTTCTCTTTTTAGGTATAAACGTTCTTTGTTGATTATATCCCACTCACAAGATTTTATGAATAATGTTTGTACAAATGTGATTCATTTGTTTCAGAAGAAGTTGATTTATTACACGGTAAAATTTTTGAATTCGGATTTAGGAATTTTTTTCGATTTTTAGGAATTTTTAAGGGGTTTTTTTAGAAATTTTCGTAGTTACCAATAAGCCGGAAAGGTGTGGAAAGCCAAGTTGTTAGGCCTATGTTTTTTTAAATTTCTAGTCTAACCCAAAATTTTAAAATAAAACTTAATTTTTAGGGTAATTATGATACTTTCATCAAAACTCGTTTGGAACTACTCGAAAATCAGGCAAAACGATATAAATGGGAACAAGAACAAATTAAACATATGAAGGTTGTTTTATTTTAATTTACTAAAACTTACTTCAAAAAGGAATACGTTGCTCGTTTTGGTCATGGAAGTGCAAAATTGGCAAGGCAAGCACAAAGTAAAGAGAAAACAATGGCAAAGATGATTGCTGGTGGTTTAACAGAAAAAGTCGTTTTGGAACAAACAAAACAATTTTACTTTTTCGAGCCTGATAATATTCCACCACCTGTGATTATGGTACAACATGTTAGCTTTAGATACAATTCAAATTCGGTTAATTTTAAAAAATTCTTTTTAAAAATTATAAAAATTTCTAGCCTTGGATTTACCAGGATCTTGATTTTGGAATTGATTTGGACACTCGAGTTGCTTTAGTTGGACCAAACGGAGCTGGGAAGTCGACACTTTTGAAATTGCTCGCAGCCGATTGTGAACCGACAGATGGAATGATTCGAAGACATTTACACTGTAAAATTGGAAAATATCATCAGGTTTTGAAGTTAAAATTGAACAATTCTTCCAAAAATATTTCCTATAAATTAAAAAAATGTTTTTTAAGCATCTTGTTGAAGAATTACCTTTGGAACTCAGTGCCCTCGAATATATGCAAAAAGCATTTCCTGATGTTCGAGAAAAGGAGGAAATGCGTAAAATTATTGGTCGTTATGGACTTTCAGGTTTTCTGTTTTTTAAAGCTTTTTAAAATTTTTTTTTAAAGGAAGAGAACAAGTTTGTCCGATGAAACAGTTATCAGATGGTATAAATTTTTTTTTAAGTTGTCTGATTTTTCCTCTTTTCTCAGGTCAACGATGTCGTGTAGCTTTTGCCTGGTTAGCTTGGCAACAACCACACTTGTTACTTTTTGACGAACCGACAAACCATTTAGATATGGAGTTAGTTTTTAACATTCAAAAGGAGATCTTATGTTTAATTTTCAGAAGTATTGATGCACTTGCTGAGGCTATCAATAATTTTGGAGGAGGAATGATTTTGGTATTCTTTTCATAATTTACGAATAAAAAATATTTTGAAAACTTTCAAGGTTTCCCACGACTTTCGATTAGTTCAACAAGTTACTGATGAAATTTGGGTTTGCGATAATAGAAAAGTTACCAAATGGGATGGTGACATTTTCTCCTATAAACAACATTTACGTGATCGTATTGAAAATCGAAAAAGAATAATGACTGAACGATGAAGAGTGTTAGAGGTCTTTTTTGTTATTAATGGTTATTGTTCAAGCCTTTCTCTCTCAAACTGAAAAGACGTGTAGACATTATTATAATGCTCCCGTGTTCGTTTTTTGTTTGTTGCTTATTTTTATGGTTATATAAATGGTTGATTTTGAGACTTTTCTAAGATTCTGAAATTTATTGGGTCCTCATGAAAATGTTTCATTTTTTGATTTCAAGGGAAACGAAATTGGGGGTTTGGAAGCAATTTTTTATTAAAAAGCTAGCTGTTTACTAATGAAAGACAAATATTATTTTAGTTAGTATTAATTTTTAGTCTAAATTTTCTTCATCTCGACACTTCCACTAAAGAGTGGATTAGTGTAGATGGTTGGAAAAGCATTTCAATCTAGAAAAAATTTTTATTTATAAGTCATAAAATTTAATAACCTGATCTACTTCTAAGCATCTTCCCCCAAAACGATTTTTGAGAATCTACAATGAAAAGAAAAATTTGTTGTAAGAAATAAAAAAATCCTACATAAAGAAATTTTCGAAACTTCCTTCGATCATCAGTTTCTCGTCGTCTTTGAATAACCAATACATTTTCTGCCTCTTGAGTTATTTTTGCAGAAGGCCCTCCAATATGTTGAAGTTCATAATAGCCTTGCTTCAAATTTTTTCAAGTTTAATAATTTATAAAAAAAATAATTAAACCTCATTTGGTTCTCTAACAGGATGTACAACCTTTTCAAAAATTGAAAATAACAAAAGGAAAATTAACTTTATACCAAAGTAATATGCAATTCCTGCGCGTTTGCCATTCTCCGTAACATTCCAACAAAACGATCCTTCAAAAAAATTTTTTTAATTCCAAAAAAATTTTTCTTAAAACATTTTCTAACCTGTTGATGTGTTCTTTCTGCTGCCGTCATTGGGTCAATATTTACTGTAGCCATATCAACAAGTGCTTGCTTAAAATAAAATTATTAAAAAAAAAGAAAATTTAAAAACAACCAAATTATCAATAACCAAATGTTGAGTACCACAAGCCAAAGTTTGTTCTCTAATTGCCTTTTAAATTAAAAATAAAAATTTTATAATTAAAAAAAACAAACATCAGCAATTTCTTTTAATGTTTTATCTCGAAATTCTTCAGTTTTCATTATTATCAAATCGCTATGAGTCCTTTCAAATCTGTCCAACCACATTTCTACTGCTGAATGATCTTGGCGTTGTTGAAGAGGAACTCTGAAAATTTTGGGATCAAATGTCTCTTTTTTAAATTTTATTCTTGTCTCTTCTCACGTGCCTTCCCAACTATTTTTCCTTCCAAATTATAAATAAAACAACATACGCACTTTGTTCGAGTAGTAAAAGTTCGGGAACGGGCAAGGCTGCGCACGTGAGAAGGACTGAAATGATAAGGACTTTAATTGAGAAAAAACTATTTTTTTTTCTTTATTTTCTTTGAAAATTTGTAAAAAAATCCCTTCAATTGAAAAAAATTTACATACCCAGCAAATTGAATAATCATCCATTTGAGAATCTGAAAAATATTAAAAAATATTTAAAAAATCAAAAAATTACGCAACCTTTTCTTCGGGCATTTCAAAATTACAAAAAAGTGTTCGAATTCCTTGAGTAAAAAGATCCATAGCATATCTTAATTAATTTTTAATCATTCAAAATTTTTATTTTTCAATACTTACTCGCACATAAATGTTGTTTTGCCATAACTTCCACCACTTAAAATTGTAATTTCTGATGGACGAAATCCACGCAAATAATTATTTAATAAAGCATAGCGTTTCCACTTGAAATTAAAAATTTTTTAAAAATCAAAAAAAAAAGAAAGCAAACCATTGTTAAACCAGAAAGTTTTGTTTTGCTCTGAACAATTTCACTTCGAACCTAAAAATTAAAAAAATAGTTTTCAAGTAAAAAATATTTTAAAGAAAGGGGAAGGACCTCCGAAATTTATTCTAAAATGCTTGGACGTAGGTTTGAGATAAAAAAGATAAAATATGTAGTCCCTAAAACTCAGAGCAAGTTCCTAAACAATAAAAACCATGGGCCAAAGTTCGACTCCTGTTTGAAGATTTTAAATATAAAGGGACTAACACTTAAGTAGACATCGCGCCACCAGCTGCCAGGCATCGAACCTGAGTCTCTCATAAAATACAAGTCGGGGATGTTAACCACTACACCACGACAAAATTATTTCCAAAATAAAAAAAAACTAACTGAATCGCGTAAATCTTGAACAGAACGGAATCCTTTGTAACGAACACGAACGGCATCTTAAAATATGCAAAAATTTTTCAAATAATTTCAAAACCTTGAATATTGTGTAAAACTTCTTTCGCACGGTTATCACGAACTAATTCAACTGGGCGAAGAGATGCCCTAAAATATCTTTGAGATTAAAATTTAAATAATTAAAAAACAAACGTAATAATGTAACAACGAGCGGCGTTTAAATAAGAAGCATAACTTAAAATTTTTTTTAAAAATGTGAGAATTTTTATTTGAAAAAAACCTTTTGGCAAAACGTTCATGAATGTGAGGAAACCAAATATAAATCTAAAAAAAGAGGAAAAATATTTCTAAAATTAAAAATTAACCAAATCAAAATCTTCCAAATAAGGAATGACTGTAGAATCAAAACGTTCCCCTAATGGTAATGAAAGTGCTGGAATGCCATTTGAAGCGTCATATACTGCCTTTAAATATTCAAAAAACAAAATAAAAGCCTGCAAAATCGCATTCCCGAACTCCCGGGATTGAGTTTCGAAAAGTCTAACGGCGCCGTATCCCGCGAGATTAATCACGTAACTCCCGATCGTCGCTTAAAAATCGAGATTCTATAAATCCGTATGAGAACCCGCCCGTGCCGTTCTCTAGACTAAAAATAGTATTAAAAAATATTTACCAAAGCATCACGTTCATTTGTGCATAAAACAATTCTTTAAAAATATAAAAAACAAAATTAAAAAAACAAAACCTATTATCAAATTGTGTAACCATTTGAAGTCCAAACATTCCAGTAAAACGAACCTTTCTTAAAAAAATACTCTTTTAAAAAACCCAATAAAAACAAACTCTGAACTTTCATCGGGATAATTTTCTTTAGTTAATTTACCACCAGAAACTCTTCGAATTACTTTTAAACCTAGAAAATTTAGAAAAAAATTTTAATTCTCAAAAAAAATTCTCTTACCATTAGGAATTCTATTACGAGTTGAAGGACCTCTATAACGTGGATAACAAATAGCTGGTTGATCAAAAGCATCCATATGTCCTCTTACATGATATTGAGAAAGTGTTTCTGCGGAGATTTTCTGTTAAAAAATTTTTTCTAATTATTTGAAATTTTATTCAAATTTACATCAATTCCAAGTTGAGCACGTAAAGAACGGAATCTGAAACATTTTTAATAAAGTTCAAACTTTCACATTGCCCATTGCCGTGCCCGGTATCAGGGGATTTTTTTCTTTAAAGCTGACTTGGACGGGGTTTTCTAGCTAAAACTCTGAAAACCAGATTCTATAAAAATACCCGGTCTCCAAAATACCGGGACCGGAAAACTAGGCCTCAGTCCGGGTTCGAACTCAAATTTTTAATTTTAAAGAATGCCCAAAAAAATCAAAAACAATTACTCTGTTTGATCCTCGACATTCCGTATTTCACTCAAATCAACAGCTTCAGACCAAAAATGTCGAATTTTTGGATCCACCATACCTCCACTTGCTCCAATTCCTTCTAATGCCGCTTGTTCCTCTACACCTCTTTTTTGACGTGGAATATTTTGTTCTTCCGTTTTATCAGCAAAACGCAATAGCGGACTTGTTTTACTTCTTGAAAGAAAAATATTTAAATTTAAAAATTAAAAAAACATTGTAGAAGAAGCAACTGCTCGTTGAGTATCTACACCCAGAGGAGTTGTTGTAGCCAATTCCTTTCCTTCAGAAAAATTATTTTGAACACCCCCAGTGTGTTGCAACAAATTTTCAACAGAATTTGTATTTTTAGCTGCTGGTGATTGTCTTGTAGGTCCAGGAGAAATAGCAGCAGTAATTGAAGATTGTTGTTCACTACCAGCACCACTATCGTCAAAACTAGAAAAAAGAGGAAATAAAATTTTTAAAAATCCAAAACTTTAAAAAAGAATTTTTTTACTTCCCTTTTCCTAAAAATACAGACAATCAATTTTTTTTATAAAATTCTAAGAATCCTAAACTATTAAAATCCTAATTTTATGGAAAAAATAATATGTAGTACTTTAAGGAATTTAAAATAATTTTTGAAAGGTGTTTTTGATAGAAAATAGTTTCCTTATATTTTTATTTCCTCTTCCGTTTTTGGAAAAATAAAAATATAAAAAGAGAAAAAAGGCCAAAAAATAATTGTTTCCTTTGCAGGGTGGACAATTTTACTTTTATAAAGGACAGAAAAAAATTCTAAAAATTTGTAAAAACGTCTATAAAAAGTGCTAAATTGGTTAAGAAAAAAAAAACAAGAAAAATGATATCGTTTTTGAGCCAAGTTCTGAAAAAAAATTTTTCAGAAAGAAAATACAACACCTTCCAAAGTATCCACCTCCCCCTTCCCCTCAAATTTTAAACATCCACAAACAGTCTTCTCCTTTCCACAACAACAAAAGCTTCATCCGGATCTGTATCTGATGACGGAGCAATAAATACACCCATTTCCGTGAAGTTTATAGGAATTGCCTTAATACTTTTCTGGCATTTTCTACTTCCACAACTACTCCCAGCGCGAACTTCACAATCAGCAATACCTCTATTTACTTTAGAAATAGTTAAAGGTAAACGGAAAAGAAAAGATGCTGGAGCAGATTCTGTAGAAGCTTCCGAAGTTGTTGATAAAGAGGAGGGAGAATGCCCTAAAATAGGACTTTGAGTAGACGATGACGGTCCCGGGGAAGACAAATTACTGCCATAAAAGTGTTGAGGAGGCCGAAGATGATGAGTTTTTGAAATTTCTTCAGACCTCGTTTTGCTTCTTTTATGAGGATCTTTAATTTGTTTTTGAGAAATTTGTTGATATTTTTCTTCTCTAAATTTGTTTTCATCAAAATCGTCTTCAAATTCATTTAAAGGAGAACAATCACCCAAAGCACAATTAGGCAAAAGAGAACAATCACACATGTCCAAATATTTGTATGTTTGGTTGTCTACAGGAAGGACAGGAGATATTTTAGAATCTGAAGGAATAAAAGACGATTCCCTAAATTCTGTTGTTATTCCAGCCGTTTCAACAGACAATGCACGTAGTGGTGGGGCTTGATGATGATAATCTCTTCTTTGACCATTTTGGCCATTTTTACAAGTCTGAGAAATTTTTTGTTGTTGAAAATCCAAAGATTTTTGTCGCCTCTTCCCAGGCAAATCTACATCTGTCTCCTTAAATTTTCCTTCAATGTGCTTTTTAAACCTTTAAAAACCTCAGAAAGTGATTGATAACGTCGACCTTGTTGCAAAGGCATTCGAAATGAAACGGTTCGTTTAGAGGGAATATTATTCATTTATTTTAATTTTTTGTGGTTATTAGGAGTAAAAGGAATTAAAATAAAAGGAAGATTGAAAAAAATTTTCTAAAAACTTTAAAAAATTTTTTTAGAAAGATTATAAAAGGAACATATATTTTGTCTCGGAGATAAAAGACAATTTTGCTTCAAAATTTTATTTTTTATAAATTCTTAGAATTTCGCCTTTTACTTAGTGACTTATTAAAAAAAGCAGACTGAAAAACTCTCCAACTGTGCTTCCCTTTTTTAAATTTTTTCCCCGTTGGAATAAATTTATAAAAATTGTTACTTTTCCAATTAAACCTCCCAAAAAATTTAAAACTAACGTTGGAGCCATTTCTCCTGTCACTGTTGTTCCTCCACCTCCTTCACGAAGATTTCCCATACTGTGAAACTGTCGTCGTTTTCTTTCAAGTTGATGTGCTTTTACCATATCTAAGCAAGCAACACGGTCGTAAAGATCAAAATCAGGCTAAAAATAGAAAAATAAAAAGAATTTTAAAATTAAAAAAAAACCTCATCTAATCCAAGCACAATTCGTTCAATCTCCTCAAATTCTTCTTCATCCGACATTTTTTCCCTAAAGTTCTTGGCTGTACAACTAAATTAAAAAATAATAATTTTTAAATGAGTTAAAGAAAAATTCTTTCCTTAAATTTTGTGTTATGTTTAAAACTAAATGGTCATCGAGAATATAAAAGGACGGAAATGTGCCATTATACCCTACGACGAAAATAAAAATTGGGTAAAAATAATATTAGAAAATGATAAAGAAAAACATGTGGGGGCAAGGAAGATTTAAGAGAACTAAAACAAATAAAAAGAACAACCTAATCCATGCTATTGCTGTTGTAAGGCAAACCCAAATTGTGCTTCAGATAGCCTCTCCACCTCCATTTTTCATTGCTTCATGCTTCAGCAACAGTTTCTCAGATAACCACCCCCACATAAATTTCTGAAAAAGTCAAAATTTTAATTATAGGTACATTCTAAAAATTAAAATTATCCCAAAGAAATAAACTTAAACCGCAAAATCTGAAGGACTTTAATTGTGTTACGACCCAACAAAGTATTTTTTCCATGTTTTAAAAACATTTAAATAACAAAAGAAAACAAGAAAAAATATTTAAAACTTTATTTACAAAAAAAAAACAATTTATTTTGACTAGTTTACTTATAAAAATGTAAAAAAATATTAAAAACGTTGAATTATTTCAACGATATAACAATAATTAATTTTTTCGGCTCTTTATTTCCAAGCTTTATTCTTTTTGCTTGTTTAACATTTATTCTTTTATTTATTTTTTTGTTTTACAATAGAGCCATTTAAAAAAAAGAAATATGCAAATTAACATGCCAATTTTTTTATTTTTTCTTTAATAGGCCAGAAATATAGTCGAGTCGATATTTTTAATTGATTAAAAAATCAGAATATAATTTTAGACTATTAGACTTGTAAAACAAATCGACTACATTCCTGTTTTCTATGCCTCGCAAAAATATTCTGCTTATTAATTTTGGGGTCTTCACGACTTTAAAAAAGATAAAATTCTTTCCAAATTTATCCAAAAAATTTTTTTAAACTCAAAAACAAGCAGAACATTTTACCACAAATAAAACTAAATAATAATCAGAGGGGTCATGTTTTGAACAATTAAAAGGGACAGGATGTGTAATGTTTAATATACTAATAAATGTTATATTTTTATTTTGCGCTTAAAATTTAAAAAAAAGGACAGCGCGTCTTTTAGGAGGTTAAGATGAGAGAGGAATGCCATTCATTACATTTTTTTAAATAATATCATCAAACCTTTGTTTTATTTTAAAAAATACCAAAGTTGTTTTCCCAACATCAAAAAATTATTTTTTTTATTCATCTAAACTATCGCCCATTTCTTGTTTAACATCAAAATCTTCTTCAAGTTCAATTTCACCATCGCTTCGGTGTTCATCATCATCTTCTTCCTCTTTGTGTTCTTCATCTTCATCATAGTCTAATGAGGCAAGTAAATCTTTTGGAGTTACTTGCTCCTTAAAAAATATTTTTTCAATTTTAAAATTAAATTATCATAAATAAACTAACGGATGGTTTTCTCTCTCCATCTGGAATAATTGGTTGACCATTGCTGACACTCTTAGAAACTGGTGCCCATTCAATAGTAATGTTTGCATTGGGAAAAGGTGATGTAGTTGCATGCGAAACAGCCTAAAAATAATAATTTTTTTTCAAATAAATTTAAAAAAAACCTTTTGAGCGGACATTGGATCCTTGTATGTGAAGACCATAGGCTCCGTATTAATATCTAAAAAATAAAAATTTCATTTTTTTAAATATTTTCATATAAATTAATCAAACCATAGTCAAACAAATCTCCAAATTTTTCCATATAAACTAAAATTTGAAATTAAAAAAATGCAAAAAATATAAAAGAATTACCAATGAGTTTTTCAGCTTGTTCCTGTGGACAATTTAAAGCGTAAACCACACGGCACAATTTAAACAATTTTTTATTTGGCGTTTTTGGAGGAGAATTTCCAATTGGAGCTCCTTGTTAAATTTTGATTTATTTATTCAATCAAACAAAAAGACAGAACAAACCCTCCTTATCCAGTTTACTTCCATCATGTCCAATAGCATTTTCATTAGTCAAAACAAGATTTGAAGTCATTCTCAATTGTTTACCAGTTTGACGCTGCTCCACAATACGAATTTTATTTGCCAACTGTTCCAATTCAGTTTTAGTTCCTTGTGAAGTACTCTCCGACTTTTTAACAAGAGCTATTAATCGTTTGCGTTGTTCTTTGTCCTCAGTTCCTAGAATATATTAAAAATAAATATCATCATACCAAAAAATAACAAAAAAAAAGACCTTTCAATTTTTCAAGCAATGTCTTTTGTTGTTCCACAAGTTTAGCATATAATCCAGTCTTCATTCGTTGAAGTTCTTTAAGTCGGCTAAGAACATCACGATCCATTGATTTTCTCTTTCCTAATTTCGCAAAGGTCCCAGCACGATTCTTTGCTTGTGTTGTAATTGAGGTAGTTAAAACACTTGAAGTAACAATAGAGGAAGAATTAGTAGTCGTTGATTGAGATGTCTTTGCGAGCGATTCATTTCCTTCCAATCCATCTGCGCGATCAACAACAGGTGCAGATTCTTCTATTGTTGATGATACTGTTTGAGGTTTGATAAACGTCTTTTTGTAAGTTCCCTGTTTAAAAAATAATTTTTAAAAGTATAAAAAACTAACCAATGGACGCAAAACAGGTCTTTTAGACAACGGTATTGTTGGGCCTCCAGTTGATGTAGTATTTGGATTTGTATTTTCAGTTATCCCAGTATTTCCATCATCAGTTGTCGAAGCATTCTTATCATTTTGCCAAAAAATTTTAATAAAGCGATTGTTCAAAATTGGTTCAACAGACTTATAAGCAGCCATTGCATCACGACGTGTTTTAAAAGTAACTAATGCTGTGTCTGGTCGACCTTCAAAATGTTTAAAAAGTTAATATTCATTTTAAAATAATACCTTCATATTGAACTTGAATATTCGTAATTTGTCCAAAACGACTAAAATGTTGGTCAAGTTGCGCAATTTTGTTCAAATCTTGAGGAATTTTTTTCACCTGAAAAATTTTTTAATTTAAATATTGACTCAAAACAAACCAAAAGGCTTCTTGATGTTTGATTACGATTCGCAGGAAAACTATAAGGCTTAAAACGTCCTCCACGCATTGTCATTCCTCCCCCGCTATTTGCCGTACCAAATCCAGGATTATTTTGTCCAACGCCACCAGAGGTCTGAGAACCATAAATTGCAGTTGTTTGGGTTGGTAATGTTGAAGCCGTTAATGAAGTAACAGTTGCTGAAGCATCTTGACCTCCACTAATTTGAGATGGACGAAAATGAACAAAACCGCCTGTCGAAGTCGTTCCACCTCCAAATGAAGAAGGCAATAAAGCATTCATAATTTCTGTCGGAAGTTGCTGTTGTGGAGGCGGAATAGTACCAGGCGGATAAATAAGATGTTGAGATGCTGAAAGTGATGTTGCTGTGCGTATTTGATGAGGTAATATTGGAGGCGGCGGAACTGAAAAGTCAATGCTTGACATTGCTGGTGTTGTAAGTGCAGGAGCCTCTGGATTATATCCTAAGGGAATTTTTCAGTTTAAGGAAAATGAAAATATATTAACCTTCAGAAATACTTCCTCCACCGCTCAACGGTTTTCCACTAGACCCAGAAGATTCAAGTCCCGGCGGAGGTGGATTTACACCATAAGAACTGCTTGTATCAAAAACAGATCCACTAGCACGAACAATTTTCTCCAAAGCAGTAGCATCGGCGACAACAGGATCCTTAAATAGTCGATTAGGATACATCATTAAAATATGAATACCGGTCCATGATCATAAGGACAGCCATCCCCACGCATGCAAAAGCCTTTCTCATGGAAATCACGACAACGATGTCGACGTAACGAACGCAGGTCAAAATCAGCAACTAAGCGTTTTTCCTTTCTAAAAAAATTATTAGTAAAAAAGTTATTTCAAATCAAACCTGCTAACATGCACAGGTGATCGAGAACGTTCACGGCTCTTTGAACGTGCTCGTCTAGTTTCACGATAATGTCTAGTAGTAACACGCATTGAAGGAGCACCACTGCTACTATTTCCAGCTTCTCTCCCAATAACTACTCGTCTTCTGGTTACAGGCGAAACACGACGTTCTGCCCCACTTCCACCACGACGTTCTGCGCTGTTAGAACGTGGAGGAGAAATACGTTTACGGAAAGGTCGACCAGTTGGCTGTGAAGCAGTCTGTTGCTGCGTTGAAGAGGTTTTTGTGGTTGTTGCAGTCGTTGTTATAGTAGATGTGTGTGCTGCATGTGTCGTTGTACTAGTCCCTGTAGTACTACTTCCACTAGTTCCTTTACTGCGAGTTGTTGATGTGGATTCCTTGACTGAACGGCTAGACTTGCTACCACTGTGTGGAGACGACTTTTCAGTTTTCCCTTTATCAACTCGGTGTTCATCACGAGTGGATTTTGATGAAGTTACCATGCCTAAAATAGAGTTGGTAAACATTAAAATATCAAAAGATAACCTGAAGTTCTCGTTTGTGTCCTCTTTTGATGATCCTCTTTTTTCTTTTCAACAGGTACTTGTTCAGGACTGTCAGGATCAGTCAAAACCAACTTTAAACAAAAAACGCTAAATCATAAATCAATTTAAAAACCTCATCAGTCTCAGCAGTTATCGCATCCTCATCCTGTTTTGTCTGTTCAACCTGCTCGTTAACATATTCTTCTTTCGCCTCTGCAGCAGTTACAACATCCTCTTTCTGATTTAAATATTTTTCCGATCTTAGCGTAGCGAAAAGTTGATTGACGAAAGGTTCAGTATCTACAAAAAAGATATGTAAGGTTACCTATTAATACCTTATTAAAAATATTTACGTGATTGCAGAAAAACAGAGAGCTTTTCTAGACACAATTCTTCAAGAACATTTTCAGCCAGAGGCTTCTTCACCAAAGCAATAACATATTTAGCTAAAGCATCTGGTTCTGCGTCACTTCTAAAAATAAAATTTTTTAGAGGAAAAACGTACAAAACATACATGTCCTCAACAATGTGTGAAATCCAAGTTTTTAGGCGATTCTCATCTTGAATAATCATTTTTAATGTTATTTCTAAAAAATGACAAATTTTGAAGAAACTAATTATTAAACGAAAAAAGAATAAATTTTCTTCTAGAAGCATAAATCAAACAACACGAGGGAGAACAAAAAACCCTTCGATAATTAACAAGTTTTCTCCCCAAGAATCTACTCTAACATTAATTTACTTTTATATTGTCTGTTAAGTTTAGTAGTGCAAAAAAGCTAGAGAGTGTAAAAAGTTGGAGATTATTAAAGAAAAAAACAAACGAGAGATTATGATAGATTGGCAATCTTCAATTTCAAAATGCCAAAAACAAAAAGAGTATTGTTAAGATTTATTAGATATTTCGTTATTTTTCTCGTTTGTTGACATTTTGAAAATATACATTTTGTTTTCGTCAAGAAACATCTGTTTTCTTCTCTTCTCTATTACGAAACCTTGAAATTTTTCTTGTTTTATTGGTTTGCTGGCAAAAATTTTTTTTTAATTTTTCAGGAAATTTTTGTTATTGCTATTTAATTTAATTTTTAAAGCATAATGGCAACTCCTGGGATTGAAGGTAATTTTTTATACTTAAAAATAAAATCATTTTTAAGCTTCTCACGATCCTGCAGCCAATTCTGTTGATGGACAATTGACTGAAGCTGAGCGTGAATTGATCCTTGAAGAGTTGAAAAAGGTTTTTCAGACTTTAATTTAGACTTTTTTTATTATTTTTTAGACTGAGGATGAAGTTGCAACACTTCGTCAAGTTTTAGCTGTCCGTCAAAAGCAAGTAGCACATTTAAAACATAAATTGGGGATCTCTCCTTTTAATGAGCTGACAAGTGAAATGGCACAAGGAATTCGGACTGTTAAGGAAACACCAGCGTAAGCTTTTTCTTTTTTTAATTTTTAAGTGTATGCACTTTGGGGCTTAAATTACGTGTAGAGATCGAACTCGGTTTGGGGCAGGCCCATGGAGGACAGCCTGGACAGCCTCAGACCAGTTATAAATGCCTCTGACTTTAAAAAAAAATCTCGATCCCCTGGGTGGTCAATTTTTTTAAAAATTGTCCGTGACAAAGTTTCAGAGTATTTCTACCCAACCTTAAAATCTTACTTTCAATATTAATAATAAATCAAATCATCCTCAAAAATTTTTAGATTTCAAAAGACAAGTGAATTTGTTGGAGGAACTGCAGAGACTGTTGCTAATAAATTTAATGACATTCGAAAGTCTTCATTTTTTAAATCATTTGAAACGAAGATTGGAAGTGCTGTTAACAATGTTTCTTTCTTATTTTATAACTTTCTCTCTAAAAAAATTTTTTCCAAGGCAAAAATGGTAGCTTCAACTTCAATTGATCATCTGGCTAATGTTGCTGGTGGTGGAACGAGAACTCCTCAGGAAACTGGGGAACGCAATGTTGTTGGGTCGCCTCCACCACCGCCGCTCTCATAAGAGAATTAAATATGGACAGATATTAAAGAGGAAAATATTCTAAAAAGATAAAAAAGGTTGTAAAAATTATTTTTTTTCTAAAAAAGGTTATCCAAAAAAGTATTTTGTGAGGTACTTTTTGGTTATTTTTCTTAGTTTTGCGGACTGATTACTTCATATAAACCTTCCCACTTTTTCTCCACTTAATTTATTGATCAAATTAGAGACTGGGGCCAAACGAGATCATGTTTCCCATGGGATCCCACTGAGAAATCCTTTTGTGATTGTTGAGAGAACGAGTTTGCTATTTCGACGTTTTGGCATATTAAGAGAATTATTAGGGTTTGGGAACCTTTAAGTACATTCGAAAAATACTTTTTTAATTCTTTAAAAATCCGTTCTGTCCGCAAATTTATTAAAAAATATCGATAAAAGTACCCAATCTTCCACCAAAAAATTTTTTTTTATCTGAAAAGGATCAAACACCTTAATTTTTCCAAAAATAACATATATTTTCTTTTTGTATTTTTAGCAAAGGTTTCTTTCCTTTCTCTATAATATCTCTTTTAAATATTTCGAAAATTTTCTGAACTTTATAAGTCTAGCCTGGAAGGGAAACTTTTGCTTCACACAGAATTTCTTTAAAGATTCATTCCTCTATTTTAAAGCCATCTTGTGTCTATTTTAGCGTTCTATAAAAATGTATTTTATTTAACAATAAAAAATGAAAAAAATTTGGGAAATTTTTAAAGATACTTTTAAAACTTTTCCTCCCTATCAGGAATGCCACGGATTATTCGGAACCCGAAACTCAGACTTCTTCCGATCCAAAACCCGATCCAAAAGAAAATTTTGAAACCACTGACTCGAATTTTTCCCCGACATGTAACATCCCTGCTCCTTATAGTCGAGAAATAAAAATATATTCCCCTACCTCTCCTTTTCCAGCAAAAAATTCAATTCTCGTCTCTCCTTTTCCCTTTATTTTTTATTTCAAGCAATTTTCTTCTATTAATTTAAATTTTCCCTCTCTTTCTCCTAACATTTAATTGCTTATAAAAATTTTGTTTTTAAAAGAAAAGGGAAGAAAATTGGATTACAAAGAAAATAAAAACACGAATTGCCCTAAAATTAATTTTTTTCTGAATAAAAAATTTCGTCCGAAAAATATTTCAATTGCATTTTTTCCAATTTTTAATTTTAAAAATATTCTTGAAAACAAAATTTCGTCTTTTTTAAAAATCTTTTAGATAATTTAATTTTGAAATTAAAAATCCCTCCTTTTCTTTCGCTAAACCCCCTCGTCATCCAAAATATCATTTTTAATCCCTTGGGAGAAGAAAAGTAAACTTATCAAAAATAAAGCAAATTTTCTTTAAAAATTTATAAAGCCTAGATTATTTTTCAGCACTTTTCTATAAACGTTTTTTTTATTAACCCTAAACCTTCATAAAGTGAAAGCTTCCCCTCCGATCTTTTTCCCAAATTCTTACAAATCCAGTTAAAAATCAATCCAACATTAAAAATTGAAAAAAAAATTCAAGTTAAAAACGACATTAATTTAAATTATAATCAAATTTTTTGAATATTTATTTACGTGCATATGAGCGAAAAAACAATTTTTAAATTAATAAGTATACAAATATTAAATGCGTCATTTTTATAAAAACATCCGCCCACTTTATTTTTTATTTATAATTTGATTAGACCCCTTCTCTTAACTTTCTTCACTATAAAAACTTATCAGCCTATCCTCGACCCCACTAAAAAATCTTTTGCCCCACAAAAACAAAAAACACGAAGGGTCATATCAAAAACATTTTTCTCAACAAATTTTATCAAAATGAGGCATCTAATTTACTTTAAATTTGCCTTATAAAGGCCTTTTTTTTTAAATTATTTTCTATAAAATAATTTTAATTGGTCATAAATTTAATTATCAAAAAAGGGAAAAACCTTTTCTTTTCCCTTCATTTATTCTTCCAAAAGTTTCTTAATCTCCGGCTCCAACTTTTCCGGTTCATCAGTCGGTGCATGTCGACTAACTGGAATTCCTTGCTTGTTTACCAAAAATTTAGTGAAATTCCACTTAATTGCGTCAATCAGAGTACCTTTAAATATTGCAAATTTCTCAATAAAAATTAAAAAAATTTCGAAAAAAACCATGCTGCTCATGCTTCAAAAACTCCCAAAGTGGATGAGCATTTTTCCCATTCACATCAATCTTTGCATACAAATCAGGAAAGAAATTGAACTTCTCATTAATAAATTTCTTTATTTCTTGATTAGTTCCCGGCTCTTGGCTATTAAACTGAAAATTTGAGAAAATGTTAAATTTTGGGATCAAATGTCGCTTTTTTCGAATAATGGATTACTTGATCCAAAGCAGTTAGAAATGGGTTTCTAAACTTGGTTTCGAACCAAAACAACCTTGATTGGGAAAAAATGGCCAGTAATACAAATTGGGATCAAATGTCATCTTTTCCCCAACATTGGGAGTTACCCAAAAATTCAATTTTAAACCAAAAAACAAACCTGATTGCATGGAAAACAAGCAATAGAAAGTCCCTTATCCTTATACTTTTCAAGCAGAACCTTCATCTGTGGATAATTGGTCTTGGTAAATCCACATTCGGAAGCCACATTAACAATTAAGACAACTCGTCCCCTTAAAAATTTTTTTAAAAAATTAAAAAAAAATTTCCATACTTGTAAACATCTCCCATTTTAACATCTTTTTCGTCAATATCTTTAGCCACAAAATTATAAATTGTGTTGGTCGCCATTTTTTCAGTATTTGTGCTAGCACAAGAAATTTGATTAAAATTTATATTTTTAAAAGAACTGCGTAATAATGAAAATATTTGGAAATGATTGCTCAGCAATGTATGAGAAAACATTTTTATATTAATCTATAAAGAAGGGGAAAAGAGGGGAGGAGAGGTTACTTTTCTGCTGATAAAAAAATAAAAATAAGGAGGAAGTGAGAGGGAGTTTGTTAAAATAAGAGAGAACAAAAATATATTGAGTTGTTTACTTTGGAGGGAGTAAACAACAAATAATATCATATCCAGAAGATCAACATTAAAAGAAAATAAGTGATCGGTGAGTCATCAAAAAGAAATTTTGATTTTTGGAGGTTTGACATTCTGGGATTTTTTACACCCGATTTTGAAACCTTCCGATCTTTTGGACCAACCCTGTATACTTTGCACTATTACAACTCTGGCAAAAAAAATAAAAATAGATAAAAAAACAGGAAAAACAAAAAGGGAAAAAGTTATTCAGCGAAATAGGCATTTCAGTCTCGCCGTTTCAGTCTGGGACTCTTTTCCAGACTGAACCGTCCTCTTCCGCATTTTGTGGATAGAGGACGGTTCAGTATAAAAAAGGCAGAAAAAGTTACAGTATATTTTTTCTCAAGTTTGGTTTCGGATATCCGAAGAATTTCCAGGAATCTACAACTCTATAAGTAAGGCAAAAGATGTTTTTAGGGGAAATTTTTAAGAAAAAAAGTAGAGTAAAAACTTGTCAATAAAAAATTTAAAATATTACAGAGGTTAGGTTAACCTTCCCCTTGATTTTTAAAATAATCTACACCATGCTCTAAAAAATTTTGTTCAATTCCCCGACTTTTCTCCCCATCTCTTCTTTCCCCCTAAAAATTCATAATTTTTGCCAAATTTAATTTAACATTTTTATTATTCATCATCTCTCATAATTCCATTTACTCTTCATTGGATTAACAAGGTACACACAAGTATGTGCGCAATAAAAAAAACGCCAAAAATCCGAGGCTTTGAAAAACGCCAAAATTTACATTTCCACTCACAAGTCTAATATAAATATTATTACTTTTAATCCATCTGCGCATAAAAAAGAGCTTCCTTCCCCCTTCCCTTTCCCCCCTATCTACCAATTTTTTTTTATTATTTTCCCCACCCCTTTTGACACGTTATTGACGCTAAAAACAAATGAAGAGTGAAGAAGCCTCTCTCTCTCATAAAAGCATATAAATGAAATGCCAACAACGGATTAAAAGCGACAACTTTTTTTAATATAATGTACATGTAAATATATTTTTTTAAAAACATTTTATCAACTTCTCCCAATGGGGATAAAGGAAAACTTTTCATTATTTTTATTTTTAACATAACGAAGTCTTAGGGGATGAGGAAGTAGTGAGGGGCACTGAAATGTTGAGTGATGCCGGAACTGAATTCTGATTTTTGTTCTGATTTTCTAATTCTGGTTTTTAATTCTGATTTTTATTTCTGATTCTGTTCTGATTTTTTAATTTGTTTTGATTTTTAATTCTGATTCTGTTTTGATTTTGTTCTGATTTGCCTTGGTTTTATTCTGATTCTGTTCTGATTTTCTAATTCTGTTCTGATTTTTTAAATTCTGGTTTTGTTCTGATATTTAATTCTGAATTTTAGTTCGGAGTTCAGACTTTTATTCTGATTCTCTTCTGATTTTTTAATTCAGTTCGATTCTGATTTTAACCACACACAGAAAGCTTTATAACGAGCGTTCACAAATCGCTCTCTAATTTGTAAATGACAAAATATATCCCCACAAAATTAAAAAAACAACTCATCAAAAATAAAACTGTCACAGGTCTACCCACACACAAATTAAAAAAAATTCATTAAAAAATAAAAATTTTCATTAATATTATAGTAAACACATTTCTCTCCTTTCGATTACTAAAATATAATAAAACTTGTTTTTTAAAATAAAACTTTACAACAACACACAATTAATTGACTTTTGTCCATCTTTGGAAATTAAAAAAAAACAAAGAAAAGAATTTTTACGCTCATTTGGGTTGGCAAAAAAGCAAAAAAAAAGTCAATCTCAATAAAGGAACTTTAAATTTATTTTTTCTAAAATTATTCAAAAAAAATTCATTAATATTTAACGTATTCCAAAAGGTCAACATTTAACAGAGAAATTCTGATTTTTAACTTTGAGTTTGTTCTGGTTTTTAATTTAATTCTGTTCTGGTTTTTAATTTAATTCTGTTCTGGTTTTTATTCTTTCTGAACTTGTCTTTTTTCAATTCTGATTTTATTCTGGTTTTTAAATTCTGTATTCTGGTTTTCTGACTTCTTAATTTTTGTATGTTCTGATTTTAAATTCTGGTTTTGTTCTGATTTTGAATTCTGGTTTCAATTTGGTTTTTATAGTTCTGAATATTTATTTTATTCTGGTTTAAAATTCTAATTTTATTCTGATTTATAATTCTGATTTTTATTTATTTTTATTCTGATTTAATTTTATCCTTCAAGACTACACCAAAATATGCAAAAAATAAATTCTATCAAAGCCGTTCAAAAATTCCTTTTTTCATTCCTTTATTCCCCCTTCCTCTCTCTCCTTTTTTTCAAAATTCAATTTCCAGTCCTCACCCAAAACTTTATATAAAAATGTTTCTATTTTTGTGAAACCTCATGTGTTTTTTGTAGTTTAAAACTTGCACAAACCAAAAAAATGTTTTTTCTTTTAAAGAAAATTTATTTAAACTTTAGAGAATCACAATTTTTATTTTTTCACTTTCCTTTCTCTCCCATATTCTCTTAATTTTTATTTTCCCAAAAATTCACTTCAAAAACAATTTTTACAGTCTCGAACAACCCCCCCCCCCAAAACAAATTTACAATACTCCAAGAAGAAATGTCATTTTAGTGTAGTGGGAAAATGCTTGGTTCTGTAAACAGAAAGGGCGAGGGTTCGAATCCCATTTGCGGAAAATAATTTTTATTTAAACAAAAAACTCTAATTTTTAATATAGACTTGTTTTTCTAGCTCTAAAACGTTTTTTAGATTTTTTTTCACAGAAGCAAAAAGTGCTGTGGGATATAAGTCTCCTGTCTCCTTAATTTTTCTAATTTTTAAAAATACCTAATAATTAACAATAAGCCTTAGTTAACATCTTCTTTCTAAATTTAAAAAATCAAAAAAATATTTAAAAAAGAGTAAAAAAATTTTTTTTAAGAAAAAACCAGCTGTGCCAATAAATATACTTAATAATTATTTTGTGACGAAAATTATTTTATTTTACCCCGCGCTTTTTCCGGCCTTTTTTCTCTTTTTTTCTCTTTTGTTTTGTAAAAATAAAAATAAATATTCTATAAAATAAATACTATAATCTCTTTTTTGGACCTTTCAATGAAAATAATACCCCCATTTTTTGGTTAAAAATTGATTAAAAAAATTTTTTTCCTGACTTTATAAGGTCAATAGAATATATGTATATTATACCCCCTCCCCCACACGTCAAAAAAGTTTATCTTGCCCTCTCCCTCTCTTTCGAGGATTAATATAGATCAATCAAATAAAATGCCCCAGACACATGGATTTTCACATCTCCAGTTGCAGACAAAAATTGCGGACGTGAGGGGGTATAAAATGTGATAGTACCAGAAACACTCAATACTGAAAAATTTTCTCTTTCAATTCTGATTCTATTCTGATTTTATTAATTGGTTTAATTTTTTCCCCTAAAGTAGCATCCTTATGTTAGTGAGATTTGACTTATTATAAAAATAAAATTAAAAAAAATTTTTCAAATCAAGCACACATTTGTTCCTCCTTCCCTAACCACATCCTCCTCCCTTTTCTCCCCCCAAAAAAATCAATTTATCATTTCATTATCTTTTCAATTTTTAAAAAAAAGCTTGTCAACACACACACATTTTTACGTTAATAATAATTAACTAGTTTTATGTGAAAAATAAAATTTTTAGAGAAGAAAAATATACGTTTTTCCGGTTAAAATTTAAAAAATAGAGAAGAGAATGAACAGAAAAATTTTAAAAAAATTAAGAGAGAAAAAGTAAAAAAATATTATTAATTATTTTAAAGGATTATAAATGTTTTTTTAATATAAAAAAATTAATTTAAAAGTGATTAATTTAAAAATCCCAAAAATAATCTAAAAATCCCTTCTATTAAAAAATAAAATAAAAAATTCAGGAATCCAAAAATGTCCATATAAGTTTACTTTTTGCTTCTAAGAAAAAAATAATAGAATTTTCATAAGAGATTCTAACGAAACCCTCCAATTTTTAAAATAACTTTTTTTTATTTTTTTGATAAAATCGCGCGAAAAGGATTATAAAATATATTTCTATATATTATTTAAAAAGGATTATCGTTATATATACATTTATTACCATCACAACCATTTTACCAACAAAATTATACTTTAAATCCATTATTTAAATTTTATTTTAGACACAAATACAGACGAATCTCGATTTTAGATAGATTAAAACCCCAAAAACCTCGATTTTAGATACCCTTTTTTAAGAAAACTTGTTTGATCACTGGATAGTAAGGCGGGTCCTGGGAAATTCACGGATTTGATACATGAACCGAAATTCTCGGGGATATCATGACTTATTTTTGGATCTAAATACCAAACATGTTAGGTAAGGAGAATTGCAAACAATGCTCACAATCACCTCCCACAAAATTTTTATATCAAAGGGTGTATGTGTAAAATCGAGATTATGTTCCTTTTCTAATCTTCACGAAAAAATTTTTTTTCAGATGGGAAAGAATAACAGCAAATTTAATCGGAATAGTAACACAACCGGCGGAAGGACAACAACCACAGAACAATTAACAAATAAAAATTCTTCGAATTGTGGGGGAGGTGTTGAACAAGAAACAGAAAATGTGCCAATAGGGAATGGGTCAAATAATAATTTAAATAATGGAGATAACAATAATAATAAACAAAAACAACAACAAAATGGTGGGGGGAATAGAAGATTAAAAAAAGAAAAAAGAAAAAAAGCAAATAAAAAATTAACACCCGAAGAATTAAGCGATTTGGAACAAAAAACTTATTTTACAAGAAAAGAATTGAGAAAGTGGTATAAGGTGAAAAATTTTACGAAAAAATTAAAAAATTTTAAAAAATTCGAAAAAAGTTTTTCAAAAAATAAAAAAAAATTTTTGAATTTCAAAAAAATTCGGAAAAATTTTTTTCAAAAAAAATTTTTTTAATTTTTCAGAAAATTCAAAAAAAAAAATTTTTGGAAAAAAAATTCTAAATATTTAAAAAAAAATTTTCTTTTTACAAAGGATTTTGTACGTGACTGCCCTACAGGAGAATTAAAGGTAAAAATAAATTTTCTAAAAAATTTTCTAAAATTTTCAAAAAAAAATTATTTATTCAAAGCTTGACGAATTCCAAAATATTTATCGCCAATTTTTCCCAAATGGAGATCCCTCAAAATTTGCAGCCTTTGTTTTTAATGTTTTTGATGATAATAGGGTAAATTTTTTTGAATTTTTTTTTAATTTTTAAAAAATTATAGGATGGACATATTTCATTTAAAGAATTTATTGCAGGTTAGAAAGTCAAGAAAAACGATTAAAAAATTAATTTTTTTTCAAGCACTCTCAATTACTTCGAGGGGGACATTAGATGAAAAATTAGAATGTAAGAGTAAAAATATAGAAAAAATTTTTAAAAATCGTCTTGTCAAGTTGCCTTGGCAAAAAAATATTTTTCTTAAAAAATTCTGTGAGAAAATCTTTTCAAAAAAATATTCGGATATTTAAATTAGTTGTCTAAGCAACTAATTTGAAAAAGAAATCTAATTTACCGTGAAAAAAATTTTTTATAGGGGCATTTTCTCTATATGATGTAGACAAGGACGGTTTTATTACAAAGGCAGAAATGGCAGACGTAAGAAAAAAATTTAAGAAAATTTTTTTTTGAGATTGTGAGAAAAGATAATAAAAAATTTTCTGATATTGAAACAAAAATTTTTGATGATGAGAAAAAAAAATAAAAATATTAGAAAAATTCACACTCAAAAAATTTAAAAATATTTTCTGTGTGGGAAAAATAAAAAAATATTTAAGAAAACTTCGCAGATATAAATTTAAAAATCTAAGAAAAAATTTCTTTATTTCCCTCTAGATTGTCGATGCAATTTATAGCATGATAGGGAATATGTTGGAATTACCCAAGGATGAGGATACTCCCCAAAAACGAGTGGAAAAAATATTTGCAAATATGGATTTGGTAAGAAAAAATTTTAAAATTTTTAAAAAAGTTTGAAAATTTCAAAAAAAATTTTTTTAAGAATTTTGATGGTAAACTCACAAGAGAAGAATTTAAACAAGGCTCCAAAAATGATCCATGGATTGTCCAAGCATTAACAATGGATATGAATAATGGTGAAGAAGTAATAAGCCAAAAAGCATAAAAAAATAGAAGAATTCTTTTTTAAAATTATTCCGCCGGTTTGACAAAAATTTCTTAAAAATTAATTTTTAAATTTAAAGTTTGTCCATTTTTGGGAATTTCATTTTAATTGTTTTTTTGTATATATTTTTCAAGCATTCCATTTTTAGTTAGAATTTTCACGAAATGAAGCTTTGCCCCCTTTTCTCCTAACACTAGGGTTGGCGGTCCTGGGATTTTTTAAAAATATTTTTTGGATATTCGGCCTTCTTTGGATTCGGATCCGCCAACCTCTAATCCTCCTATCTATTGTTTAAAAAAATTTTTTCCCCATTTTTCTTGTCAAAAAATTTTTAATGAGCATTTTATCATTTAAAAATTTTTCTATTGAGAAAACCAATCATTTTTATTTATATATTTTAAATTCATTTCAATTATAAAACTATAAATTTTTTTATTTAATTTTATACTATTATTATTTTTGAAAAAAATTAAATCAAAAAAATTAAACTCATTTTCTAATAAAATGAGACCAAAAAAATATTTTTTAAGTAAATATTTAGTCATTTAAATAGGTCCACCAAGTACTCGGTTAAAAAAATTTTTTTTTCAAATAATTTTTAGATTCTTTAAAAAATCAAAAAAAATATAGAAATGAACCAAGTACTTGGAGATAAAATAAATTTTTTGGAGAAAATTAAAAAAAAATTATTTATTTTTCACATTATTATTAAAATATTTTCTTTAATTTATTTAAATTTTTATTTATTTTTCAAAATCTTTACCTCTTTTTCTTTTCCTTTTTTGTTGTTTTTTCTTATCATTTTTATTTTCCTCCAACATTTTCTTTTCTTTAAATTGTTTTGAAAGTAATTCAAATGGAGCAAGTACTCGAGAACGATAAAAATCAAACAAAGTTTGGACTGGCAATAAATGCATTTTTAAAACTTGATGGACTGGATTCTATAAAGAAAAAAGGAATTTAAAAAATTTTTTTCTTAAAAATAGGGTTGCCAAAATGGCCCGAGTCGGACCGAAAGATCGAGATGGGCCTAAAAAATTTGGCCCGGAAAAGACTCGTACGGCCCGACTCGATAAAAATGAGGTCCGAAAAAATTGATGACCGTCGACCCGACTCGAAAACGGCAACCCTACTTAAAAAAAATTTTTTTAATTTTAAATTAAACAAAAAAGTGTTTTTAACAAGTTTTTTACCACTAATTAAAAGTTAAAATCTAGTTGGACTCGAACCTACACCCTTTGGGTATAAAGACCAAATCACTAACCACTCGGCCATCCCCACACATAAAAGAAATAATTTTAAAAGACAATTTAGGTAATAAAGTTTTTTAACACTTAAAAATAGACTCGAACCTCCTACAAAGACACAAAAATAAAATAATATAAAACCTTAAATTCCGCTGAAGGCTTCCCTTGTTTCAACCGATTTCCCAACATTTTTAGCTGTTCACACATTTTATTCAATTTTCCATCCAAAACTTTAGTTAATGCCTCAATACTTTCTCGATCAATTTCTTAAAATTATTTAGATTAATTGTTCAATTTAAATTAAAAAAAACCAGAAAATCCATGAAAGAAAGCACAGCAACAAACAGAAAATTGAATTGATTTTTTAATTTCATTATCATCCAAGGAGGAAGGCAAAGGTTGTGGTGAATTGTTATTACTACTAGAACATTGATCTTTGCTTCTAAAAATTGTAGAAAATTTTAAAATGTCAAAAATTAATGTTTAAAAGCTAGAAAATGTCAAATCATCAAATAATATCAAAAAATCGATTTTTAGAAGTCTGAATTTAGGACAAATTTCTGATTACCTAGTGGTGCAAGGAAGGAACGTCCTTCTGGCTAGCATTTAAAAGTTTTTTAGAAGTCTAGGATAAAACTTGGGCTCTATCTTAGGACATGCGTCCCATGAACTTTTATGCGTCCCATGAAAGTTTATGCGTCCCATGGAGGTTTATGCGTCCCATGAAAGTATATGCGTCCCAAAAATAGTATAAGCGTCCCTTCAAAATATATGCGTCCCAAAATTAATATAAGCGTAAAACAATTGCGAAAACATTTTTTAATTTTATTAATGACAATTAAATATTAGTCCTTGAACTTGGAGCTAATAATTTTGCTGGTAATTTACAATTACGTTTTACAAATTTACTTAAAATGAGACCTTGGTTTATATTTTTCAAAGGGTCCTTCTTGATTGATTTTAATACAGATGGACCATTATTTGAACATTTACGATATGTAAATACTGAAAATGTTGAACCATCATTAGCGATGGCTGGGCAAAAAAAGTTTACAAAATTCTCTTTCGCTTATATTAATTTTAGGACGCATATAAATTCTTGGGCCGTGGCAGCTTTCATAGGACGCATATACTATTTTTGGGACGCATATACTTTCATGGGACGCATATACTATTTTTGGGACGCATAAACCTCCATGGGACGCATAAACTTTCATGGGACGCATAAAAGTTCATGGGACGCATGTCCTAAGATAGAGCCAAAACTTGCACTTGGAATAACTGAAACTAGCAATAACTGAAATGGAGGTGCTTCAGGCTAAACCTTTACCTCTCCTTCCTCTAATCTAAATATTAATTTATACCTCGATTCCTCGTCAATTACAGTCGTCTCTAAAAGCTGTCCTTGTACCACCACAGCCTTTTTTGATTGAAAATTTTCCATAAAGCGAAGTTGAACCGCCCAAATTGTGCGTTCATCAATCCCAAGCCTTATAAAAATTTAAAAATTTTATTTATAAAATATTTTAAAAAAACCTTAAAAGTTGTTCAGGTTTTAATTCATCAACATTCATTTAATAATTTAATTAAAAAAATTATTCTTTCAATTAATATATACAATAAAGCTTAAAAAGATTTTTAAAAAATTAAGGCTGATAATTGTTGGTGTAGTTGGTGAGTGAAAATGGGAAAAAAATCTTTCCATTTAAAAATTATTTGTATAGTAAATGATCCTTATTTTTGGTAAATTTTGTTTTAAACATTATCTACATTTAAGATAAAAAAATTTTCCACTGATAGGATTCGAACCCGACACCCTTAACTACTAGAAACACAACACTAACCAACTACACCAACCGACACATTTAAAAAATAAATAAAATATTTAGCTTGCCTTAACTACAAGTATAAAAATTAAAAAAAAATATAAAAATAATTTTATTTCAATAAAAAAATATTTTAAGCATTTTTTAAAGAAATTGAAATTATAGAAATTTCATCTCGTGGACGTCCACTTTTTTCATGAACAGGAACTTGATTGATTTTCTTTGAAAAAAAAATTTTTTTAATTGGATGATAAACAGCACCCTCATAAAAGCTGTCAAAATGTCAAACAATGGAAATAACACTGAAATGGCAACCCACACTGTCGTTGGAACAACATTTTGGCATTTTCTCAGCTTTTGAGGGTTTGGTATTTCAAGGTCATTCCCGCTGTTTGGCATTTCAATAGCTTTTTGGAGGTGTCATTTATACGTTACGCCATTATGACCCGCTTCAAAAAATGTTCAAAAAATGAAGAAACCTGTACAACGTTAAACCCTTCCAAAACTTGTCCAAAAATTGTATTTTTTCCATCTAACCATTCAGCTGGACAAACTGTTATAAAAAATTGTGAGCCATTAGTATTTGGTCCAGCATTTGCCATTGAAACACGAAAAGCTCTGTCATGCCTCAATTGTGGATGAAATTCGTCTTCAAAATCATCACCCCAAATTGAATTTCCTCCTGTGCCTTTTCCTGTTGGATCACCAGTCTTAAAAGAAAAGAGAAATAATAATTTTATTGAAAGGACCCCACTGGGTTATATAGTCACATAAAAGAGATAGGATAAGGGTCTCATCAAGTCTGATTTCTACAACTCAAATCGCCAAGGGTTTCGAATCCTGGCTGCCTTAATGTGTTTCGATGTTAAGACGTTTAGGGTCATAACAATGAACACGCTAGAACACCTAGGATTCTATAATTTTTTAAACAAAGTTATAATTCTTTGACGAGGTGGTACGTGTGGAGGATCGGGCAATCCCAAACAAAATTTTTTAAAAAAAAACCTGAATCATAAAATTTTTAATAACTCGATGAAACGAATGTCCATTATAATAACCACGTCTCGCATGCGTACAAAAATTCTCAACAGTTTTGGGTACCTTGTCTGGATACAATTCTACAACAATATCTCCATATGTAGTGAAAATAACAGCTCTTTAAAATAAAAAAAATTATTTTTAAAAATTTTGTAAAAAAACTGTGTGCTCAATTTTGATTGTTGCATAGCATTTTCATATTCAACAGCAGTTATCATATCTTCTTTCAAAGGTTTTTCATTAAATACATCTCTGTTATAACTTGTAGATCCATCAATTTCTTCAGTATAAGGCTCTACATTTGTAAATAAATAAAAACGATTTTTTCTGTAAGCGGTGGCGACCTTTTGAAAAAAATTATTTTATAAAAATTAATAAAAAATTTTTATACAAGCATTGGATCGGGTTCAGATATCCTCAAATTTGGATTTTCGGCTGCTTCAACACGCACACTTGTTGCTGCGCCTTGTAATTTTTCCTTTAAAAATTTAAAAATTTTAAGAGTAATTATTGAATAAAACCGTAACGCTTGGAACTGCTCGACACAATGCAATGCCTTAAAAATGAAAAATTTTTTTTGAAATTTTTTCTATTTTTTTCAAAAATTTTCCAAAATAAAAAATTTTCATTAACGACAGCAAAATAATGACCACCGATCGGATTCGAACCCATAACCATAAATTATAGAAAACTAAGAACTATCCAACTTAACCAAAAAGACAAAAAATTTTCTCAATTTTTTAGAAAAAATTTTCAAAAAATGTTTTTAAAAATCCTCAAAAAAATTAATTTACAAAAATAAACAAACCAAAAAATCTCAAATTTTCACTCGTCCCAATTTGTCTAACCAATTGTTTTGTGACCAAATTATAAACAGAAATTCCCAACGGAGTTGGATAAATAATAAAGTTGCTAGAATCATCAAAAATTAATTTTATATAGCGAAACACAGAAGAATCTCTTGATGCCATTTCCTTTTCTAAAGCAACTCTACGAGTCCATTCCATTGGTGGAAGTCCATTTCCTCTGTTAAAAAAATAATTTCATTTCAGTTCCGGAATTTCAGAGTGAGTCATTGGTTAACATATAAAATAATGGCCAACGATCGGATTCGAACCCACACCCAATAAATAATGAAAACTGAAAACTATCCAACTTAACCAAAAGTACATGAATGGTAATTTCTAGAGACCGGCGCGGGACGGGATCCCGACGGGATTTTCCGGGATCCCGATCCCGAAATCCCGGATTTTTTTGATTTTCGGGGTCATTCGGGATCCGGGATTTTTTCGGGATTACTCCCTCGGGATCCCGTCCCGGCATCGGTTAATAAAAAAATCCCGACTCGGGATCCCGGAAGTGCGATTTTGCCGGTCTCTAGTAATTTAAGTGTGCGAATTCAGTGAGGGGCATTTCAATGTGGTATTGTTTAATTTTTTATTTAAAAAATAACAAATAAAATTCTATTTCAAACTTTGTTTCATTTCCCATTTGAATATATTTTTCAATTGTCTCATCCAATTTTAAAATTATTTTGCCACTTAATAAATTAAAAATATAAATAAAACAATTGCTAGCAAAAATTGCAAATATTCTTCCATTTGGACTTATTGACATTGAACGTGGAATTTGTTTTATCTAAATTAGAAAGATTATAAACAGAAATTCAAGAACGTAGTTGGATAAAAATAAGACCACTAACGGTAAGATAAAATAATGACCACCAACCGGGTTCGAACCCAAGATCATGAACCCTTATTTCGGGATAGGGCTGAAAGCTGCAAACTACCCAGCCTAAGAAAAAGGACATAAAATGACCAAAAGATTTAATTAAAGAATATGTTTAAAAAAATTTTTACCTTACAAAATTCATATAAATCTGTATCCATTTTATATTTAAAATCAACAGAAGTAGGAAATTCATAATTTGATTTTGTTCCAGACCAATATTCAATCTAAAAAAAAATTTTTTTTTAATTTAATAAAAGAATTAAAATAATACCATTCCCATGTCATCAATGGAAATTGTAACATCGGGAATTGCTGCATACTTAAAAATTATAGTTATTTGGAAAAATAGAATTGATAACAAAAAAAAACGTTAAAACAAAATAATAACCACAGAACGGATCGAACCCGCAGTCATAAATAACGAGTAACTAAAACCTATCCAACTTAACCAAAATGCAATAAAAATCTAGCTATTTAATTTCTCGAACAAAATAAATCCCTCGAGCGGATTCGAACCCACGACCATAAAAAAACGGAAAACTAAAAACTACCCAACTTAACCAAAAGGACATAAAATTAAAGAAATATTTAAATAAAAACCTGCATTAAAATAACAGGCCGTTGGTGAAGTTTATCAAGGAAATAAATTGGTTCATTGTTTCCATTTGAATCAACAATAATTATATTCCCAGAACGAGCATCAGAAACAGCTAGAGCATTGACAAGATCAGAACCTATAAAAAATTTTAAATAAAAAAAGTGAAAAAGAAACCTTGATGAACAAAACAAACAATTCTTGGATTAAATTCAAATTTAAACATATTCTAAAAAATTCAGTTAAATTTTTGAAAAAAAATTTTCTTACAATCATATCAAAATTAATAACATCAAAAACTTTAACAGAACGATCTTGTGTGCAACATGTAGCAATTAAAGAACCATTATGGTTAACGGTTATATCAGAAAATTCTTCTAAAATGTTTATATTTTTTATAGGGAAACTAAAGACTATCCAACTTAAAAATGGGCAACTATTGTTTAGTGACAAATAAAATAAAAACCTCGACCGGGTTCGAACCCACGACCATATAATGGAAAACTACCCAACTTAGCCAAATAACAAAAAGCTTCCAAAGAGAATTCAAAAGACAAAATAGGAGAATTTTGAAAGAAAAAAGGGACTCATAAACGACATTACCACCCAATTAAATTTAATTTTAAGACCCTGGATTTTCCAGAGGAATTCTTAAACTAATTTTAAAAATTAAAATATACTTAAATGACATCTAAAATGCTTAACAAATTCAATTCCTTCATTGTGCTTTTTCTTCCAAAATTTCAAGTGTCCATCCTGACTTGCAGTTACAATAAAATCTTTTCTAAAAAATATTACAAATTTTTTAAATTAGAAATTAAACTCTGTTGCCAAAACGTGTGTAATTGTATCTCTGTGCATAAATGATTTTTCATATTGCGAAGCCTTTGGAATTGCACGTAGATAAACTTGTTCATATTTTAAGGCTTAAAAATGTTAAATTTTTATTAATTTTTTGAATAATCATTAGAGGAATAGGTAAAAAATGTACATGTAAAAACTCGTAAATTCTTAAACTGACAATGAGGATGAAACTTAAATTATTGGAGCACTTGCTCATTTTCTCACGCCATATTTTTTGGACAAAGGTTCCAATTTAAAAATTCCAAATTCACTAAATTAAAAAAAAAACAAACTTGGATCGTTCCTTAATTTCTTAGGTTCTGGGGAGATTGCATCCTCTTTTCTTGATCTTTTATGCATTGAAAATGAGGTTAAGTCAGCTTCATCACCAGCATCATTAATAGAACATTGGGACGTTTCTGCTTCCTCCGAATTATTTTCGACAATATTTGACATGTTTTTAGCTTATTTAAATAGAAGTGAAGAAATAAAAAAATTAATAGGCACTAATATTCAAAGAAATCAAATTGTTTTACATCAAGTAAAAAATTTTAAAAATGAAAACATAAAACTGAATTTATGTCAACGAAAAAATAACTTTTAAAAAAACAACAAAAACAAAAATATGTACCTATTCAAAATAATCCTATTTTCCTCCTCTTTTTTCTCCAATTGGAATCATATTAGCACCGGTTCCAGTTTCTCTTTTACTTTTAAATTTATTTGTAATTTGATTTAAACGGAAATTTTGTTGTTCAAAAATTGGATTGAACATTTTTGGTTTATTTTGTTGTAAAATTCTTTGAGGGGAAGTTTTTAATAATTTATTTTCAGCATTAGTTGTAATTGCTTCTTCTTTAATTTTTCTTCCAATTTTTATTGCTTCAGAAAACATTTTCAAATAAAATTCAATTGAACTTATTGAATCATCATTTCCAGGAATTGGATAACTTATAAAACTTGGATCTGGAAAAAAATTTTTTAATTTTGATTCTGATAAAATTAAAATAATTTCGCACCAAAAGGACTCGAACCCGAGACCCCTAAATTTTCAAACCAGACACACATCCACTACACCACAAAACACAAATCCGATATTCTTGTACTAAATAAACCCAATTGTTATAAGAAGAAAACAACACTTAAAAAATTTTTAAAAATATACCACAATTAGAATCAACAATAGCAATTGTTGGAATACACAATTTAGCTGCTTCAATTATTGCTGGATGTCTTTCCATTGCAGAAGTATGTGTATTCAAAAAAATCATTGCATCTGGAAATCTAACTGGACCACCAACATGATCCTTTCTGTTTGTAAAAATATCTTGCCGCCAAAGACGAGTATGGGAGAAATGTTTCAATTCTGCTGCTGTTTCTTCTACTAACAACATTGCTGCTCTAAAATTTAAAAAATTTTTAAAAAAATTAAAAAAAAATCCGCAAATAAAATTTGCGGACAAATCTTGCGGACTTTTGACATAAAGAACAGGAATGTTACGATGTCACGCGGTACCCTATACTCTAACTTTTTCGACCCAGAATCCGATCCGTTAAACTTTCTAAAAACCTTTTCCCGCTTAATTTCCGTACAAGCCCGCTCCAAAACTCGACACAATTTTTTCTCACCCCGTTAAATTCCTGATTAAGAATAAAAAATACAAAACTAACTTATTCGTTGTCAAAAATAAAATTTTTCCATCACAATAGGACAGTGCAGAAATAAAATTTAAAGCCCTAACCATATATCTTTGAGTAATTTCCAAATCAAAAATACAAACACCGAGGCGTTCTTTTGAAAAAATATTTTTAATTAAAAAAAGAAAAAAAAACCTCCAAATAATGCCCATTTCATATTATCATTTAAAGTTCCCGTCTAATAAAGTTAAAATAAAAATAATTAAAAAAAAAGGAAGGAAAAACCTTATGACCAAAATGAACTCTAGCATTCAAAAGTTTTTCAATTGTAACAATATCCATAAAATTGTGAGGATTATATTGTTGCAATATTGGAACAGGATCAAGGTATGGCCTAGAAATATAATTTTAGTTGCCAAACAATTGCTGGTAAAAAGCCAAATAATTTTAGAATAAAGCCCGGAGTAAATGTCTTCGTCTTTTCACATGCATGGCAAACGGACACCGGTAAGATTATCAAATCTATAAAACCATTCATGTATACGAACTTGAATTAAAGAACAAAACCAAAAATCCCAACTCTTGGTTCTGAACCTCCAACCAAACTTAAACCTCCAACTTTAATCAAAAACATGCATGGCAAAAGGGTACATAGGGAGAGGTTCCCCAAAATTCTTCTTGTATCCGAACCTGAACCCTAAAAAATCATCGGACCTGACTCCGAACTCCCAACGCTTATATCGTCATTTAAAAAACAAAATATACAAAGAAAACCTTAAAAGTTGAGGCCTAACTCTAGCAGAAAGCAATAATTCAGTATTTGGTTCATCCTCTTTAGTATCAAGTGATTCAATTTTTGGTTTATAAAATTCTGGAGGTTCAAATGCTTTTGGATTATTTTCTGCAGAAATAAATTGACGAAGACCTCGCTGTTGAATTTTTGTAGGAGACAAATAAATAAAATTTTTAAATAAATTAAACTTCATCTAGAAAAAAATTTTTTTTAATTAAAGGAAGAATAGCTAAAAAAATAAAATATTAAATTGCAAATAAATATGCATTAAAATAATATTTCATAAGATAATTTTTCAAAAAAAATAAATAAAATTTATAGTATAAGTAGATTTAAAAAAATAAATTTTTAAGCCGTTAAAACTTAAAAGCAAAAAATGCGATTTAAAAAAAGAATGGCTTAATAAAAAATCAAATCGCTTATTTAATGATCGGATTTATAATGAAAATTCGAAAAAAAATTTTTTTATAAATAAATCCGATCATTATTTAATTTTACAAATTTTAGAGTTTCATAAAATTAAAAAAAATAAATATATAAGCCTAAATATTGCTTAAAAAATAATTTATAATATTTAAAAAAACTAAAACGGTTGTCAAAACACACAACCTCATGAAACCGACAACCCTATTCTCAAAAAATATTTAACATCTTTTTTTAAAAAAACCTCCTTCCAACATCAAATTTCATAATATTCCTAGTTTTATCAAGCAGTAAAGCGATGCGAAAGAATTGTTGTCCCATTACCCCAATAGGCCAACTAAAAGAAGAAAATCTTTTCTGTTTTAATATTTAAAGAGCCAACCAAATGAGTAACCCCACGATAATCAACAATTTTAATAGGCGTACCACCGTGAGCCGACGGCAAAGGTAATTCACGTTCGGGAACATTATCGCGATAAAACTTTCTAAAAAATCAAAAAAAATTTTTTGCGAAATTTTTTAGAAACCTAAAAGCATTAAAATTGTTCTTTCCTCTCTTTGCCAATTCGTGTGCTTGATATACTGGTGCAGTTAAAGACGTCGCAATATTCACAATCTAAAAAACAGTTTTCCTATAATAATTAAAAATATAGAAAAACCTGATGGGAATAACTTAATGACATTAGAAATGCTTGAAGTTCGTCCATAGTAATACCGACCCCATTTTCTAAAACTGCATATTCTATAGCTTTTCCAGTACCCTAAAAATTAAAAATTTTATTTAAATGGGACATCAAAAAAATTTCAAAAAACCTTTAGTGGTACATGAGGCTGCATGTAAAATTCAGTCAAATCAGCACGTACAATCTGTTGATCAATTACCGAACCTGGTGGAAGGTTCGCGCTGTCAGTTAACCTAGGTCCGTTTTCGATAAAGAATTTTTTGAAATGACGCTATAGGCAGAAATTTTTTTTAAATTTCGAAATTAAAAAATCAACCTTCGTTCCGACAATAAGTAAGAAACGTGGGCGATAAGAAGGATCATATTCTTTACATCCAATACGAATAGCTTCTAATTCTTCCTTACAAGCCATAGCAAACTGCCCTTCAGAAAGCCCATCACGTATAATAAAAATAAAAGGTGGACGACGATGTTCAGATCGTCGTTGTTCTAAATTACGTAAAATCCAAGAAACTCGATCAGCTAATTGACGCATGTCTAATGCCTCACGACGCGATTCTGTGAAGAAATTTTAAAAATTATTTTTTTGAAAATAAAAAATTTTCTGCACCCTGATAGAAATAATCGCCAACAAAAGCGTGAGGATTATCTGCCATATTTGCGCAAATCTTTTAAAACATAAAAAATAAAATTAAAAATTTTCTTCAAATTACCCCAACAACAGAAGGCTCCAACGAACTTAAACTATTCTCCCCTTGTGCTGTCAGTCGTCTCTTGTCTGCTGCTCTCATTGGTGAAGGATGAGCAACATCATAACCAATCGAAAATTTTGAAAAAAAAATTTGAAAAATTTACAAAAAATATTTCTTACCACCAAAACTTTTCCAGTTTCAAGAGCAAAACGTTTCCCAATATCCTCAATTTGTGGCTGATAATTTAAGCCAGAATTCTTCATATTCATTTTATTTAAAACATTTTCGAGTGTTTGACGTTGATTTTTATTGACAATATCCTAAATTTAATTCATGATAAATTTATTAAAAACACAAAAAAATACCCTAGCTTTTTCAAGTGTAACATGTTGTGTAACAATTGGTTTATACATCGCCTCATATAATCTAAAAAATTTTATAAATTTATTTTTAAAAATTTAGAACTTACTTCAACAATCCATGAGTGTCATTGCGTTTCATATCTATCAACATAATAAACTGAATCCGATTACTAGCACATTTTTCAAATTTACTCGACCAGTCACGATCATTATTCTAAAATTTTAATTTAACAATTTTGGCTAGTTGCCCAACTGCATTCCTTATTAAGTTTTCTATACTTGGTTCCCATCTCGATTAGAACACCTGGGTTCGAGTTCGGTCTCGGAAATAATTTTTTATTTTTGTCGCAAAATATTTAAAATGCTCGACTAGTCATAAATATTAATGAAAAATTGTTAAATGATTTTGGTTTAGTGGGATAATTCTAAGTTTTTATTTCTTGGACCCAGGTTCGAATCCCATTAGGGAAATAAATAATCGCATCGAAGAAAATCAAAAATTTATAAAGATTAAAAAAATTTTCCAAACCTCCGAACAACTAAAAGGAACAATTTCAGGTTCTGCCAATTGCATTCCCTTTTGTCTCCCCATATCTAACAACATTCTAGCAAAACGATCAGCAAGTTCTCCGTCTCGATTGGAACACAAAATAATCCAATTGTGTAATTGCCCCATAGCCTGTAAATATGGAAGACGGCTTCCATCTCTACGCCATTCAGCTTTTTGACTGTCGGGTTCAACAACACGATTTTTGAAACGTAAACGGGGCAAAGAACGAACACCAATAACAATCTTTAAAAAAATTTTCCTATCAAAAAATAAAAATAAAAAAAGCAAACCCGATTCGATTTTTGGTCAATTGAAATACCAAAAGCATTTAATACAGGATTTGTGTTGTGAAATAAGCCGAGATCCATTCCTAATCTAAAAATTTTTTTAGATTAAAAAAATTCTTTCAATAAATATACTTATTAATAGCGTCCATGCGTTGACCAGGAAGCATAGAATTAGCCTATGAAAAAATTTTCAAAAATAATTTTGTTAAAAAGTCTTACAGCAAGTAACTGTCCCATCAATTCAGATGAAGTTTTTTGAAGAGGAACGCGTTGATCTTCCTTTATGGAAAAAAAATTTTTAAAGAAACAAAAAACTTTTACAAACCATAACATTTAACACTTCCAAAGGAAAAACTTCAGGTTTCTTTCCTGGCGGTAAATAAGAATTCTAAAAATATTTAAAAAATTTCTGAAAAGTTTAAAAGAGAAAAACCGATTTAATACAAGGCAAGTCGAGATACTCGAGCTTAATACTATATTTCCAAAGAAAATATTCTGCCAAAGACATCCTTTTTGTTCCTGCACCATTTGGCAAGTCAACATCAATACTTAAAAAAATTTTTATTTGGGAAAAGTTAATTTTTGGAGATATCTATTATAATTTCAAGCCCCTTGGAGAACTTGGGACTTTATATGAGGAGATAGAGCTGAAATGGAAGCGTCATACAAGAAGATCTCGAAAAATATAATAACCAAAATCTTAGTGTTTCAAGATTATAATCAAGCCTTTGAAATGAGGTCATGTCATTTTCTTGATTCTTTCTGATTTGCTAAATCCCAAAGGAAAACTAAAACTAATAAAAATAAATGGTGAAAAAGGTTTCCAAAAAAGACGTAGAAAATGACAACTCCAATCTTCACAGTGTCTTCTAACAAAAAAGCAAAAATCCTAACCAAATTTTAAAAATATTTTTAAAAAAACCAACTATAAATCTCTCAAAGGTTTTTCAGTAAATTTGCCCAATTGAAAAGTTCTTGTACGTCTATAAACAACTTCAACACGCAAATCTTCCAATAAACGTTCAACTTCTTGCCAAACTTTTGGTGGATGATCTGAAAGACGTGTTTGACGGCCATTTGATCTTGGTAGCATGTCCAAAACAGTTAAATGCAAAGCTTGTGGTTCAAAAAACAAAGCAACTTTTGCTAAAAAAATTTTTTTTTAATTAGTTTTCAAAGAATTTTCAAAAGAATTTTTCAAGATGTATGGGGAAAGAAAATTCCTCTTTGGATATTGAGAGGCAGAAAACAGTAAAAAATGCAAAAACCACTGTCTACTTAATCCAATTTTTTAAATAACATAAGCGGGAAAATTAAACTCACAAAAAAACAAATATAGAAACGAATTACCAGTTTCCAACTTTAAATATTAAAAAATAAAAATATAAACCATCCAAGACAACAGCAGCTCTCGGTCCTTTATAATTATTTCCTCCATTTTTCCCATTAGTAAATGGGTTATCGTTCTTAATAACTTTAACACCCTTTGAAAGTCCTTTACGCAAATACATTCCATTACCAACACGCTTAGGATTTTGACTTGGATCAAAGTACTCGAAAAGTTTTCCAGCTCCAATTGATACAAATAATTCGCTAAAATATTAAAAATTTTATAAAATATGACTAGTCGTTTTTTTGGAAAATCGGAAACAGAAAAAAGGCAGTGATTCTTCGTGGACTAAAAACTCTGTCCACTTAGAGGATTCAAAACTCTGTCCACTTTTTGACTAAAGATGGTCAATTCAAGACCCGATCCACTTCTTGATAGATGATCCGGTCCATTCAAGACCCGGACCACATCTCTAAAATTAAAAAAGGAACAAACTTGTTTAATGCAAATTGCGATATAGCAATTTCAAAGAATGTTCTAAGGGAATGATCTTCATTGAATACGCTTGTTCCATTCATATATTGAGTAAAATCGTTCAAATCCAATTCCGGCACAGACGAATTTCTTTTAATATGAACAAGAAAACGAACATTTTGTCCATCACCACAATAAGCACGAACATAATCATTAACCTGGTGATTTTCTAGAATAAATTGATGACCTCCCTGTACATCAAATGGTTGTATAGGCATGGAAGTGAACTAGAAAATTGAAAAAATAAACAAAAATGGAGATTCGAAGCAATTATTTTCTAAAGTTATCGGGCAGGAATCGAAATTGAGAACTTCGGGGAGGTGCCTCCTAGTCAGAGTTACCGACTGGTGTGAGTGGAATCTGACTGAAGCACAATGGCTTAACCAGAGTCAGATTTCAAGGCGGGATCCAACCATCTTAATCCCTTGTGGAGCGTATCTTATTCCTAAACTCCCGTACAAATGTTAGCAAGCTGGTGGATCATACTTTCTGTGTAATTTGAAGAAACGAGGATAATAACTAAAAAGAAACAAGGCGGAAGGCCTATCTTTGTAGGCGTCCTTTAAATCTTTTTAATATAAAAAATTAATAACCATAACAGCTTTGCAATCATAAACAATCTCATGACCAACAGGCATTCCAAATCGATTGTTAGTTGTAAATGCCAATGTAATTAGTTCGAAGCACAGATTGCGATTTAGAGCACGCTGTCCACTACAAAAATACATTCTTTCAAATTCATTAAAACAAAAACTAACTCATCAGCTCCTCTTACAAGACTTTTGCCCTCATCCATAGCTCCATTACGTTTAGGCATAGGAAGTCGACTTATGTCAACATCATAGCGAAAAGCTCTTCGACCAGGCTCCACTTTAAGTGTATAAATGGAGCATATGCCCTGACACTTTTGGACGAAACCAGTTGCTGGTAGCATTGGCGGAGGACAGGACAACTATCAAAATTTAATCATTAAAATGTTTAAGAACAAAAAACCTCATCCACACGCTTCTGAGATGGCATCAACTCTTTCTGTTGCTGTTGAACTGGAGGAGCCATCATATGTGCGGGGAGCGATTGCTGCTCAGGCTGTGAAGAGGTGGATGAACTGCTTCTAGCCGGTTCTTCGCGATATCCCTAAAAAAGAATCTTTAGAAATTATCTAAATAAATTGATCAATAATCCTCTGGTTTACAATTCACTAAAAATTGGGGGTAATCTTCAGGGAAGTCTGAAAGCTAAAAAAAATCAAAATAAAGGAACAAACCTTTGCAAAACTAAAAGTAAACCAAAAGATTGCCGTTCAATTAAATTACTTGTGAGAATCCTTGTGGTCCACGAGAACTACCACCTCCTCTATCCTGCCCTCCTCGAGGTTGGTAGCCTCCTCCACCGCCTCGAGATTGATAACCCCCTCCTCCACCTCCACGATGCCCACCACCGCCTCCGCCACCGCGATATCCACCACTACTTCCTTCATCACGTCGTCCGCCACCTCCACCGCCTCTTTGACCTCCACCACCACCTCCCCCTCGTGATCCACCACCACCTCCATAACCACGTTGGCCTCCTCCGCTTCTACCATCGCTTCGTTGCATTTTAGAATAACAAGATAATATATAAATGAATAAGCAAGCTAAAAATGAAAAAATAAAAATGGTACAATTTTGTTTAAAAATATTCTTTCGGGAGTATGACTAATAGAAAAAATCAATAAGAAAAGGTCAAATTTCAATGAAAATAAATTTTAAGACAAAATCAAAAAAATATTTAAATTGGATTTTAAAAAACCAACAAAAAAAGAAAAAATTAAATGTCGTTCATTAATTTATCACAACAAAAAAAGGCAATAATAGGCAAAATGGTAATAGTAACGTTTACGGGCCCCCTTTTTCCTTCCAAGTTAATATGTCAAAATGGTCAGACTTTTTCCTTTCTTCCATCCCAAAATTTTGCTTTTCTATATTTTGCCAAAACTTAGGGGAAGGAAAAAAAGGTGGTCAGTAAACGATACTATTCCCGGCAAATATATGTATGTATAACCAATAACCGGTAAATAAATAGAAGGTCCAAAAGATTGGTTAAAACAATTTGAAAGAGCAAATAAAATTTAAATAAATTCTCTATTGTTAACAAATCCTTTAGAGAAATAAATAGGATTTTGTATAAATTATTGCGAATCAGATTTGAAAAAAAAAACAAAAAAAGAGATTGAACCCTTTTTGAGAATAATAAATTGAGAAAAAAAAAATATATTATTTTTTTGGAATGAGATGAGAGAAAAATCAAGTCAAAAAATGAGATTTTTGACAATTAAAATAAAAAAATTTGTCCTCATAAATGAGAGTATATAACGGGTCAACTAACAATAATCTATTAACAAAACTAGCAGACAAAAAACAAACAAAACTTAAAGTTTAATTTTCGTCCATTCATTACTTGCCACATAATCAAAAGCAAACGGTCCCGCTCCATAAATGCGATCATGATGAGGAATTTTCGTGAATTTAACATCGCAAAATAATTTAGAATCTCCTTTTTTCTTCGGTAGATGAGTTTTAAGAACAGCCCGAACATCATCTATGTTAATTTGAGAAAAATAAAGTACGATTTCGCCAGCAATATCAATGTATTTCTCAACAACTTCTCTACGGTCTGAGCCACAATAAAAATTGACATGGGCACTTAAAATAAAATATAAGAATATAGCTAGCCTTGGGTTATTAAAATTTTGGGGTCCCTTTTAAGCTTAAGAAAGGACACACGAGTTTTTGAACCTTGTCCTTAAAATAATTCCAAAATAGTTAATAAATTTTACATACTTTTGAATAGTGTCAATAAGATAGTTTCGAAGATATTTTTGGTCATGATGAAAGGTGGAGAGAAACAAAGCCAATTTATTGATACTTGTATGTGAAAGAATTCTAATCTCAAATTCCAGAAAAAAATAAGCCAATGTAGCAACATAAGCAGACCAACACTAAAAAATAATAATAAAAGATAAATTTTTAAAAATTAAAAAAAAAACCATTTCCGAGCAAAGAACCCAATCATTTTCTAGTTCTAAAAATTGAATTGCCCTATCAATGCACATCTGTGGATTTGTGTATTCCATCTGACTAAACGCTATTGCACGAATTCGTTTGTTTTGTCTGATAACTTTTAACATCCTGAGAAGAAAAGCTTCTTTGCCGCTTTGTGTAGTCTTTTGTAGATAAGGAGTCAATATTTTTGAAGGAGCATTAAGACGGTGCAAAATAATATTCTCGTTCAAATTGTCAGTCCTACAACATGAGAAAATTGTAAAAAACAAAAAAATCACAAACTTGACAAAATTAACAAAAAATCCATCCAATTTTGGTTTATACAATTGAATGTAGTTAGATTGAGACGATTGGAGGTAACATTCCTTGTTCATTAACCGCGGAAGGTTACAAGTCAAAAGTCTAAAATTTATTGAAATTCAATTAGCTTTAAAAATTAACCGAGAAGCATTGTCCAAATATTTTAATCCCAACATTCCTTCAAAAAAATGTAATTTCTTCAATTTCTTTTAAACCAAATTCTCTAAAAATTAAATAGAAAAAAGTTTAACATGATAAAAGATATTTAAATTAATTTGAAAAATTTCAAAAAGAATTTTTAGACGTCTATCATCAATTTATTACAACAAAAAATATAGGGAAAAACGGATCAATTAAATATTCCTTTTCAGAAGTTACAACACATTAAGCTCCAAAAAGATCATCCAGAAAATTTTTGAACAAAAGAACAATTCAACAAAACTCTCCAAAATTTTTCTCAATATAATCATCAGCCTTCGTTAACATTTCTTTCATTTCCTCACGTCCAGTCAAATCCAAAGCATCAGATAACTTGACCCAACGAAAATCCAAATGTTCATGTGAAAGCTTAACTTGAAGATTAATATCATTTGCTTTAGCCAACCAATAAGTGACCTGCAAAAGAAAAATTTTAAATTGAAGAGAACTTGTAGAATTTTTTCTGCCTACAGGAAATAATGTAATGAAAGGGAAAAGTATAGTCCAACAACTTTTTGTTAGTCGATAAAGCGACTTTCCTAGCAATAAGAGACAGGAGCCGAAACCAAACAGTACAAACTAAGCGACCCTCTTTCCAATTATTGCTAAGGGCTTAAATCATCGATTAAACCCTTACTATCGACCGGGCACCGGAATGGAACAGGATAAATCTTAGACCCAACCTAAGCAGTTTATATGTTAGCCATTAGGATCACAACATTCCCCAAACAAAATTTATCCTATAGTGTATTTTAATGTCCTATCGTTACATGATATTAGGCAGAAGCCACAAATAATAAAGTTTAGCTCACCGGGCAGGAATCGAACCTTCGCATTTTGTTAGGGTCATCTATGCGCTTATTGCTAGGCGCTTCACTCATCACATACAAAGATAGGTGCCCAATGATGAGGAATAACCAGAAGAACTATAGAGGGTAGCGGTACTCGATATTGATAGGGAAAACGGATTTTCAAGACAAATGGAAAATTCCACAGGGTCTGATCCCACCCAAACAACCAATTGTTAACCGTTTTAATTCACAAACCCGCTTCAATTCCGAATTGACATAGTAAAACATTTCATGCTTAAAATCCTTAATAAGAGTCAACTTCTCATTTGCATCAATTCCAGACTCTTCCTTAACTTCTCGAATTGCAGCCTGCCACTCATTTTCGCCTGGATCAGCATGACCTAGAAACACGTATTTAATTAACACAACAACCCAAAAAAAACCTTTCGGAGGTGTACAATGATATGAATACCAGAAGATTGCAAAAGCAGGTATTCCACAAAATTAGAATTTTTCCTATAAATTAACAAGCCAGCTCCACGAATCGATGGTTGAACAGAATCCAAAGAAAATCAAAATAGTTCCGACCAGCTTTCTAGTCTTAAAATTTTCAAAAAAAAATTTTAAAAAATTCAAAAACAAACGTAGAACAACACAATCTTTGTCCACCACCATTTTGTAAAGGTGTACATTCAAATCCAGTAGGGCATATTCTTTTATTACTTGTTGAATGACAAACAACTGGACGTTTTCCATAAAGATAAGGGGAACGATCATTTGGACATTCAACAACAATGGTGAAGTACTTTATAGGTATCTAAATTGAAAAAAAAAGAACAAAAAATTATAAAAAATTAAAATTGGATTTTAAAAACCAACTAGAAAAAGAAAAAATTAAATGTCGTTCATTAATTTATCACAACAAAAAAAGGCAATAATAGGCAAAATAGTAATAGTAACGTTTAGGGCCCCCTTTTTTCCTCCCAAGTTTATATTCCAGAATGGTTAGACTTTTTCCTTTCTTCCATCCTAATTTGCTCTATTCCTGCCTACAAACAATCAAAACTTCGGGAAAGGAAAAAAAAGGTGGTCAATAAACGATACTATTCCCAGCAAATATATGTATGTATAACCAATAACCGATAAATAAAGAGAAGGTCCAAAAGATTGGTTAAAACAATTTGAAAGAGCAAATAAAATTTAAATAAATTCTCTATTGTTAACAAATCCTTTAGAGAAATAAATAGGATTTTGTATAAATTATTGCGAATCAGATTTGAAAAAAAAAACAAAAAAAGAGATTGAACCCTTTTTGAGAATAATAAATTGAGAAAAAAAAATATATTATTTTTTTGGAATGAGATGAGAGAAAAATCAAGTCAAAAAATGAGATTTTTGACAATTAAAATAAAAAAATTTGTCCTCATAAATGAGAGTATATAATGGGTCAACTAACAATAATCTATTAACAAAACTAGCAGACAAAAAACAAACAAAACTTAAAGTTTAATTTTCGTCCATTCATTACTTGCCACATAATCAAAAGCAAACGGTCCCGCTCCATAAATGCGATCATGATGAGGAATTTTCGTGAATTTAACATCGCAAAATAATTTAGAATCTCCTTTTTTCTTCGGTAGATGAGTTTTAAGAACAGCCCGAACATCATCTATGTTAATTTGAGAAAAATAAAGTACGATTTCGCCAGCAATATCAATGTATTTCTCAACAACTTCTCTACGGTCTGAGCCACAATAAAAATTGACATGGGCACTTAAAATAAAATATAAGAATATAGCTAGCCTTGGGTTATTAAAATTTTGGGGTCCCTTTTAAGCTTAAGAAAGGACACACGAGTTTTTGAACCTTGTCCTTAAAATAATTCCAAAATAGTTAATAAATTTTACATACTTTTGAATAGTGTCAATAAGAAGTCGAAGATATTTTTGTTCATGATGAAAGGTGGAGAGAAACAAAGCCAATTTATTGATACTTGTATGTGAAAGAATTCTAATCTCAAATTCCAGAAAAAAATAAGCCAATGTAGCAACATAAGCAGACCAACACTAAAAAATAATAATAAAAGATAAATTTTTAAAAATTAAAAAAAAACCATTTCCGAGCAAAGAACCCAATCATTTTCTAGTTCTAAAAATTGAATTGCCCTATCAATGCACATCTGTGGATTTGTGTATTCCATCTGACTAAACGCTATTGCACGAATTCGTTTGTTTTGTCTGATAACTTTTAACATCCTGAGAAGAAAAGCTTCTTTGCCGCTTTGTGTAGTCTTTTGTAGATAAGGAGTCAATATTTTTGAAGGAGCATTAAGACGGTGCAAAATAATATTCTCGTTCAAATTGTCAGTCCTACAACATGAGAAAATTGTAAAAAACAAAAAAATCACAAACTTGACAAAATTAACAAAAAATCCATCCAATTTTGGTTTATACAATTGAATGTAGCTAGATTGAGACGATTGGAGGTAACATTCCTTGTTCATTAACCGCGGAAGGTTACAAGTCAAAAGTCTAAAATTTATTGAAATTCAATTAGCTTTAAAAATTAACCGAGAAGCATTGTCCAAATATTTTAATCCCAACATTCCTTCAAAAAAATGTAATTTCTTCAATTTCTTTTAAACCAAATTCTCTAAAAATTAAATAGAAAAAAAGTTTAATATAATAAAAGATATTTAAATTAATTTGAAAAATTTCAAAAAGAAAAATTAAACGACTATCATCAATTTATTACAACAGAAAATACAGAGAAAAAACGGAAACCAACATTAAAGCTCATTAAAAAATAATTGGATTTCGTTCACATCTACATACTAAAAAAGCCAAATAAATGTCAATTCGTCTTCAATTTAAAATTAGTATTGAGCTTTAAACATTGGCAAATTAGAGGACGGGTGGAATGGAAGGAGACATTATTTGACATCGAATATGTGACGGAGCATATTAATTGTATTAGAATGACTTTTGACGAGAAGAGAGAGTCACATATTCAATGAGAAGTAGAAATTTCATTTTTTATTAAATAAATATTCCTTTTCAGAAGTTACAACACATTAAGCTCCTAAAAGATCATCCAGAAAATTTTTGAACAAAAGAACAATTCAACAAAACTCTCCAAAATTTTTCTCAATATAATCATCAGCCTTCGTTAACATTTCTTTCATTTCCTCACGTCCAGTCAAATCCAGAGCATCAGATAACTTGACCCAACGAAAATCCAAATGTTCATGCGAAAGCTTAACTTGAAGATTAATATCATTTGCTTTAGCCAACCAATAAGTGACCTGCAAAAGAAAAATTTTAAATTGAAGAGAACTTGTAGAATTTTTTCTGCCTACAGGAAATAATGTAATGAAAGGGAAAAGTATAGTCCAACAACTTTTTGTTAGTCGATAAAGCGACTTTCCTAGCAATAAGAGACAAGAGCCGAAACCAAATAGTACAAACTAAGCGAATCCTTTTTCCAATTATTGCTAAGTAAGAGCTTAAATCATCAATTAAAACCTCACTATAGACCGAGCACCGAGATAGAACATTCCATAAAAAATCTTTGTTCTATAGAGTGGATTCTAATGTCCTATCGATACACGATAATGGGCAGGAGTCGCAAATAATAAAGCAAGTTTAGTTCACCGGATAGGCATCGAACCGTCGAATATAGATAGGGTCATCCATGCACTTATTGCTAGGCACTTCACTCATCACATACAATGATAGGTGTCCAATAATGAGGAATAACCCGAAGAACTATCGAGGGTAGCGGTACTCGATAATGCTAGAGAAAACGGAATTTTCCAGACAAATGTAACATTCCACAGGATTTGTACCCCAACCAAGCGCCCAATTATCCCCCATTTAAATTTTTCACAAACCCGCTTCAATTCCGAATTGACATAGTAAAACATTTCATGCTTAAAATCCTTAATGAGAGTCAACTTCTCATTTGCATCAATACCAGACTCTTCCTTAACTTCTCGAATTGCAGCTTGCCACTCATTTTCGCCTGGATCGACATGACCTAGAAACACTTATTTAATTAACCCAACACACAAAAACCTTTTGGAGGTGTCCAATGATGAGGAATACCCGAAGATTGCAAAAGCAGGTACTCCACAAAATTAGCATTCTTCCTATAAATTAACAAGCCAGCTCCACGAATCTTTGGTTGAACAGAATTCATTAGAAATAAAAAAAATCTACTTAAAAGAATTAAAAATTATCAAAAAAATCATAAAAAAATTAAATAAAAGGAGAAATAACACAAAAAAAGAGAAAAGACAAAGAAAAAAATTTTTGGGATATTATGTCATTTAATAATAAAACGCCAATTTTTACATTATTTCAAAACAAAAGACACTAGAGTCTCACGACAAAAATTACAGTGAAGGGTCCTTAGAGTCTCACACCATAAATTACACGAAGGGTCATTCGAGCCAATTACCGTAATGTTGTTTCCCCTTTTAAAGACATTCGCGGAAATTCCTAAACATGTCGAACCCGAAGCCCGGTCCCCCTTTCAATTTCTTCATGTTTGAATGGCTACTTATTAAATTAAAACGATAATAGAATATTTTTGGAAAGTGAGTGAAGTAGAAGATTTGTATAATTTAAATATCACTTCTTCTCTTTCACTAAACGTAAAAATAAAAAAAAATTTAGGCCACTAGACTTTGTTTTTGATTCATCAAAAGAGAGGGGAAAATTTTCCCTTAAAAAAGGATTATTTTCTAAAATTGTGTAATATTGGTGATAGTCCAAAAACAATCATCATCCCCCTTTTTTCTCTCATCTTTTGTTAAAATTTTATTAAAATTTAGCCAAAAATGGTTCAAATTTTATTAATATTAATTTTAATATTTTTAAATATTTCTTTAACTTTTACCCAAATATTCCCTATGGGAAGTGCCCCTTTATATTCTAATCAAATTCAATGGCCCTCTTCAAATGGAGTAGGAGGGGGAGGAGGAGGATATTTTTCAGGTTTCTAAAAAAGCTTATGTCCTTTTTTCCCGTAGTCAAAACTTTAGAAAGAGCTCGAAATGATTCGAATCATTTGCTTATTCGACTTTTTGACCCCGGAAAAGACCTCGGATGTTTTGATTTTTAAGAGACCAGATCACTAAGTACCGGACCAAATTCGCCCACGCTTAGTTCCACTAAAGCTTTCAAAGCTCTTTTTAATGGCACAATGCTTGTCTTTCTTCGACCAGAGAAAAAAGTGCAGAAAAAAGAGCCAAAATTTTCGAAACACAATTTCAGTTTTAACACCAAATTATCAACAACAACCCCAACAACAACAACCTTATCTTCCCCAACAATTAATTGTTCCATATGGTTCAAATACTCTTTGGCCATTTCCTCAACAACAACAACAACCAGCAATTTCTTCTTCCTATTCAACAGACGACCGAGGAAATTTAAATTTTATTGGAGGAGGAAATCCTCCTCTTCCACGTTCAGCCTTTCAACAACAACAACAATCACCTTTAAACTTTTATGCTGGATGGCCTCAACAACAACAACAATTTCCACAACAAAGAGACAATTCATCTCCTCTTAATGAACTTATTTCTCAACTATCATTAGCTTTAGTTCGCTCATTTGCTCAAATGCTTGCACAACGTGACAATACAAATAATGACAGTAGTAGTAGTGGGGGTGGTGGTGGTTTAATAAGAACACCTAGAGAAGGAGGAGGTTTTTTAGGAATTCCTTTTGGGCAACCACCTCAACAGCAACAACCGGCGCCGTCGTTTCCAGGAAGAGTATCCACAAATTATGGTAAATTGGAGAAGAAATTTGAAAAACTTTCCAGACACAAACTAGCAATTTTCCAACTGTCATCAAGCATTTATAAACTTTGGGGGACACTAAAGTCTCATGCCTTTTTATCAGTTTCAGGAAAATATGTTTCCGAAACTTGTAACCTTTAACCTCTAAATAACCTCCCGTGACTATTAAAATAAACTTTCCAAGACCGCTCATTAAAGCCTCACTTCTTCAATTTTCAACAGGTTATGGTGTAAATGCTGGCGTTTTTGCTGGAACTTATGGCGGTAGCGAAAGCGTTGCTAGTCCCTACGGGCCTTATGGATCATTAAATAGCCAAACTGGTGGAGGATCTTACAGTGGATTGTCACCATGGCCTTTAATTCCTGGGTATGTTGTTGAGACGAAATGAGAAAATTTGGTGGAAACTTGGTCTTTTTAGAAAATATTTTTTACAAATTTAGTAGCAACTCTAGCCTTAAAAATCTTTGATTTTTTCTCTTTTCTGATAAAAATTAAAATCGCTTTTGTGTTGCCAATTTTTTCCCCAAGCCAATTCAGACGACCACAACCTCCTTTACAACCCTCAACCAATGGAGGAAATTCATCTACTGGTGGTGGTTTACTTAGATTAGAAGAAACAGCAAGAACCGGACAAGGAACAATTAGACAAATACCCCTAACAGAAAATGTACAGACAGAAGCTGGTGGAGGAGGAGGAGGAGGACAACATGATGAAGGAAGTGGAGAAACTGTTTAATAAAATTTTTTTGGAAATTATATAAAGGAATTGGTACTATTTTCACACCCATAAGGGCCCAGAAAAAAAATTTTTTTAATGGGTTACCTTTAAATTCGGACCAAAGGGTTATTCAGACATCAACCTGTCAAACAAATTTATGTTCTATTCGACTCGATTCGGCGAGAAGCGTCGAATGGTCCTCTCCTAGTTTGAAAAAATGCCTGAGGGGATGATCAGTACGGTCACGGTTCCATGGGTTTCGCGTGGTGTAAACGGCAATAATACCCCAAGAGAATTCTTCATTATCATTTTAAAATACCTTCAAATTTTTATATTTCCTTCGTCTTTCAAAAATTTTATTTATATTTTTGATTTTTTTTTTGTTTTTTGTTTGTTTGATACTTTTCTAATTTTTGATTTTCTTCGTTAAAAAATTTTTTTTATAAAATTAAATATTTTTTGCTTAATAAATTAAAGCTTCATTTTAAAAAATAATTTAAATATATTATTTTATTTTTACATTTAAAAATCCTTCTCTTCTCTTCTCTTATCTTCTTATTTTTTATTTCAATCATCTGACTGAAAAAGTATTTGTTTTTCATCATAATGCTTTGTTAAAATTTTATTTTCTGTTGTGTTTTTATTATTTTGTTGTTGTTTCTGCTGATGCAAATGTTTTTGTTTCTTCTCTTGCTGTTGTTGTTTTTGTTTTTGTAATGTTTCTTCATCTTTTTCAACAACTTTTAATAAATCTAATAATTTTTGTTTTTCATCATCTTTTTTTCTGTTTTTTTCTGTTGAAGAATTGCCCTTTTTATATAGTACTTTCTTCCCTTCTTCAATTACTTCCTTTTTCTCGTCTTTTCCTTCCTTCACATGTTTATTCTCATCATTCTCTTCTTCATTCTCATCTTTTCCTTTCTCTTCAAATTTCCTATTCTTTTCTTCTTCATCTTCTTTGTTTTCCTCTTCCTCCTCCTTCATCCTCTTCTCTTCCTTCTTCTCATCATCATCTTCCTTCACCTTCTCTTCATTATCTTCCTTTTCCTCTTCCTTCGTCCTCTCCCCTTCCTTCTTCTTCTCTTCATCTTCTTTTACCTCTTCATTCTCTTCTTCATCTTCTTCAATTTGATCAATTTGTATAATTTGTGTTGTTGTTTCTTCCACAAGTTTACCACTACCACTATTAGTCAAATTATTCAAATCCTCTTCTCCCTCTACTAAATCATTTGAAAATTCAATTTCAAAAAAAGTTGTCGGAGCATCATCAAAATTATTATTTTTATTATTTTTAAAAAATATTTTTTCTTCATTTTCAATTTGTTCTTCAATTTCTTCATCATGTGCAAAATCAAATAAACGTTTTGACGATACATTTCCTTGAAAACGACTTCCTTCTACTTCCATACAAATTCCCTTCAAAAAAATCATTTTTTTAAAGACAAAACATTTTTTCGGTTCTATATGTATTGGAATAGGGACAAAACATTTTTTGTGGATTAAAAAAAAATTTTTAGTCCGCAAAAAATTGTCCGAGAAAATTTTGTCCGCAAAAAAGTTTTCCGTCCGCAGAAAATTATCGGATCCCTTCTCCTACTATCACAGACCGCAAAAAATCCCTTCTCTCCAGTACCCTCTTCTCTCTAACCAACCTTTTCTGTTCGATTATTAATATCATCAATCCTCAATTCATATCCTGGAGTACATTGACACGTCAAGCTTTTTTCACTACAATAAGCATTTTTGACGTTGCATTGCTCTTCTGGAACAACAGAAGCTAAACAAAACCCTCCAATTGTCCCGTTTTCTCTATTGTCAACAGAATCCATAAAGACAATTGATCCCAAATCGTAGCAACGCCCAGCAATTGTCAACATAGCCTCAGGGCATTGAAGAACACAACGAGATTCGTGAATTAAAAGAGGGGGTGGACAGGCACAATAACCTCGGGTACAGACTGTGCCGTTCGAGCGGGCTGTACATTGTTGGTCTGTTTCGCATCCTGGCTGGCCAATGAAGAACACTGGAAAAAAATATTTTTTGAAATTTTCCCCTTTGATAAAATTTTTCCCCTTTCTTTGAAGAAAGAACTCACTTCGTTTACAAAGCCCACCAATATTAATCATATTAGAAGGGCATTTACCAATACTATTACCACCATTATTAATAACACCAGTTGAAACATTTAAAGTTCCATTATTTTGTGTAGAATATTGTGTTGAATATTGCGAGTTAAAATGTGGGTACTGTTGTTGCTCTATAAAATTTAAATAAAAACTAAGATTAATTTCTTGCCACTGAAGAGAGAGGGGAGCGTCATTTCACTGACATTTGAAAATTTTTGAGGATTTTTTTCAGGCATTTTTTAAATTTTAATAACGCCTTTCTCCTTTCTTAAGTAGCAACATCATTAGAATTTTTCCCCCAATTAAAAAAAAATTACCAACCATCAGCTAAAATCGCTGCAGTATTAGCTTTAAATACAATACGATTATCCAAAGGTACAGTTGTACAACAATGAGCATTTCTTCCATCTGGGAAGTTTGAATAACAAGTAAAACTTGAAGGACATTTAATCCAAGTTGAGCAAGAACGGCCTAAACCTGTTGAAGAATCTAATAGGGGACGACTCCAAGGTGGACAACTTGCAACAAATAATGAAGAGGAGGAGGAGGGAGAGGAGGAGGGGGAAGAGGAAGAATTTTTTGATGTCCCATAATTTGCATAAATTGAATGTAAAGCTGCTGAAGCCAAATTTTCTGCTGCTGAAATTGCTGATTGAGAATAAGGATAATTATTTGATGATGAGGAAGATTGTTTTGGTTGTTGTTGTGATTGCTGTCGTAATTGTTGCTGGGCTATTTGTTGATTATATTGTCCTCTACCTCCTCCTTGTTGTGATGATTGTTGCTGCATTAATTGTTGTTGTTGCTGTTGCTGTGATTGTTGTTGTAAATAACTCCCACCACTCACACCCCCACCATTTTGTTGTTGTTGTTGTTGTTGAAGCTGTAACATTTGATTAGCTGCCGCTATTTGTTGTGCCATTAAAGAATCATTGTTCTCAAGTCCATCACCACCACAACGTTGAACAGCAGAAGAGACTTGTTGAGCTTGTTGCAATTGTTGTTGTTGTTGAGCAGCTGCAACTTGTGAAGCTTGTAATGCCGCTGCTGCTTGAGCTGCTTGTTGTTGCGCTGCTGTAGCAGAATTTCTATGATGAAATTGTTGTTGCCAATGTTGTTGTTGTTGCAACCATTGTTGCATTTGTTGATTTTGTTGTTGCTGTTGTTGTTGACTTTCCCCTAGAAATTAAATTCTCATTAATGTAATTTAACGCTCAAGAAAAATAATAAATTTTTAACCTTCCAAAGGGAAATTTTTTTAACACCCAAGTGCACAAAAAAATTTATTTCTAGATGTGTAAAAAAATTTTTCACCCCCAAACATAATCAAAATTTATTATATTACCACGTGAAGGAAATGCAGCAATATTATTGTTATTATTAAAATAATTTCCAAAGCGTTGATGCCCAGCAGAAGCACAACAAAAAGAATCTTGTTTTTCAGTTGAATAAATACATTGATATGGAGGTCCAATTAAATTATTAGAAGGGCAAGGATTTAATACTTGATGACAATTTGTTGGAATAATAAAATCTTCTTGTTGTAATTGTTGTCCGCTATTAATTAATGGAATTTGTCCAGGAGGGCAATAACCATCATAACGATTATCCAAAGGTAAAGAACAGCAAACATGTGTATTTGCAAGTGTTGAACGTTTACAACGATAACCGAGAGGGCAAGTCTTTTAATTAAAAAGAAATTTTTTAATTATGAAAAATTGTTAATGGAACCATCCCTTCCGCTAAAAGATTTTTAACTGAGGCCTTCTCAACAAAGAAAATTTTTTGATGAAACGTCCCTCCTTTAGGAAATTTTTTTAAAGGAGGCCCCCTTCCTCAGAAAATTTTTTAAAATAAAATACCATCCCCACCCTAAAAGACTTTAATGGAGGCCTTCTCATTGTCAGCACATAAAAGTTGTTTTCACGTAAGATGGAACCCCTTCCCCGTAGAAAAAAATTTTTAATGGAAGTCCCTCTTTAAAAAAAATTTTTCTTTAACCATACCTCAAGTGTTGGGTCACATATTTGATTTCTTCCAGTAGCTAAAAACATGGGAAAAAATTAAAAAGAAAATTTTTTTTAATTCTTACAAGGATCAAGATAGCCAAAACCAGCAACACATTCAGGTGCGTGATTTTCCGGTCTATAAAAAATTTTTTCAAAAAAAAATTTCAAAAAAAAAATTTCAAAAAAAAATTTTTCTAAAAAAAAGAACAAACGTAGAACAACACAATCTTTGTCCACCACCATTTTGTGAAGGTGTACATTCAAATCCAGTAGGGCATATTCTTTTATTACTTGTTGAATGACAAACAACTGGACGTTTTCCATAAAGATAAGGGGACCGACCATTTGGACATTGTAATTTATTTGCACGCATTCGACAACAAATGGCACGGTCTTTTGAACCTTCACAGCTTTAAAAGAAAAAATTTGAGAAAAATTTTCCAAAAAATTTAAAAAAAAGAAAAAAAATACGTGTATCCTTCAGGACAATTATTTGCCATCCAATTACAACCCAAAGGTTTGCGAGATCCTTCAACAAAAAATGGAGAAGCGCCTGCTGGACATCTATCCCATGCTGGACAACAATACTAAATTTTTAAAATATTTAACAAAAAAATTTTTATTAAAAAATTTTTGGAGTCGTTTTTGCCAGAGAGACCCAGTACCGAACGAGTAGCCATGGGAGAGATATTTATTCCATTATGTACTTCCCCCTCATTTCTCCCAAAATCAGTAAAAAAAAATAAAAATTTACAAATTGTTCATCAGTTCCCATTTCACATTCAAATTCTTCTGGACATTCATCATCTCTATCTGCTGTACATTGTTGTGGAACTATAAAAAATTATTAAAAATATTTTTTTAAATAATTAAAAAGAAACCTCTACTTCCCAAAGCAAAAAAAGGCAAAGCTCCATCCTTTGCACATTTCGGAACAATTTTGGGAACATGCGAAAAAGAGGTTGAAGCTGAGGAGGAAGATGAAGAAAGTGAAGATTCAGGCCTTCTAATTGTTCTTCTATCAGAATTTGAAGATGAAGATGAAGCTGAGGAAGAAGAACTGCTCCCTTTGACATAACCAACAGCAGCAGAACTTTCTCTTGGCATACAACAAATATGAATTCCTGATAAAGTTGAACGAGAACAACGAGAACCTTCCGGACACCCTGCTTCCTCATCACCACAAGTTAAAACCTTGAAAAAAATTTTTTTTGAAAAAAATTTTAAAGGTAAATTGGGACAAAATGTCCGTTTTTAGTTAGATAACCCAAAAAAGTTTAAAAAAGTACAAAAAATTTTTCTAAATATTTTTCAAAATTGATGGGATAAGACGTCCAATTTTCTCTTAAATTATCCAAAAATAAAAAAAAAATTTTTGAACATTTTTCAAAAATGGGACAAAATGTCCATTTTCTCCTAAATTAGTCAAAAAAAATTTTTAAACCTGTTTAGGCGCAATATAAACCGGTTTCCTTCCTTTTCTTGTACATTTTGGCTGCGCTTTACAACAAACACCTTTCCCACCCGAAGCAATATTATTATCACCAATACACAAATATCCTAGAGGGCAAGCTTGTATTTGATTAACAACACATTTAGCTCCATTGGATAATAAACCACTTGGACATTTTAATACAGAATATTGATGTTGTTGGTGTTTTTGTTGTTGTTGTGCTGCATTTAAATTAGCAAGTAATGAAGACATTGCACGCTTCTTTGCAGCAGAAACAGCGCTAACAACAGCAGAAGTAAATGAACCAATTTTTGATCTTTTAAAAAATATTTTTTTAAAGAAAAAAAATTTTTTGCCTCAAATATATGATCGGACCTCAGTATTCGAAAACAGGCACGAAAAGGCACAAATAGCCAGAAAAAACCCCTTCATTAAAAGTTGTTCTTTCCACTCCCATCCTCCCCTCCCCAATTAAAGAAATTTTCCGAACAAAAAAACCAAAACCTTTTTTTGTAAGTCAATTTGAGATAGTGGATGTGGAGAGATGCTCAAAGAATCGCTCTTATTTTTTAACTACCCCTCATTATAACGGACTATATAAAATAAAAAATCTCAGTTAAAGAAAAACTTCTCTTCATACAATGAAGGCAAATCAGTATTAGAAATACTCCTTCCACCACCACCAATATTGTTATAATTATTAGAAGAGCAACACATATAAAATCCAAGTACATTAGCAGACTGCATACATTGATATTTTGAAGGACAATTTTTATTAAAATTTTCTCCTTCCTCTTCTCCACCTTCTCCCAACAAAGCTTCAGGCACACAAGCTACTATAGAATCCGAATTTGGTATTAAATAAGCATTTCTTCCATTTGGACATTGTGCTACAGAAATACAACAAATCCATTTTTGGCTGTTTTTTTTATTTATTGATTGAACACAAGAAGAACCTTCTGGACATTTTTTATAAGACGAAGAACTTCCAGCTCCACTTACTATAAGAAAAATTTTATGAAAATAAAAAAAAATTTTTTTCAGAAAAGATTTCCAAAAAAGTTTTCAAATTTTCAAAATTTTTTTAAAAAAATTCTTTAAAAAATTTTCAGAAAAACTTCCAAAAATTGAAAAAAAATTTTTTAGGATCTTAAAAAATTTAAAAAAAACTTAGAAAAAAACCTCACAATTATTCAAAGGCTGTCGACAACTTTGTATTTTACTATTTCTTCCTCCTCCCCTTCCACCAGACGCTAATAAAGGAGCCATACCACGTGGACATTCATCACCACCATCATTATTTAAATTTTCTTGTTTATTTAAGCACATATATTCACACGCTTCTCGTTCAGAAAAACGATTTGGAGTTCCTCCACAACCAGAATATTCAAAGGGAAGGCAAGAATCTGTGTCGCTATCATAATACCTTTTAAAATTTAATATTAAAAATCTTTCCAAAAAATTTCAAAAAAATTTTCCCAAAAGAAATTTCAAAAAATTTCTTTTAAAAAATTTTGCAAAATCTTCCCCAAAAATTTCAAAAAAAAATACCAAAAAGTTCCAGGCCTTTGACTTAGACAAGTATGTCCAATACTTTTTTGACTTGAACAAGCAGTTTCTCCATGGGGGCAACAATAACTTTTTTGATTACACCAGCTACCACTTGGACATTGAGAATTATCATTACAACGTTGGACATAGTCGCCTGGGTCGTTTAGGGGGGCAACACCATTACAGCCTAAAATTAAAAATTTTTTTGGTTTTATGTGACATTTTGTAGTTCTGTCAATTGAAATATCGGTGTTTTGTCCTTTGGACATTTCGTCTTTTTTGACATTATGTCAGATGACATTTTGTCCTTTGACATTATGAAAATTTTAATATTCGGCGAAATGTACATCTTCGCGTTTTTAAAAAATTTTAATTTTCCCTTAGAAAAATAGAAATTCCTTACTATTTTGAACAGAAGGCACACACTGCATTTCACACTGACTTCTTGTAATAAAATTATTCCCAGTACCTCCACACCCATAATATTGAAAAGCTTCACATTGTCCTTTTTTTTGATTAAAATGGAAACGTTGAATAGTCAAAAAAGGGCCAAAACAAGGAACTCCAGCAGCAACAGGTTCTCGACAAACTTGTTCTTTAGAAAATTTTTCAAAAAATTTTTAAAAATTTTTTATCAAAAAAACCTGGACTACTACAACAGACAAAATTGTGTTGTCCAAAAAGTGGTTGAACACAAACATAATGTGCCGGGCAAGTATCCGCTAATCTTGCACCATTTTGTTCTCCAGGACTGCAACGAGCTAAAGATGGGCCAGCACGTAAACCTGTTCCTTTAATTTAAAAAAACTTTCCCCCTCAAAAAATATTTTAAAAAACCTCCATCCGGACATTGCGATTCCAAACAAAATCCTTCACATTGTTCAAGAGAGTCAAAATTATTTGCATTTCCTCCACATTGTGAAAATTGAAAAGTTCTACACGAGCCAGTTGTCGAATCAAAATAAAAACGAGAAATTGGAGATAAAACACGTGCTGGACATTGAATACCAGAATCATTAGGTAAGGAACAAACATGTTCTAGAAAAAAAAAGTTAACAAAATTTAATTAGCGTATGTCCACCAATTTTTCAAGAAAATTCTCCTATGGTTAAGTGGGATCTGTTTAGGGCTGCCAAATAATTTAGAGCAAGGTTCGAACCGGTTCTGAAATAAAAATTTTTGAAATTGGGCAAGGGTTTAACCCTTTTGGAGTAAAAATTCTTTAAATTAAAAGCTTTTAATGAGATTTCTTTTCAAAAAATCCTTACAAAGATTTTAAAAATTCTAAAAAAACCTGGAGAAGGACAACAATATTGATGTCCATTATTCGTTACACATTGGAAATTGTTTGGACACGGATTGCCGTTAGCTGAACATGAGGTCACTCCACCAAGAGGTGCCCCAACTGGACAAACACCTTCAAAAAATTTTTTATAAAAATTTTCAAATAAAAAACCTTTGCTAGGGCAGCAACGCCCATTCCGGCAGGAATATCCCATCGGACATGGATCAGAGGCAGAACAAGGATTTGGCCTAGGCAAGGGCGATTCACCTCCACAAACATCGATCGGGGCATTTGAAGTGTCAGAACAACAAATTCCGGTATTAAACATTGAAGACTAAAAATGTTTAAAAAATTTCAAAAAAAAATTTTAATTTTTAAGGAAAAATTTTTTCAAGAAAAAACCTGTGTACAAATAAATCCATTAGGACAAGAAAGTGGATCCGCAGAATTACATTGAACATGTGAACCAGTTGTTGGGTGAACAAAACCAGCTAAATAAACATATAATATTAAAGTAGAACATCATTAAAGAATAGAACCCTTGGGGCAGGAAAAATTTTATAATAATGAGGTGTATCTTAAATAGAAGTTTACCTTATATTGCAGGTATCTATTATAAAGGTATCATTTTAAAACCCTATAATGACCTTATAATGAGGCCCCGACAATTTTCAAAAAAGATTAAATTAAAAACCCGAATTTGCAGGACATCCAAAATCCCTTCCACAGCATCTAGTAAAAGCTCCATCAACCAAATTACACCCAAAACCCGTTGGACACCCAGAAGGTGAAGTTAAGGAACAAGTTTTGGGTAAGCCAGAAAATGTTTCAAAGAACGTCACTTGCAATCCAGAACATAAAGGAATATTTCCTGAACTTCCTTCAGGTCCAACAGACTCAATAGAAGCTTGACAACAATATGAAGTTCCAGTTCTTTGATGTAATGTACAAAGAAAACCTTTTTTGAGAAATTTTTAATTGTTTAAAAAAAAATTTAACAAACCATCAGGACAACTTGATATGCTTGGATTACACATCTTAAAGTAAAAAAGGGGATAAAATGTCTCATAATCACAAAAAAATTTTTTCTTACCACAGGCGCTCCAAGTTTAGTTAGTGGAATTGCACCAGAACAGATATCATCTGGAGCTTGAAATTGAGGTTCCTTCAACACATTTTCTTCATCAGTATTGTTGGTTTGAGTTGAAATGTTGGTGGTTGTAGTATTACTGTTTGTGTTTTGCTTCTGAAATATTTGCGGATTTTGACCGAAATGATCACTTTTTGATTTTAGGTCCTAAGTTGAAATCAAAGATGAGACTGGTTAGTAGAATTTCAAGACCCAGACCTTTCGACCCCTAACCCAATCCAAAGAAAAATATCCACAGCTCAAACTAGGGTAGCTCCCCGACCCCTTCGGGGATCCAATGTGTCGAGGATCGGGGTTTGTCGGGGTAGAGCCTTCGGGGTTAGTTCAAACCCCTCCAATATTTCATTCTAATAAATTTTCTAACCTTTAAAGAAGTCTGTCCATCAATTAACCCTTCACTTTGAAATTCCCCATGATCAGTCCTTCTTCCTTCTTCACACCCCAAAATATTAATATTAAATATTTTTTCATCTGGACAGTCATGTTTTTCCAAATTTCCATTTTCATTGCATTCAAAATAGGAAGTATTTAATGTTGGATGTTTTGTTAATTTAAATTGTTTTGGATTACAATTTTCTTCTTCTTCAATTTTTACAAGTTGACAAAATATTGTTGTTGAAAATAAATTAATTAATACAAATAATTTTAAAAATATTTTATTGTTGTTGTTGGTATTTTGTTGAAAACATTTGGATATTTTCATTGGAATTTTGTGACTAAAAATTTTTTTAAATAATTTTCTTTAAATTTTAAATTATTTAAATTTTCCTAAAGTAAAAAAAATCGATTTTCCATTAATTTTTCAAAAAACCCCTCCGTGGCTTAGAGGGATCGTTTTAGGCTTGATAACTAATTAAGGGCAAGGTTCGAACCCTCTCAGGAATAAAAATTTTTCTAAATTAATTTTAATGTTAAAAAATGTTTTTTAATGTTTTTTGACCTTTCTAAAAATTTTAGAAAAAATTCACAACCATAGAAAATTAATTTTTCAAAAAACACCTCTGTGGCTTTGTGGAATCGTTTTAGGTTTGAATTTTTTTCCTTAGTTAGGTTCGAACCCCTTCATGGATAAAAATTTTCTAAAGCTTTTAGAATGATTTCTGACTTATTTTAAAACTTTAAAAAATTTCCTAGCTTTAGAAAAAATTAAAAAATCCCGACTAAAAGTACATTTTTCCAAATTAAGTGGATACGGCTTTTTTTAACTTTCTTTTCAACAAAAATAATTTCAGATCAATTAAAGAATAGAAAAATTTGTAGAATAGTTGGTGTGGTCAAAACATAGGACACGACACGATTTTTTTCAAAAAAAAAGTCCTCTAATTTTTCTTTTCTTTTTTCAATTTTTTAAAAACAATAGGCCAAAAAAGAGGACAAATAGAAGCAGAAAAGGGGGACTAACCTACAAAAAAATACAATAGACTCCCAACAAGAATTTCTTCTTTTTGGACAGGTCAAACTTTGGGGAAGTAGGGGACCACAAAATAAAATTAACAACAACAACAACCCCTCTCCCTAACCTTCTTTTTTCTTTCCTTTTTTCCCTTTTGTTTTCCTCCTCCCCTAGCCCTCCTATCCCCCCCCCCTTCCCTCTCCCATTTTCTCTTTTGAAAATTGTATTTTAAAGTATCCGCGCAATATCCCGCACAAATAAATAAATGAAATGCTTTCCTCTCCCTCCTTTTCTTTCTATTTTTGTTCTTTCTCGTTTACCTTTTATTTAAAAGAATCTAAAAAAAGGGAAAGGGGAAAGAAAGAAAAATGCTTAATCTCTTTTGGCCACAAAAGAAAGAGTGACCAGTTTATATTTTTAAAAATTGATCAAAAAATAGAAAGTCAAAACAATTTAGTCAGTCAACAATTTATAAGAATCTAAAAAGGGGGCCAATTTTTAGAGAAATACAAAAAAGAGAAGGGAGTGAGATGAAATAAGGGGGGGGGGTAACCCACTCAAGACTAAAAATCTTCCGGAAACTAGAAAACACAAGATCGACTTTATGTAGTTTCCGAAAGATTTGGCAAGTCGTTGAATTGTTTTAGCACACGGGGGAAAAATCAAAAAAAAATTTTTAACCTTGAAGCGCCATTTTACCAAAAATTGTTCCACATTAAAATTTGAAGGCGTATTCAAAGGCAAACCAAAAGCAGATAAACCAAGACACCAAAAAGAAAAGAGTTCACATAACGCTCCACCATCTCTCCAACCAAATGCAAAAAATAAAATCAACTAAAAAATCAACAAAATTAACTGAACAATTAATTCAAACCTGAAAACCTCACAGAGTCATATCCCAATTAGTGCCCGGATCGAGACAAAAACTCGAAGAACGAAGAAAAATCTAGGATACCGAGTCCAATATTCCTCTCGTAGATCCTCAGAGACCAGTCTCTCTAGTCTTCATTATATCCTCAACCAACCATTACTCGCAGTTTTTGAAAAATAAAATTAAATTTTAAAAAATTATTTAAAATATTCGAATTGATTTTTTAAAAAATTTTAAAAAATAAAAAACAATTAATTAACAAATTTTATTAATTTTCTTCAAATATTAAAATAAATTTACATAAATTAAATAAAAAAAATAAATAAACCGGCAATTACACAATAATTAAGTGAATTTTTAAAAATTAACAAATAAAGCCAAGGGAACAATTTTAAGTGAAAAAATAATTTCTTTAAAGGCCGAAAAATTTTTTTAAAAATCTTCTTTATCAATTGATAACAAATCACCACAATCATCATTAATATTATTATTATTTCCAAGCATTCTAGGAGTGAGTAGTTTACGTTTATGGCGTTTACTGCTGCAAAAATAAAAATTTTAAAAATTTTTTTTGAAAATTTAAATAAAAATTTAAAAAATCTGTTTAGAATGTTAAAAAAATAAAAAAATAATAATTTGGAAAAAAATTTAAAAATATTTTCCACCAATTGGATTCGAACCCTACACCTTTTTTGTTAATGAATCAAACACCATCCCACTACACCAAACAACAATTTTTTCTCAACAATTCTACTTGAACATTATTTTCCGGAAAAACTTAAGTATTTCCTTCCAAATAAAAAATTATTTCCCATCAAAAGGATTCGAACCTTAGACCTTTAGATTAATGAATCAAACATTTACCCACTTAACCAAAATTTAAAAATTAAAGAAAAATTTTCTAAAAATTATCAAACCTTTGTGTACATTTTTGTTTATCTTCACAACAACAAACAAGAATTAAATTTGCCCCATCATTTTTATTATCCTCCTCTTCCTTGAAATAATTTGTTATTTCGTCTGTTTGTGTTCCAAATTCTTTACTAAAAAATTTTAGAAAAATTTTTTTTATGAAAATCTTTTCTTTTCTAATTTTAAAAATTATTTTCTTACCAATTATTTTTAACATTTTCTTCTAAAAAACGTTCATCCCCAAAATTTTCTATTTGCTGGTGTTTAATTTCTATTTCATTCAAATTATTTTTGCTCACATCTCTATTATTATCAACATTATTGGAAACAGCAACTTCCGCTACCTTTCTTGAAATCCTTAAAAATTAAAAAAATTAAAATGTCAAAAATTTAAAAAATAATAAAAAAATAATCACGGAAGAAATAAAAAAATATTTCCCACCAAAAGGATTCGAACCCTAAACCTTTCGGTTAGTAAATTTAAATTTTTCCCACTACACCATAAAACACACATTTAAAAATCATTTAAAGAATTTTCCTCGGAAAAGGAATTTTGTTATTTATTCTCTTTCGGAACAAAACAAAAAAAAATATTTTCCACCAAAAGGATTCGAACCTTATACCTTTTGGTTAGCGACCCAACCACTATCCCACTACACCATTAGCAACATTTTTCGTCAAAATTTATTTTTATTTACCTATTAAAAACAAAATTAATTCTTGCTTTCTTTTTCAACATAATTTGTTGTTTTTTTCTTTTTTCTTCCTCCTCCTTATCTTCCCTTTGTTTCTTCAATAATAATTGTTTCTGTTCTTCTTCTTTTATTAAATTTTTATTTGAAGAGTTTGTTGCAGCAGCAATTATAGCCATTAAAAAGGCATTGGAAGAAGACAAAGACGATGAAGATGAAGAAAACGAAGAGTTGAAATAAGGCGAATCTTTAAACGATAAATTTGAATTTTTTGAAGATGAGGAAGAGGATTTGAAGGAAGAATCCAAGAAGGAAGAGTTTGAAGAATTTGAAGATAAATAGGTTGGAGAAGATAAAGAAAATGCTGAGGATGGTGAAGAAGACAAATTTGAAGAGGAAAACAATTTATTATTAAAAAACAAAGGTGATGAAGTAGCATTAGTAGAAGGTGTTGATGAGGAAGATGAAGAAGAACAAAATGATGAAGAAGAAAATAGTTGTTTTTTGAATAATTTTAGACTGTTTTCTTCTTCCTCTTCCTTCCCCTCTTCTTCTTTTATCTTCTTTTCTTCATTATTTTTTAAAAATTCTTCCAATTTTACAATTCCTTTATTATCAAAAATTATTTTTTTGTTTAATATATCCTTTATATTGTAACTTTTTGGTGTAATTTCTTCTTTATTTATTTGAATTATACTTCTATTTCGTATTGTTGTTGTTTTATTATAACAAATATTTTTATAACATTTTAATTTAAATCCACCATTTTCTGCTTGTCTTCTGGCACCAGCTAAGGATCTTTAAAAAAATTTTATAAAAATTTTTTAAAGTTGCAAAAAAATTTTTGTGTAAATTTTTATGAATTTTTAAAGATAAAATTTTTTTTAAAAAATTTTTTTGATAAATAGCCTCGATTAGAAATCCAAAAAAATTTTTTTATTTTCCAAAAAAAAATTTGCAAAAATTTTTGGTACGATTTTTCATGAATATTTGGTTAACTAGCCCATATAAAATAAGAAAAAAATTTTTTCCTTGATTTTTCGATTTTTTAAAATTGTAAAAAAATCGAATTTTTCGGCGAAAATTTTGAATTTTTTTTCTCATTTTTTAAATTTCCAAAAATATTTTTTTTAATTTTTTGCCTATCACTGGCCTATAAACTCTAAAAAAATTTATTTTAGATTTAAAAAAATTTTTCCTTACTTTTTCAACGATTCCCGATTTCCAAAATTTGACCCTCCAGTCATCATCAACGACGCTGCTTCATTTATTAATTCAGTTAAATTAGCTTGAGGACATTCTATGGCAGCAACAATTAATTGGCTCTTTTAATAGAGAAAATAAATTTTTTTTTAAAATAAAACAAAAAACCTTAAAATATTCCAGCTCCGCAATCTTTAAAAAATTAAAAAAAAATTTTTAATTTTCAAAAATTTTTAAATTACTTCATGTTCTGGTGGGTGGTTATGCTCTCCTTTTGAAATTCCATTTTTATCATTATCCCAAGTTTCAGCTCTTCCTTTACACCAAGTACGAGTTCTAAAAATGCGATTTTTTAATAAAAAAATTTAAAAATTTTTCAGAAATTTTCTAAAAAATTTGTAAAAATTTCAAAAAAAATTTTCAGAAGTTCTTAAAAGATTTCAAAAAAAAATTTTTTAAATTTTTTTAAAAATTTTCAAAATTTTTCGAAAATTTCAAGAAATTCCAAAAATTTCCATACCCATTCAATTTTTTGGCACAAACACATCTCCATGTTTTTACACCTTTTAAAGGCACAATATGATGAATGTTATAACGATATCCCTCAAAAATTAATTTTTGGTTGCCTTAAAAATTAAAAAAATTTTGAAAAAAAACCCAAAAAAAACCTTTAAATGAGCAAACATTTCGCGGAAGAGAAGGATCATAACGTTTAAACGTATACATCAAAACAAGAAAATAAGGCAATTTTAATAATATTAAAGCAAGTAATCCTACAAAAAAAAATATAAAATTATTTGAAAAATTAAGGAAAAAAATTTTTTCTAGTAAGCCGAAATATCAAACTCTGAAAAAAACACAACAAAATGAAAAAGAAATGTGAATTTCTAACAACCTTCCAAGAAATTGGAACGAATCTAGGGATTGGTAATTTTAAATTTTTAAAAGCGGAAGAATCGAAAAAGCGGAATTCTGCGGAATGAGGAACGCGGAAAGGGATCTATACCTTTATTGGTATTTGGTATTTAATTTGGTATTTCGACGTTTGGTATTAAGGCTTGCTAATTTTCTATCAAAAAAATTTTAGAAAATAAGAAAAAAATTTTTTTACTAAAAAAAGGACGGCAATAATAAAATAGCAACTATTAGAGCTAAATATTTATTTTTGTGGCGCGCAATGTCCCATCTCTAAAAAATTTTTTTACTAGAAAAAAGAATTGGACGTAATTTTGGGGAAATGCCCTGAGGGAAAATGCGCAAAAGCAAGTTATGGAATGAATAAAAAACAGCAAAAAACTTTTGTCTATCACGAAAATTGCCATTCCTTTTTGGGGCCAAAGCCAGAGGCGGTCATAGAGAGAAAATATATTTTTTGAGTAAACCATGAAAAATAGCCCTATGAGAATGGTCAGCAGAACGAAAAGGAGACGAACACTTAATTTTTTTATGAAGATACTTAAGAGAAAATGTGTTTGATAAGAATGCCAAAATTCACGTCAAAAAATGACCCAGACAAAATTTGTTTTTTTTTATTCGAGAAGACAAACAGAATCATGGTTTTTCTAAAGGGGACCAAATGTCCAAAAAATTAAAAAATAAAAATAGCCTTCAAAGAATGTTTAAAAGTCCGCGCAGCTAGAAAAAAAACAACTCGAAAGACGATTCAAAAAATAAAAAAGAGTAGATAACTCTTTTTAAGGTAATTTTCTACATGGGACCAAATGTCCAAAAAATTTCAAAAATTAAAAAAAATTAAAAAAAATTAATAAATAAAAACCCGCAAAAAAATTAGACCTTAGATGCTTTTTAAGTTCGCGCAACTCGAAGAAGAAACTTGAAAAAAATCTCGAAGAACAATTTTAAAAAAATAAGAAATAACAATTAAATTAAAGAAAAGCAACAACAACTAAAATACTTAATTTCTTCACTCTCTCCCTTTAATTTACAAATTCAGAGAAAATTATATAGAAAAGCGCGCGCAATTTATGTGCCTTTTTATATACAAAAGTTGTTGCTGAGTTTGGACAAAACAAGAAAAGTAGGTACTAAAATGCCTTGAAGCAAAATGCCTTGGGGCAAAATATTTTTGTTGACTTGAGTCTCTATGGCATTAAAGGGGACCAAGTTTGATTAAGCCGATAACTACTTATTAAAAAATAATTTTTTCGTGAAGGAAAAAATATTTTTGAGGTAAAAAAAATTTTTTTGAAGAAAAAATAATTTTTGGATAAACAAAAGTATTTTTTACGAAAAAATTAAAAAAAGGATTAATTTTGTAAACCATGTGGATAAAAATTCCCAAATTGATTGAGAAATGTTCTGTCCTATTTTAAATGCTATAAAAAATAATTTCACCTCAAAAGGATTCGAACCATGGTCACTGTCTCTACAAAATCAAAAATTATCCCACTACACCAAAACGAAAAATTTTTCAATAGGATGAATTTTCTCAGGATTTTTTTAAAGAAACATTTTAAAAAATAATTTTTTCCTAAAAGGGAAACCATAGACATGCCCCCAAAAAATCAACGATTATCCCACTACACCAAAAAATTTTCTGAGAGTTTTCTCTTATAGCTGGCCCTCAATAAAAATATTTTCAAAATAATGGGACATAAATAAAAGAAAAAATGAAAATTCAACTCTCAATGGCAGCCAAACTTATATTTTTGTTGTTGTCATTATATTTTTACAAAAAAGAAATTTCCCGCCGAAAAAAAAAATTTTTTGTGTTGGTTGTTGTGCGGGAAAGCTGATCATTTTTAAATACAAAAGAGAAGAGAGAGAAATGCCTTCCCTGTGCATACAAAGTGTGAAAAAAAAGAAGAAAAATTAGAAGGGGGGAGAAGGAAGATGAAAGTAATGGCACACCAATATGTGAATAAATATATAAAAATGTTTTGAGGAGAAAAAAAAAGAAAAGGTGCAGACTGGCACTGATGATGGTTTTGATTTTAAAAATGTTGTTGATGGGTGGAAGAGCGAAAAAAGAATAAAAATACTATAGTTGCCGTTTAAATCGATCAAAAAAATACACAATTAAACAATTAAATATTAAGAAAATAAAATTTACAA